AATAAAATCCGTTATTGGCTGTATTTATAAGTGACTTAGCGTATAAATTATTTTTTAAGAGCTATGGATTTTTATATTAAATACATATATAAAGTAAAACGACCTTGTGTACCTCGAACGCTTTATCATTATTCAGTACATAAATAGAATTATAATTTTATACACTACAATTATTCATATACAAACAATATTCGATATTTATACAGGGCTAAAGCTGTTTACAACTGCGCCTTACGCCTCAATAAAAAAGGAGATGTCACATTTATGGTCTAAACGTTGTACAGACGAAAAAAGACACGTCAAATAGTTGTAGTACTCGACTGTACTATACATACATATACATATCTGTCTGTCTGTTTACTGTACATCTATCTTTTTACTGTACGGATAATCTGGTAGTATTGTTTTATTGTTACCCTATACCCTTTGACCGCAACAGAATATCAGTGCTTTGCTCTTTTGAGGGCGAAGCAATAAACTGAGTTGTGGCCATTTTGTATTGCTATGGCACACTCACAAACGAAAATTGTATTTAGCTTTATGTATTTTTTTTTTATCATTTATATTATCTCGCTTTTTTTTTTAGTATATGTATGTCGTAATTTGTGTGCTGTAAGTAAGTAATGCAAATAAATTATCTATCTATCTATCTATTAAAATTTGGACAAAACATCAAAATTGGTGCACTGTTATATTGGAGATATATTATGTAACATACATACAAACGATAATGTTAAATTAAAAAAAAAAAAAAGTTTAAATTTTTTATTTTCTTTAAGTATTTTTTTCATACCACTGAGGTGGTAATCAAGCATACGGCCCACTTGATGGTAAGCGGTTACCGTAGCCTATGAACGCCTGTAATACCATGAGTATTACGCAGGTATTGCCGAGCCTGAAGAAATCTCTTTAATTATAGCTGAAAGATATCTGTATAATATAAAATAACTTCTTTGTGGCCCTTATAAAAGAAACTATTCCATTATACGTACATTATTTTGTTTATATTTCAGCATTTTTTATAAAAGCTCTGAGTCGACTTGATTTCCTCTGACATCTTGAACAATTATCGTAAACATAACCAATTGTATTAAAGTACCAGAGGGAGACTTTGTACAAAAGTCGATTGCTTGGGTACCTGGCCTGTTTTCATTCTCATCTATCACCCTTCACTGGTACCCCGCCAGCGTATCCCGTTAGCGCAGGCGGGGTTACCATACCATTTTCATCCATCAAAAAAAACCCTACAGGTATTCCCTTTGTGGTATAAAAAAAAAAGAATATTAATAATAAAATAGAATGAGATAGTGACATATCCAACTCATGGTCTCTTTTTGTCCATATCCGATTTACGTTTATAAACAATACAAATAAAAAAGCTATTTACGAACAAGGCATTCCAAAATACCATTCTACCTATGTAAATTTGTATGTATATATATATATATATATATATATATATATATATATATATATATATATATATATATATATATAGAATGTATAATTATACCGTCAAACTGCAACATCTCCTTTCCTTAACAATTTCAAACTGAATTGAGCGTGCGCTCTCAAAGGGAGCTCAAGTTGTGGTCACACTAAATTAAAAATAAAAAAAAAAAATACTACAAACATAAATAAAAAAAAAAAAAAAAACAAGTTGTTTGTAGACGACCATTGTGGTGTGGCGAGTATAATGCCTTGCGTCAATGAAGTACAAGGTTTGATTCTCAATCGGATCAATTTAAGAAATATTGTTTAGTTAAATAATCCAATTTATATATACATAGATGTATCAGTTAGCTAACCGAATACAGTTTACAAGCAAAAAAGGTAATACAATTACTTCCTGAATGCCTTTTTTTTTTATACAACTTAGAATGGCAAACAAGCTGACGGCCCACCTGGTGGAAAGTGGTAACCGTTGCCTATAGACGTGAGCAAGCAATCGACTTTTGTACAAAGTCTCCCTCTGGTAAAAGCCTCTGATATTGCTGGAATTTATTAGGCTGCAATGCTCACTTGCCATCAGGCGAGCCATATGCTTAATTGCCACTCTTGCTGTATATAACAATACCGCGTAATTTAAAAAGAACCGTACCGCAGTTTAAAAAAAATTCTAAATTGAACCGAACAAAAATCAAGTAAGGCTCTCACAGAGACCTTAATAGCTTTTTTTTTTATTATCAAATCAATAAACAATTTATTGTAAAAAAAAAATTATATTTCCAAACACTTTTGCTTTAAAAAAAATCGATAATCTTAACATTAGTATTCATCCTAGACAACTAAGACACATTGGAAAAGAAAATAAGACGTATTATATATATATATATATATATATATATATATATATATATATATATATATATATATATATATATATATATATATATAAAATAAGTAAAAAAAATTGCAAAGCATATCACAGACCTTATGTCACATTGCGACACGATTTAGTCACTCTGTGACATTGTCACTTCTCTTAAACCTCCAAACGCGCGTTTGGTGTGACCACAGCATTGTGTTCGCCACTGAAGTGTTAAAATATGTATTTTAAAATATAAATTTCGCATTTCCTAAGGAGAATAATAACTTGTCCAACTTAAATATAAACAAAGTTGTTAAAAGGAAGGCTCACTTTGGGAATTTACCAGCCTTTAACTGTCCCCAAAATACCCAAAATACCAGCCTTTAACTGTCCACTGTTGAACATAAGGGCCACAGAGCCTCCCCCTTGGGGGGTTTGCCAATAGTTGCCATGCTTGGCAGGCATTAGCAACGGCAATTAGGATTTGGAGATGTTTTAAGAAAAAAAGTTGCTGCCCATTCCTCGTCACCCCTTAGCCGGTTCTTATGACTCATACAGACAAATCTATCGATAGATATGCTTTCGCTACCGACTGCGTAAGACAGAACGAGACAACAACACGATCAAGAGGCGTCTCATTCTTTCCTATGCGTACGCTAACGAAACCGTATCTATTGACGAAATCATTTGTTATTCAAACAGGCGGCCAATTTATTAGTTACACGCCTAATTACAGTATACGATAACAAAGTAGCGACGACGTGTGTGATAAAAAAAAATAATCATTAAAATCAGTCTATAAATCATACGCTACAAATGTTAAGAAACACACGGTGAACTTATCACCTCTTTTTTTTTTTTAAAGTCGAATTAAACTGTGAGAATTAACGCGTAGTCTATTTAAACTCAAATCACGTTCAAATTAACACTTCAGTGCAACAATACCACCTGAATTCAATTTACAATGACGAATCATTATCATTAGACGAATAAAAATGAATGATGCCAATGGTCTGTCCGTCTATTTACGACCTATTATTTACATGTTATAATTAATTTTTTTCTTTTTTACTAATTGGTGTCAATTTTGTTTCTACAATGAAGTTTTGTGGCAAGTGACACGTGACTATGAATGTAAGATTTTTTTTCACAAAAACAACATATTTTAACCGACATTCACACAGACCATATTATTCAAAATGAATCATACAAATCAGCCTCTCAGGGGGGAATGGGATAGTTAGTAATGGGATCTAAACTCCCCATTACTAAGCAATATATTTTTTGATGGGTGAAAATGGTATGGTAACCCCGCCTCCGCTAAAGGGATACGCTGGCGGAGCACCAGTGAAGGGTGATAGATGAGAATGAAAACAGGCCATCATGATGAATTCATCAGGAATTAACCATGATAGTTTCCAGGAGGATCCATGAAGAGGTCGACTTAGTTGGGTATATCGCTAGCAATGGGATTCTCAGTCTCCATTACTAACAATCCCTTTCCCCCCACTATCAATATATTCCCCATTACCATATCAGGTCGTCCTCCACGTGGTTCCCCCTGGAAACCATCGTGAACAATTCTTGTAGAATTCGTTACGATGGGCTAACTGACCTGCTTCATCCTCATCTATCATCCCTCACTGGTGCTCCGCCAGTGTATACCCCGCAGGCGGGGTTACCATTCCATTATCACCCACAAAAAACTCAGCTTCTCAGGGAATCGGTGTAAATATCATGAAGAAAATAAAGACACATACCTTCTGCTTTTTTGGAATAAACTTAAAATATCAGGTTTTTTAACCCTTCTTTGCATTAACATTGAATATCCAAAAATTATATAAATGAACAAGATTGGATAGATATCGATGTTAAATTCAAGAGTAGACCTACTGATCATTGATTAAAGCTTATTTTTATTAAGTAACCAATTTAAAAAATGAATTGGTAAGTATATATATATATATATATATATATATATATATATATATATATATATATATATATATATATATATATATATATATATATATATATATATATGGTTGGTACGTAGATGTAGATTGGATTTGTAGGGTTGGTACTATTGTTGAAGTTTCTTCTATTGTCTATGATGCGAGATGATGAAGAAATATTGGGCTCAAAAAGAAATCCTTAAAGGGAACTACAGTCTCAACTTAAAAAAGATAATTATGGATTCCTGCATCCTGCCAAGCCTAACATATGCATGCCAAACATGGACCTATACAGAAAAAATAAAGAACAAAATCCTATCATGTCAGCATGCGATGGAAAGAAGTATCTTAAAGTTAAGAAAAATACAGAAAATAAGAAACACTGATATTAGGAAGAAAACCAAAATAAAAGATGCTCTTCAGCATAGTATGAAACAGAAGTGGAGATGGGCAGGTCATTTAGTGAGGTACAAAGATAAAAGGTGGACTCTCCAAACGATAAAATGGCGAGGTCCAGCAGGAAAAAGAAATGTTGGAAGGCAAAGAAAGAGATGGGCAGATGACATAATAAAGATAGCAGGAAAGAACTGGACGGGTATTGCTATAGATAAGGAGAAGTGGAAAAAGATGGAGGAGGCTTTTACCACGAAAGTGGATAAAAAGCTATAATAATAATAATAATAATATATATATATATATATATATATATATATATATATATATATATATATATATATATATATATGATTTAGAGACCCCTACATTATATATAATAAGCAAATCTTGGATTCGATTGTATTTTATAGCAAACAACGTCTCAATGTATCACCTTTATATACCTAGACGTATTACAAAAATAAGTTATCTACAGTATCCATAAACAAGACCATAGAGTGGCATCATTTATTTTTAAAATTAGAATAAAACCTCGGCGCATCGGACGAACGGCCGACAACAAAAAAAATATCATTAACCTCTCGAAGAATTGTAGAAATAATGACAACGACGGTTCTATCATTAATGTATAATAATTATTTACAGACGAATAACTCATCGTGACGTCATGATTATGGGGTAACAGTGGCAGCGCGTGATGCGGCCGGCGCGGACACTCCGCGACATTACCTGAAAACAAATTATTTATTTATTTATTATAATTGTCGCGTACAACGCGGTTTCAGAGATGTTTTCTCCCACGAACACTCAGGTCATGGAATGAGCTCCCTGCCGAGGTTTTCCCAAGAGACTACAGCATGGGATTCTTCAAAAGGGGGGTAAAGAGGTTTCTTCAGGGTCGGCAACGCGCGCGTAATACCTCTGGTATTGCAGGCGTTCATAGGCTACGGTAACCGCTTACCATCAGGTGGCCCGTACGCTTGTTTGCCACCTCAGTGGCATAAAAAAAAAAATTAAAAAACACCAACAGCGGTTTACAAATAAAATTAAGAAACATTCTATAACAGATAAGTATGGCCAATAACAGGTTTTTCCAAAATAAATTCTGTAGATTATGTAGTTGACGTATATATAATTAGTACAAATAAATACGAAACGATACGATGGCGAAATCGATCGGCACAAATCACACATAGATTTTTACATAATTTTTGAATAGATCGAGATTGGACCGAGACTGGTATTAGAGCGTGGATCCGGGCTGAAGGCGGCGACGTTTACCTATGTGGGCCTGCAGGCGGGCGAGTGCGGGTCGCGGTCGGGTCCGCCCGCGAAGCTGATGTTGAGCAGCATGGCCTCGAAGGGGTCGCTGCGCATGCGCTGCTGGTTGGCGTGCGCGGCGGCGGCCGCGTCGGCCACCAGGCGCGGCTCGGGCTCGTCGTCGGGCCGCGGGCTCCACAGCCGCACGACGGCCTCGATGCCGCTGGAGGCCAGCAGGCAGGCGGACGGGTGCAGCTGCACGCAGTTCACGATCGACTCGTCGCCGCGCAGCACGCGCACGATGTTGCCCGAGCGCCGGCACCAGATGAACATGCTGCCGTCGTCCGACCTGCCCACATGCCAGTACATCGCTAAATAACTAAAAGTTTTTTTTCACCAGAAGACTGTACAAAACTCTGGTGACACCAGACATAAAGGTACACATAATAAATGGTACCAGAGGGAGACTTTGTACAAAAGTCGTTTGCTTGGCCACCTCTGTCCCATTCGTGTTTCTACTGTGAAGCAGTTGTGTTTGCATAGCTGTGTTTCGGTTTGAAGGGTGCGATATGGCAGTGAATTTTCAGGGTACAAAGGAATAATACCCGAGTCCTCAAGAATGGCAATGCATGGGGGTATCATGGACGAAATAGTACACTCTGTTATGTCCATGATACTGCTCATGTCTACAGACGACGATTACCACTTTCCATCAGGTGAGCCGTCAGCCTGTTGCTAGCAATATAACAAATCTAAATTCACTCGTAGCCACAAATTTGGCATAGGGCCAAGAAAATTGGCCTCCTTGATGCAGGTGGTAGTGTTGCAGTAGCCCAGGAAACACTGCTAGCATCCCTTTCATTCCCATCTATCATCCCTCATTGGTGCCCTTCTAGTGTATACTGTAAGTGCAGACAGGGTTATTGTTCCTTTAGTACCCATTAAAAAAAAGCCCCAAGCTTACCCAGCGGCTACAAAGTTGGCATCAGGCCCAAGAAAGTTGGCCTCCTTGATGTCAGTGGTGGTGTTGCAGTGGCCCAGGAACCGCTGCGAGTAGTCGAGCGCGGCGGCCCGCAGCTGCCGCTCGAGGACGCTCGTGGACTGGTTCTCCTCCGCCTCGTCAGCTGCTGGTGATCCAACAATCATATCACTTAGACCAGCTAACCAATTCCCGTTAGCACGCATCAAAATTTCATTCAAGAAAAACCAATAAAAAATTCCCAAATGAAGACATTGTAAAATAAACATCTGTATTAATATCTCAGTTCACTCGTTTTAATATCGTTGAACGGGGGGGAAGGGGATTGTTAGTAATGGAGACTAAAAATCCCATTGCTAGCAATATACCCAACCAGGTCGACCTCCTCGCGGTTTCCCCTGGAAACTATCATGGTTAATTCCTGATGAATTCATCATGATGGGCTAACTGGCCTGTATTCATTCTCATCTATCACCCTTCACTGGTGCTCCGCCAGCGTATCCCGTTTGCGCAGGCAGAGTTACCATACCATTTTCACCCATCAAAAAAAACTATTGTTGAACAACTTTATGGCTGTTTTATGGTTTGAAATATGTATTCATCATTATCATATCAGCCTTTAACTGTCCACTGCTGGACATAAGCCTCCCCCTTGGGGGGGGGGGGGGTTGCCAGTAGTTTTCACACTTGGCAGGCAGACTGGCAACTGCAGTTAGGCTTTGGAGATGTTTTAAGAGGAACGTGGCTGCCCAACCCTCGGCCATCAAATTCTCTATCACGAGTAGTGAATGCGAGTGTAGAGGAGAGCATGCCTTCGTCGGGCTGCGTCTCGAGCGTCTCGAGCGCGACGTTGATGTCCTTCTGCAGCAGGAAGACGGCGTGCGAGGCGGCGTGGCGCGGGAACTTGTCCTTGAAGTACAGCAGGCACTCGTGCGCCTCGCGCGCCCGCTTCACGTCCATGAGTCCCTTGGCGAGGCGGAAGTGCGACTTCACGTGCGAGCCGTCCAGCTTGATGGCGCGGTAGCAGTCCTTGATGGCCGCGTACGTGTCGCCCGACCTGTACCGCCAGCCATTTCGATTGAGCGAGGGGAAGGAGGTAGTTCATAATAGAATCCAACAGTCTCTAACGGGGGGAAAGGGATTGTTAGTAATGAGATTACTAGTAATATACCCTATCAGGTCGACCTCCGCGCGGTTCTCCCTGGACACCATAGTGGTTAATTAATTAATTATTGTACAATTTGTCACTATGGGTGAACTAACTTGTCTTCAGCTTCACCTGTCACCCTTCACTGGTGCTCCGCCATCGTGTACCGATAGCTCAGGCGGGTCTACCATTCCATATTTAGTTATTAAAAAAAATATACTCTATCAGGTCGACCTCCATGTGGTTCCCCCTAGAAACCATGGCGGTTAATAACAAAATATCAATGTTTCACTCTTTTGAGAGCAAAGCAATAAACTGAATTGTGACCATTTTGTGTTACTATAGCATATGTACAAAAGAAAAAATTATGTTTATTTATTTTTTATTTATTTATTTATTCATTAGTACATATATGTGTATAAGGCGGACTTAATGCTAAAAGCATTCTCTCCCAGTCAACCATAGGGAAGTGTCAGAATACTCGAATGCGGTACTTGTAATTATTGATATACATACATACTAAAATTACATATATAAACGAATAAATATATTTAAATAACAAATATACTTACACATATATGACATATGCTGTATTATACACGAAATTGAGAATAATATAAAGCACTTACTGCTCGGATAAAGTAAAAAAAGTGAGCGTGAACTTTTTTTTTACGACGGTTTAGTCGGTAGTCTCTTAATAGCAACAGGTAGCGCGTTCCAGAGTCGTGAAGAATGTAGGAGAAAATAATTTGAAGCGAAACCAGTACGGTGAGAGGGAATAGATAGTTGGAGAGTATTACTGGAACGAAGGTTACGTTCGTGAGTTTCAAAAAGGTACTTGAATTTTACGTTACTTTAATTAATTATTAATTTTACCAGAGGGAGACTTTGTACAAAAGTCGATTGCTTACCATTGCAAAGGTACCCTGTCCCATTCGTGTTTCAACCGTGAAGCAGTTGTGTTTGCATGGCTGTGTTTCGGTTTGAAGGGTGGGATATGGCGTGAATTTACAGGGTACACAGGAATAACACCCGAGTCCTCAGGAATGGCAACGCATGGGGGTATCATTGGCGAAACAATATACTCTGTTATGTCCATGGTACTGCTCATGTCTATAGGCGACGGTTACCACTTTCCATCAGGTGGGCCGTCAGCTTGTTTGCCATTCCAAGTTGTATAAAAAAAAATACTGATTAAGTAGTTAGGAGACTGGGATTTATGCATTTTTTTTTGTAAATGTATTATTTTATCTAGATTTTTGTGTATGTGTGTTGTGATTTGTGTTGTGTGAGCAATGCTGTGTATGAGAGTGTGTCTGCACCCACCAGCCTCGCCGCATGAGCGCGGCGGCGCGGTTGGAGTACAGCACGGCGCAGTTGGGGCAGAGGCCGATGGCGCTGTTGTACAGCTGCACCGCTGCTGAGTAGTCACCCTTGTTCACGTACTCGTTGGCCTGCGGGCAACATACGTTTTTATTTTTAAATAAAAATTTAATTCGCTTGAAAAAGTTTAATGGAAGAAATCTCTTATAAGAGATAAGCTCGCCTTTGTATATTAAATTTTAATTGTTCTTAACATAATGTTTGTAAATATGGGTAAATAATAAAAAAAAAAAATTGTACAAAAGAAAAATGCAAACTTTAATCAGGACACTCGTTTTGATTCAAAAATAGGCAAAAGTATCATGTTTTTTTTTTCTGATGGATGAAAATGGAATGGTAGCACCGCTTGCGCTAACCGGATATGCTGGTGGAGCACCAGTGAAGGGTGATCGATGAGAATGAAAACAGGCCAGTTAGTTAACCCATCATGATGAATTCATCAGAAATTAACCATGATAGTTTCCAGGGGGAACCGCGAAGAGGTCGACCTGGTTGGATATATTGCTAGCAATGGGATTTTTAGTCTTCATTACTAACAAGCCCTTTTCCCCCTGAAAATATCATGTTAGAATATATATCAGTCTCCTATATATCATTAAAAATGATTATTGCTGACTAACCTTCTCCTTAAGAAGCCGTACAGGTTCGGGCAGTTGTGCGGGCGGGTCCATGGGTCCGTGGGCTACGTTGGTGCCGTTGGTACCGTTCCGCGGCCCCTGCTTGGCCTCCCCCTCGCGGTAGCCGTGATTGTGCTGGATGATAAAGCTCTCCACGAGCACCGGCCGTCGAGCTGAGTTTATGTCAAACAGATATACCTGCAAACATTTGTTATTTATGAACACTTAGTTGTTATACCTTAGTTGTTTTTCTATTTAAATATTATTATGTAAGTATTAAAAATGCATGAAATGTATGTAAGGATAAAGTCTTCAGCTCTCTTTTCTCTGTCTACCTTGTAAGGGACTTGGCGTCAAAATAGATAAATTATCAAAACTCTTTCATATAATCCGGCGCAAAGGACCAATATAACTAAATAAAGAAACAACTTTTACCTCGATTATAATGACTAAAATAAAAAACGTCGTCACGATGGGCTAACTGACCTACTTTATCGTCACCTATCATCCCTCACTGGTGCCCCGCCAGCGTATACCGATAGCGCAGACGGGATTATCATTCCATTATCATCCATTAAACAACCTATTAAAAGCGATTCTTTGGGGAAAAAGTCTAGTTCCACTGTTGGACCTCTCCTGTAAAGGGATACTAATGATCTTTATGATGACAGAAGTATAGTCAACTAACTTTTACCCACGATATCGTCTATGGTACTGGAATGTATTAAAAAGTGACTTATGTCCGTCTCCATCTCATGTAATATGTACATACCAAATTTTACATAATAAACAAACAAACTGACTTGTGTTATGTCCATGCTACTGCTCATGTCTATAGGCGACGGTTACCACTTTCCATCAGGTGGACCGTCAGCTTGTTTGCCATTCTAAGTTGTATAAAAAAAAAACTTTCACATTGTTAGTTACATAAAACAATAAACTGCTTTCAATTATAAGTGGACTGTATTTAATATTATAGACAATTTTAAGTAACAGCTATTCTATGGGACGGTAGAAGCAAAAAGTGACTAAGTGACAGTTTGAATTGTACTTTGTAACTAGTTTAATTGTTGCCATGCTTAATAATTATAAATAAAAAAAATACAAGATACTTTATGATCAAATTATCTTGTACACATATTTATAATATTGCTTGTTTGCTTGAGTACCTCTGTTCCATTCGTGTTTCAACCGTAAAACAATTGTGTTAGCATGGCTGTGTTTCAGTTTGAATGGAGAGTTACGGCAGTGACTTTACAGGGTACAGAGGAATAACACCTGAGTCCTCAGAAATGGCAACGTATGGAGAGTATCATGGGCGAAACAGTATACTCTATTATGTCCATGGTACTGCTCATGTCTATAGACAACAGTTACCACTCTCCATCGAGTGGGCCATCAGCTAGTTTGCCATTTTTAATTGCATAAAAAAAATAGGGAGTAAGGATACCTGTTCAGAGCCAAGGTTGACTAGTAATTCGTTGCCGTCGTGACTAAAAGCTACGTATGTGGTCGCCTTCTTCGGGAACGTGTGTTCATTCGGCTCCATTGATAAATGACCTGCACAAAACGTTATACTTTTATAATTATACAGTACTTTCTTAATTATACATAGTACTATCATACCTACTTGTACAACAATTAGTCCATTGCCCTAAGGTTCGTCTTGAAAAGATTGCTCTCAGCAATAAGACCGCCTTACTGTACTTATACAATTGTATCGTTGTGTTTGTAAATTGTCTTGCTTATTTCCTATATTGTATAATGCAAATAAAGTATACTCATTCATTCATTCTATTTTATTTTATACCACTGAGGTGGCATATTCATTCTCAAATGTGAAAACTAAAGTATTATATATAATGTCACAACCTGTAATTTGAAAATGACAAATATTAATGTCCCATTAAGTATTGGGCTTGATAGACCCATGCCAATATGTGTATGGGAATAGCCCCATAAGAGAAGGATAAAACACCTTAGATATTTCATTCAATATACCTTGCACTACTACATTAACGATTTCTTTCATCGTGACGATTTTTGATAATTCCTCCACATACTTGGCGCAAAGCGGAGCGCGGCAATACGGGGCATGTTGAGGTCGGGGTCTCAATATGCCCGCACCGCCACGCACCTTGTGTGAAGTAGTACACGGTAGCACGGGGCATGTGTCCCAGTGTCTACACGTACCCGGCACGAGATATACAGTGGCACGGGGCTCATTGAGATCGGGGTCGTCGTGCCCCAGTGCATCAGTGCCACCACGTACCTGGCGCGAAGTAGTGCACGGTGGAGCGCGGCACGTTGAGGTCGGTGTCGCCGTGCCCCAGTGCCCCTGTGCCACCACGTACCTGGCGCGAAGTAGTGCACGGCGGAGCGCAGCACGTTGAGGTCGGGGTCGCCGTGCCCCTGTGCCCGTGTGCCCCCACGTACCTGGCGCGAAATAGTGCACGGCGGAGCGCGGCACGTTGAGATCGGGGTCGCCGTGCCCCAGTGTCCCAGTGCCCCCACGTACCTGGCGCGAAATAGTGCACGGCGGAGCGCGGCACGTTGAGGTCGGGGTCGCCGTGCCCCAGTGTCCCAGTGCCCCCACGTACCTGGCGCGAAATAGTGCACGGCGGAGCGCGGCACGTTGAGGTCGGGGTCGCCGTGCCCCAGTGTCCCAGTGCCCCCACGTACCTGGCGCGAAATAGTGCACGGCGGAGCGCGGCACGTTGAGGTCGGGGTCGCCGTGCCCCAGTGTCCCAGTGCCCCCACGTACCTGGCGCGAAATAGTGCACGGCGGAGCGCGGCACGTTGAGGTCGGGGTCGCCGTGGCCGGCCCGCGAGCACCGCACGTGCTGCCGCTCCCACATCAGCCGCGACGACGGCGCGTTTACCTGACAACACCACCACACCACACCACGTCAGCGAAATATTCTTTGTCAAATAAATACCACGGATTATAAATATTTTTTGATACTCAAATATACCATAAAAAAAAAGAAATATAATGCAGTAATATTTCTTCTATTTAAATCTAATATCGCATTTATCTTAAATAGATCTTCCTGTTTGGGTGAACACTCCATAAAACATCTATGCACATAACAAATCTGCTCATAGTTCTATGACTAATTGCAGAGAAGAAAAAAAGGTATATGGCATGAGTAAGGTACACTATACCGCTTCTAAGCTATAGTATCCATTATTTTTAAATATATACAAAAAAAAAAAACTATAAAAAACCACTTATTTAATTTTATAAGATTTCAAAAAGAAGAAAAAATAGTTTTTTGTTGGTTTTAGACCCATTTTTTTTTTAAATACGGAGCCTATTCTCACCTGAAGTTTCGCCAATTTGATCATCCTAGTATCGTATAGTCGCACGTAGAAGTCGTTCGCGCCGACCGCGAGCTGATACGGCCTGCGGGGGTTCACTGCGACGCACTTGGCCTCCGCGTAGCGGCCGAGGTGGTTCAGCAGGTTCACTAGTACGTTAGCGGAGTCCGAGTTGCAGCGATGTGACATTCGCATGTCGTGTTGTCTTGAAAAACAAGATAGGTTAATTATTTTTTACTTCAACAAAAAAAAATGCTCATGACACAAGTTAACCCTTTGCATTCCAGCCTAATAAGTCATAGAGAATACCAATAACTCAGTACCATATTAGTTACAAGTACATCCCTGCGATGTAAAAGAAAAATGGAGTAATAAAACAAAACATTTATTTTTTAAAAACTTATTAAACATTAACATTTGAAGACTTATTAATGTTACAGTGTACATTGTGATATCTATGGTGGGCGCCACTTTCTACCGAATAGTTTGTCAGCTTGATTACTTTTACAGGTGAGTCTATAACTCATAATGGTAGAACCATTATGAGTTATCACATCAGGTGTCACAATCATTGCTTTGTGTAATGAGATCCTGAGTTTATTTCACAATTAATTCAATTGTGGAAATTAGCTTAGGTTCAGATGCCTGGGTTGTGTCTCCAGAAGTCCATTGCCTAGTTCCAGCGCCACATTTTAGACCTATGGATTTCCTAGGCTACATCTATAGTAGGGGTTTCATTTTACATATAAAACAGACGATTATATTTTAAAATTTAACCTTAGAATTATAAATTCATTTTATATTATTAAATTTTTATTAACATTTTACCAGAAAATTAAATATTTAACTGTATTTAAAATGGCAATAAATAACTGTCTCTGTATTTGTAATCATTACTACTTCTTTGACTAAAGGGAATTCTTAGCAGTTAGAGCTGACATAACAGTGTTGCTAGTAATATAAAATACAGCATACACTAGTAGAAAATTAAGTTATTACTTTTTCATTTACTTGATTTAATAACTAATTCTACCCATTTGCGACAATAATCTATTTGTGGTGGACTCCTTATGTTGTGGAGGCACCTAGTCTATAATAGGTTATGAGGAACCAGGCATCACCACATTAGACATAGACTACATAGGTGTAGTCTATATCTAAATGTGGTGATGCCTGGTTCCTCATAACACAGGGTACAGTAGTAGCACTTGTTATTACAATGCACACTGCAATGACCACAGTGGCAGTAAACTATAACTTTTTTTTAATGAATGATAATGGAATGGCAACCCTGCCTGCGATATCGGTATACGCTGATGGGGCACCAGTAAGGACTGGTAAGAATGAAAAGACAGGTCAGTTAGCCTATCGTGATGAATACACTTGGAATTCAGCAAGATTTCAGGTGGGGTCGACCTGATAGGGTATATTGCTAGCAATGGGACTGATACAGTCCGCATTACTAACCATCCCTTTCCCCGCAGTTAAGTACAACTAGAAGAGTGTAGAGTGCACTCACAGCACGAGCCCGTCCTCGCCGGCGGACCACAGCAGCTGCGGGTTGTCGGGCGCGGCGGCGAGGCGCTTGACGCGGCCGCAGTGGCACGAGCAGTCCCGCAGCGCCGCGCCGCCCGCCAGCGACCGCGCGCGCACCGTGCCGTCCGCCGCGCACGTCGCCACCGTGTCCGCCGACAGGAACTGCCGCCCACCACACCCCATTAACGTCAAGTACAGTACCCATCACTCACCAGTACTGAACCTATGCCTCCCCCATAAAAGTGGCAAAAGTAATTGCCACACTAGGCAGACGTGTTGCCAATTAGAGTTGGACGTTGATGATGTTGCCAATCAGAGTTGGACTTAAGAAGGATGTAGATTATCCCTTCATTCATTAAGTTCCCTTAGTCGCCTCTTAAGACATCCACAGAAATTTTTTTGGTCCATTCTATACCTGGACATATGTGGGATACAGCAGTGATATTAAAAAGTATAGAGGCATATCGCCATAGTTCTCAGAAATAATAGACAATGGTTACTCCTTTCTATCAAATGAACCATCAGCTTCTTTGCTATTCTAAATTGCATACAAAACCAGATAATGGTTACATCCATTAGTTTATTAAGGAGATAGCCTAAAAAATACGTACTGCACAAAACACACATCAGCTTATCCTTGCATCTACAAGATATAGAGAGTAACTAGAAGAACAAAGCATGCTATACTAACATAAAAGAAGGACTCAAAAAATCTCTTTAGCAAATGACATAAACTATGGTACAATTACCACTTTCAACAACTTATGATGGTGAGATTATTTACCACTATTAGTTGCATAAAAATGAAATTGTATTACTTAATCATTGCTGTCAATACCTGAACCATAACAACATGGATTTTATTTGTCACTACATAGTATAAAACAAAGTCGCTGTCGCTGTCTGTCCGTCCCTATGTATGCTTAAATCTTTAAAATTACGCAATGGATTTTGAAGCAGTTTTTTTTTTAATAGGTAGAGTGATTCAAGAGGAAGGTTTATATGTATAATACATGCATAATATTGTAGAGAAACACTGATAAATTTAGAGGTTTCTAATGTGACGTGATGTAATGTGCACCTGCGCGAAGCCAGGGCGGGTAGCTAGTTTTGTATATTAATTAACCTGACTTTATGGACACTCATTGTTATACATAGTTCCTTTCATACATGCACTTATATTACTTACATACACCCACTCTAACTTGCCTACCTCACTTTAGAATTATAATTTTCGTTTGTATAAATAAAATCCATTATTGGCTGTATTTATAAGAGACTTAGCATGTAAGTTGTGTTTTTAAGAGCTGTGGATATTTGTATTAAATAACTAAATAAACAAAAAAACAATGACTTAGTTACTTATTTGACATAATTACAGCATTTATTTCTACCAGAGGGAGACTGTACAAAATTCGATTGCTTGGATACCTCTGTCCTATTCATGTTCCTACCGTAAAGCAGTTGTGTTTACATAGCTGTGTTTCGGTTCGGTGGGATATGGAGTGAATTTACTGGGTACAGAGGAATAACACCCGAGTCCTCAGGAATGGCAACGCGTGGGGGGTATCATGGGCGAAACAGTATACTCTGTTATGTTCATGGTACTGCTCATGTCTATAGGCGACAGTTACCACTTTCCATCAGGTGGGCCATCAGCTTGTTTGCCATTCTAAGTTGTATAAAAAAAAATTTTGCTATTGCACATTAAAAATAATTTTATGAAGCTTGTAAATAATTACAGCCACTAAAACTTTAAACAAATTAAAGTAATGATTCCCGGTTTATAAATATAGTCTTACATTTTTTTTTTTACATTTCTATAAATATGCTCATCATAATTATGTTCATTATTATCCCATCATCATCCATCATTAAATAATAATATAAAAAAAAAACTAACAGCTTTGTTTACACATGAACTTAAACTGTACAATTTAAATATAAAAAAAAATGAATATATATATCACAATGCATGCAGAAATATTTTATTGTTTTCTCATTAAATTATATTAGCAGGTGAATGCAAATTAATTGATAAAATTCTTATCTTACAATGACATCTGTACATCTAGACCTCGCATGATCTCTTTTTATACAATTATAAACATGTGGCATGTAATTATAGACCTTAGCACATTCAAATAAGGTAAGATATATAGCATTCAAAATTACAAGTCATGCTTACAGCCTGCACACATTTTTATAGCAGGTAATGTTATCTCTTAAAATGAGTCAACATTGTTTATCAACATTTGTATAAGACAATACTAAGATAAACTTTAATAAGAGAACTTTTAAATTAAACAATTTAAATACAAAAGGTATCAACCTTCAGTATTATATATAATAAATTTACACATACAAAAATCCACAGCTCTTTTACAAAATAATTTATATGTGTGTTACATTTACACTCAGTGTCTTACAAATACATCCAACAGTATAATAATTTTATACACATACCCACTCTAATTTTATAAAATAAATTAGAGTGGGTATGTGTGAAAGAAATAATAACAATGAGTAAATCCAAGCATTATATCTATCTTATATATAAAAACATCAAACCTCTAATAGAACTATTTTAACTATTAAACTTGTTTCTGTTTCTTTAATGTTAAATGCTCAATAAAAAAAAACTGACAAATGTATAATAGTTAAAATAGGTTTATAGTTTTAATTTTTATAAATAAGGGGGTATATCTACAAACCTATGACTGTTCATTTAATTTATTGCTTTAACCACCTAATATTTGTCTTGAATACAAAAAAAAATATTAAGTTGGCATTTTTAGTCAAACAAAGCAAGCCATTGTAAACAAATTATTTTTAGAATAGACATAAGGAATAGGGGCTTACCTTCACTGAGAATATATTGCCTGTATGGTCTGTAGCTATATTATGAAGCTGCTTATACCGATAGGGGTCCCACAAAATCACATGAAGATCGTCAGAGGCCGATGCTAGTATACTGTGGAAGAATAGGTGTGTTCATGAAACACAGCAAACAATTAGCACATTTTACAAGGCAGACAAATTTAGACAAACTTACGATCCGTCGTGATTCCATTCGAGGCAATTTACACAGCCAGAGTGCCCGTGAAGCTCCTTCTCGAGTCCTAACCGGTTAATCATGCTTCTGGTCACCACAAGGCGACTCTGGAATTGTCTATCGACATCTCCGCGTTCCCGGGCGGCAGTCAGCCCTACTGTGCCCTTTGTCCAAGCAGGATCCTCTCTCCGACCCATATTTGCTAAGTATTACTCAATATGTCTGATCGACCATCACAATCAGACAAAATTACGAACTAACTGCGGCTTGATCTATTTATAGTATACGATATTATAACACTCATTATTGCCTAATAAGATGGAAATTGTTTTCTAGAACGATAATATTGTTAAAAAAATCTAATAAACAAACAATTATTATTGAACAATAAGCTTTTTTCTAGATGTGAAGGAGAAATTTCTATGAAAATATGTAACTGTCAAAAGGGCTGTCACTTCAGCACTTCAGTGAGTTGCCAGTTTGCTAAACAAGTTGCAGATTTTTATCTATGATAAGCAAAGAAAATACAATCAATCAATATCCAAGTATCAACGAATAAATATACACATGCTTACTACAAAAAATATATTCATTTCATAATTAATAGGTACCAAATATTAAGTTATATTAACAAATGAGTAGGCAAATTTTATTTGTAACACAGTGATAACGACAGTGACATGCAAATGCCAATTTCAATTTAATACAAAAACATTTATATCATGGTCTGTGTTTTAAGTTTAATTATCTGCTATTGTATGTTTTTGATTACTGACACTACTGAAGATAACGACCGTATCTAAGGATGTTTAATTTTTTTGCCTTCCCTATTGGTAAGGAAAAGCCAAAGAATAAGGAGCATTAATCTTAGGAAAAATTAAGAGGAAAACGGAACAAAAAAATTACTGACACTATTATCTGTGATAGTCAGCGTTGCGTATTTTTCGCAATTTTTGGCTTTGGAGAAATTCGGATAAATTTTTGGACAGTAATAGAACTTATACTTAATATATTGAGAGAAAAAAATATTTGACGTTAAGGTAATAATCAATAATTCGTATCTAGCAACCCAGGTGACATTTGACGTTAACTCGTTGCCTGATGAATTCCAGACAAATTATCTTTTTGAAGACTAGGCAGCATGGTCTCCGACCTTAGCCTGTTCCAAACGGAACAAACGTACTAAAAAAAAAAAAAAAAAAGTTGCCTGATGAGCTATTTGTATATAGTGTAGTTGAAATAATATTGTTTTGTTTTGTTAATAAAATCTGTTAATAACTACCTTTATATTTGTTTTGTTTACTTTTCGGTTCTTCAAAATTTTAATTCATCGTTTTTGAAAAGTGTAATTGTGACACAAATCAAAATTGGGAAACAATAATAAGGTAACATGTTATTTAATTTCGATATGTAATCTAAAATACATCTTTCTTTTAATGGATGATAATAGAATGTTAATCCCGTTTGCGCTATCGGTATACATTGGCAGGGCACTAGTGAGAGATGATTGGTGAGGATGAAAAAGCACGTCAGTTAGCCTATCGTGATGAATTCAACGAAAAATTTGTCGCGATGGTTTCCAGGGAGAACCGCGTCGAGGTCAACCTGACAAAGTATATTGATAGCAATGGGGACAAACCTCACCATTACTAACGATCCTTTCCCCCCATCTAAAATATTTAGTTTGTTATAAGTAATAACCAAGTTTAATGGTAATTGTTTTAAAGAAACATAATATTTTTAATTAATTCAGACAAAATGGGCGAACGAAAAGGTCAAAACCTCTACTACCCGCCCGACTACGACCCAAAAGTCGGTGGGTTGAACAAATTCCTCGGCACTCATGCGTTACGGGAGCGCGCTCGGAAGCTGCACATGGGGATACTAATCATCCGCTTTGAGATGCCATATAATATATGGTGTGATGGCTGCAACAACCACATAGGCATGGGTGTGAGGTACAACGCGGAGAAAAAGAAGGTTGGCATGTACTACAGTACTCCGGTGTACCAGTTCAGGATGAAGTGCCACCTCTGTGATAACCATTTCGAAATCAAAACGGATCCTGGCGTAAGTATTGTCATCAACATCATCATTGTTTAATATAAATGACTCATCATCCCATAGCTGTGTCTACATATATGTGTAACAGGAATTTTATGACATCTTTATTTCTAGTTGAACTTTAAACAATTGCCAGAAATGACAAACATAGTATTCCATTACACATATGTATAGACATCATTATGAAATTAATATAAGTTTTAAAAATACTATCCCACAGTTAGACACAGATCTATTATTACCACCATAGTCAGCTACCCATTAACAATGTCGTCTGACAATAAAAGTTTAGCATTGCCATCTTTTACACCTTAACTGGAGAGTTACCAATATTGACAGTATAAATTTTAAACTTTTTTTTATATAACTTAGAATGGCAAACAAGCTGACGGCCCACCTGATGGAAAGTTGTAACCGTCGCCTATAGACATGACTGCTCATGTCTATAGACGACATGGTACTGCTACCATGGACATAACAGAGTATACTGTTTCGCCCATGATACCCCCCATGCGTTGCCATTCCTGAGGACTCAGGTGTTATTCCTCTGTACCCTGTAAATTCACGCCATATCCCACCATTCAAACCGAAACACAGCCATGCAAACACAACTGCTTCACGGTAGAAACACGAATGGGATAGAGGTACACAAGCAGTCGACTTTTGTACAAAGTCTCCCTCTGGTGGAAGACAGTTTATTTTATAAAAATATTTTAAATTATTTTCTATAAAAACTGAAAATAATTTGTTACTCATAGTAAGAGTTTTTAAATTTTATTCTGGTTATATCTAGAAAACTACTATTTGCTATCAATACAACAGTTATTCAACTATGCTATCATAATTTATATTCCAAAATATTCCTATGAAATTCATGGAATAGGATCCTAAAGGGCTTTGCCGACTGCACATAGTTGCAGCCATGTGATGAAGGCTTGTTCCAGTCGAAGATAACATAAATAGGTATCACCTAAGTTGAGCTACCTGTGAGCAGCTGCAACTGGTTTTAGTCAGCTAAACTAGGTGTAACCATGCTTTAGCTTTTAGCTGTTACATATATATCATAGAATTTATGAAAACAAGAACTAGTTCAGGTCATTTTTAATAAATACTTAAACTCACGATGGGTTTTCCCAAGTGACTATAGGAAAAGCTAGTCCTAGACTAATTTTTATTTGTCTTGATTACTTATTTACAGAATTTAGACTATGTCATAGTATCAGGAGCAAGACGTCAAGAGAATAGATGGGACCCCACCGAAAATGGGCAGGTAGTACCAGAAACAAAGGAAACCCAAAAACGACTATTTGATGATCCAATGTTCCGACTGGAGCACAAGACTGGGGACGAAGTTGGTGCTAAACAGGATAAACCCAGGCTCGGAAAGCTAGTTGGAAGGAATGAAACAGTATGGAAAGATGATTATGAAGCTAATTGCTCTTTGAGGAGGAACTTTAGGGTATGTATATGTATGTCTCCTATTAGTTTATACAAACACATAAAATTAAAAAAAAATAACTTACCTCAAGGATATATGCTCTTTAGGGTCAGGAAGAACTGTTCATAATAGCTATGCTCTCCAATGGTAATAATTAATTGAATAATCAATAATTGCCCATAGCCTATTGGTTTATAACTAACAATTGGTCCTTTGAACCGGATTAACTTATTTATTAGATTCCTATGACAAACAAATAATTATAGTTTTCTATAATTGTTACAATTATTTCCCATTTCATAAATATTTTATTGCAACTATATATATATATATATATATATATATATATATATATATATATATATATATATATATATATATATATATATATATATATATATATATATATATATATAATAACTTATTTGTAATTGTTTCTTTTACAGAAAAGAAGGAAAGAACTTGAAGAAACATCAGTAAATGACAGTTTACTGTTAGCTAAATCCTCATTGGACATTAGCCTTTTACCGGAAACAGAAAACGATAGAAATATGGCCACACTATTGTCTCTTCAACCTTCACGGAGTATAGACGAGAAACAGAGCTTAACTAGACTACGAATCCTAAATAGCCCAGCATTACCCAGTTCAGGTGGACTAATTCCTGCTATTGGTAGACTGAAGAAGGAAAAACTGTTAAGTAAAAATACTCCATTGACAATAAATTCTTTAGGTATTACTTTTAAAAACAATAAAGTTGAAAAAGAGGAAATACACACAGAAAATAATCCAAAAATTCAGGTCAATGATGAGAAACATATGGAAGAAACAGTAAAAGATAAAGAAGTAAATCAAACTACACCTAATACCAGTGTTATCAGGGATGATAAAGACACAGTGCCCAGCAAACCCAATAGTTTAACATTATTAGCCGATTACAGTTCTAGTGGAGAGGATTCAGGGTGACTTAACAAAATTTTGTTAGAACTCATTAAACATAATATTATAACAAAGCCTTTTTATTTCCTTATCCTTGTTTACAGTACATGTTATATCAGCTGTCTGCTGAACATAGCCTTCTTCATAAGTGAGGTTTTGCCAGTAGTTGCTATGTTTGGCAGGCGGATTGGCAACCGTAGTTTGGTTTTGATTTTAAGAGGGATGCTGCTGCTCATCTCTATACCATTAACTCCCTTAGTCGCCTTTTATGACACTCACGGAAAAGAAAGGTGTAGCTTATTCTATGCCGGGGCCTACACACCTACATCGAGACTTACGAGAAGGGATCAAAAAGTAGTGAGAACGACATACTTCTGGGTAAGAAAAAAAAATACTGGCAGGCATAGCTCAGGTACATATTTGTAATATTAATAAAGAAAAAATCTTCGATTCTCTTTTTTTTCTGAAGGTAGTCATTTGTTTGCTTCTGAACGTCGGAACGTGTTCTCAAAAATGGAGAAAAACGAAATGCGAGCCTTTATTAAATACCTCTGTTTAAAAAAGTTAACGGAAGACAAACATCGTTGCAGCCGTCCATCGATATCAGTCACCCAAGAAAATGTTGCGAAAGTCGAGATAATTGTATTGAGCGATCGAAGAGTTACCATCCGATACTTACTTCAAGAAACGGTCATTTCATATGGAAGTATTCAATCTATATTGAAATAATCTTTGAATATGAGAAAGGTCTCCGCAAGATGGATGCCAAGCGGCCATCAAATCCGACCCCGAAGAAGTTTCGTGCCGTGGCATAACTGGCAAGGTTATGGGCTCAATATTTTGGGACAAAGAAGGGATATTGTTGGTTGATTACCTGGAGCGTGGAACCACTATTACAGACCAATATTATGCAGCTTTAATTCCCAATTGAGAAATGCCATCAAAGAGAAAAAGAGAGGGAAACTTCGAAGGGGCCTGCTGTTTCATCACTACAACACACCTGCGCACAAGTCGGCTGTTACAATGGCTGCCATTCAGCTAGCTGACTTCGAATTTTTTATTTATTCATTAAAAATAATAACAACATTATAACAGCAAAAGCCAAATCAATGTTATAAATCTAGTTTGCTAACATACAAATTTATAATAAGTGTATTTAACCCGACTCGAGATATGTCTGAGCCGCTTCTAATATCTTTGGCAGGCTGCTACTAAATATATCAATGATGTTTATAATATTATTTAATAACCGTACTGCGTGAGTTAAGGGAGCGTGTTGAAGTACGTTAGTTCTTACTGGCGGTACATTAAACGTAACCGGATGACGACGCGCGCTAACATAAGCATTCGGTATTCGCAGTTGAACTGTGTCATATCCTCCGTATTCTACGTACTGTCTGCGTTCACCAAGGTAGTCAGCAAAAATTTTAGTTTAGATGCGGCGTAAATCCCATGGCAGCAAACTTAGTCAATAAAACGTCATTATCGACAGTATCGAAGGCTTTTTGGTAGTCGAAATAAGCGGCATCAACTTGACCTCCAGCACCGATAACTGGTGCCATATATGATACCAAGGACAGCAGATTACTTCCCGTACCTCGACCTTCCCGGAAACCATGTTGGACATCGGATAACTGTGATTTTATCTGTGAATGTATATTTTCATTTAATACTGAATCGAATACCTTGGCGAAAGCAGACAGCACCGCCACCGGTCAGTGTTCACTTACATCAGATCCAGAATTTCCCTTACGCACAGGAGTCACTCTGGTGATTTTCTAGTCTTTCGGTTAATAACCTTTCATTAAACACAAATTAAATATGTGTAATAAAGGTTCTTCTAAAGCCATTCGACAGTTTGATAATAAACGATGGTATACCATCAGGGCCAAATTGGTTGACCACCCCCCTTATTTACCAAATCTGGCGCCTAGCGATTTTTATCTGTTCCCCAAACTGGAAGAATACTTAAAAGGAAACAGGTCCGAAGACGATAACGAGGTGATGGATGCCGTGGAGAGCTTTTTGCAGGACCAAGACAACTTTTTTTTAAAGGGATTGAAGCCTTGGAAAAGCGCTGGACTCGGTGTGAGTGTGGTAGAGAGACTCGGAGAGTACGTAGAAAAATAAATTATTAAGTTTAATTTAGTTTACCTTCAGATTTTCACCTCTGATTTCGTTTAACCTCCATCGATTTTCATGAAAATTGGTGAATAGGTGGGGGATACCTTAAGAAACAAAAGAACATAGTGCCAGATTGCGCTTTTACCCTGGGGGTGGATGCCACCCCTTCTCGGGGATGAAAATTATTTTAATAAAAATAACCCTAGGAATCGATAAAGAGACAAATTCTAAGCAAAATTTGTTATATAAAGTTTTTGGAATAACTCAATACTTTCCGAGTTATTAAAGATCAAAGATTATGATTTTTTGTGAAGTCAAAATGAGCTATAGGTAGCTAAGTATTCAAACTTAAATAACGATGCATTTTATGACATATACTTCCTAAAGAGTTTTTAAAGTACACGGAATAACCTTTCTAGCACTGTAAAAAGTTAATAGCATCAAAATTGAGCAAATTATGATAAAAATAAGATGTCACTATCAATTTTTTTTTTGGAACAAACGAAAATTACAACTTTCACCATTTCCACAAAAATTTAAATTTGTGGTTATCCCTAAAGGACTTTCTTTTTTAGCATAAGTGATGACTTCAAATATTTTGCCTGGTTTAGAATACTTATTTTTGAAAAAAAGTATGATTTAATAAAATTGAAAGTTTTAAAATTTTCGTAAATTTCATTTTCTTTTGAAAATAACTTCTAAAATATTGGATATTCGTAAAAATGATAAAGAACAAAATTTCAGTTCTTTTTTTAACAAAGATTTTGTTTTTTTTTTTTTATTTTTATAGAAACAAAAATAACTGAGATAGAGACGTTTAAAGCCTAACTTTTACTGCGAGAACCATGTAACCGGGATCCTTTATCTTTTAAAAAATAAGAACTAAAAAAATCTTATTTAAGACAGTCTTATAGCTCTTCCACGTGGTCCTCCCTGGAAACCATCGTACTGAATTCCAGGTAAATTCATCACGATGGGCTAACTGACCTGTTTTTTTCATTCTCACGTATCATCTCTCACTGGTGCCCCGCCAGTGTATACCGTTAGCGCAGGCGGGTTTACCATTCCATTATCATCCATTAAAAAAAAAAAAAAAGTCTTATAGCTCTTGAAATTACCTTTCAAATGGTTTTTGGATGAACCTGATATTTTAAAAAGTTAATGGAGTTATTGTAAAAAAAGAAATTATATTTTTTTGGAACAGAGATTTTGTATGCATATGTATATTATAGGAAAACGTGTCAATAGGTACATGCTTATTAAATACACATGTATGGGTGTGTGTATGTGTGTTTTGAAGATAGAGAAAGCGAAAGGAATGGTATACATGTATTTTAATACATTTTTCTCTTAATTAATAAATTAAATTCTCATGTCAAAAAATACGTCATGAGACAAACAATATTAAAAAAATATTTCCAACTTTAAAGTATGCTTTTTCATCACTTTTTGCATAAAGGGCAGTTTGAAGTCGTAGTTTGAAGAATGTGAATTGAATAATACTAATAAAGTTTGAAATATACACACTTCAAAAAATTCATACTATTTCAAATTATTAATCAATTATTATATAATTTCTTATTAAGTAGGTAATACCTACGTAAACTTTTTTGATCTAGGGGACATACTGGCTGGTTGTAAAAAAAATAAAGTATCATTTTTTTTCACAAATTCAAAAGCGATTGTATTTGTTCGAATTTTATAGCGTTTTCTTTACTTATTAAAATTTAGTATTCTGTATCAATTTTATGATTTAAACAATAAATTAAAAAAAGTTTCGAACGAATTTGGATTTTGAGACATTTTTTACGTTATGGAGCGAAGTCATTTGAACGCAGATGAAATGCAAAGAGCTGTAGGGATGTTGCAAGCGGGACGAAGTCAATCTCAGGTATCTCGGTATTTTGGTGTCAACAGAAGCGTTATTTGCCGTCTTCATCAGCGTTACACTAACACGGGAGATCCTGCTGATTAGCATCCAGGTCGAGGAAGGTGTACACCTACACGGCAAGATCGATACATACAACTGACTGCAAGACACCAGCTGATGTTAATCGCCTGAGAGGTAGGTTTAAGGCTACAAAATTCAAGTGGTGTTGTTGTTAGCTGCCAAACTGTGCGAAATCGACTGCATGAGTATGGCCTACGAGCACAACGGCCAATTAGGTGCCCACCGATACGTCACGGGAATCGCGCTTATTAGAAGAGCAATTTATTATTTATAATATTTAATATATATAAAATGATATGTGGAGTATTACGTAATACTAACTTTACATATATGTATATAATATATTCTTTAGCAATATAAAGGTACAACCTTTATATTGCTAAACGGTAACCGCAGTGCAGTATAAAGTACCAACCCTACCTGCAAATAAATATATACGTAGGTATTAAAATCTATATAACTATTTTTATATTTAAATAACACGTGTTCGGATATCACGCTAGGATAATAAATAAGAATTGCCCGCCCAGGCTGTTTGCATATTTCCATGACCGTTTTGATTATTATTTAATTTGTTATATCTCTCATTTAGAGGTAGTTTTAGACACGGGCCAAAGCCAAGTGTTTTTGGAATGTCAGTTCAATGATAGGAACTTACGGACCGGGCGACATGTATTTAAAATGGCTGCTTTTTGGAGGAGTATATATGTGGAGGGTTGTATACATAATGTATGGAGACTTGTGTGTAAGGTTTTCGGGATAACACCCGTTGTAGATAAAACTATTGGTAAGAATGTAGGTACACTGCTGCAGTTCTTATCAGTTTTGGCAATTTAGAACGTACTTACAAACAATAGATACTATATATGTCGGCAAAATTACTTGCCTTTTATCATTACAAACTAATATTGGTCGTTATTTAGAGTGCAATTACGAGTACAATAGGAAACCGTCAATACCTGGAAATCGTCAAACTAATTACAATATCAACGTTACCGGACCACTCGAGTGGTGACTCAGGAAAGGAAAGAAAAGGAAAGGGGTAGTATAACATGGCCACAACGTACTTGACTTGAGATCACGTACACCCATCTTAAAAGTACTAAAGGTTTTATAAGCGACGCCACGACTCCATTAAAGCTGTTAATGGTTCACTTTTCTTTACATGTCCTTTTCAGTAAACTTGGTATATACAGGGTGAAAGAGGCAGGGTGGCCAAAATGAAAACGGCTAATTCAAATGAATAGTCTGAATCGAATGATAGATTATTTTCCAACCGAAAATGCCGCCACGATGTGTATTTGAAATTTTACGATCTACATGACGCGAGATACCTACAGCGCACGGCCAATAGCACTTCCTGCTACGTAGTTTTCGTGCCCTTATGGCGTAGACCTTTCACAGTCAATTCTGCGAATCGCGGTAAGATTTTCATACTCATCGTACATTGCTGTTTTTAAGTATTTCATAGTATTGCACTATAAAATATTATTATTTCTTTGTATTATGGCAATATTATATTTTACGTGATTTTAAATAGAAAAAAAATAATACAGGAAAAAAGTTCGTAATTTCCCGGAATATTTTTTTAATTAATTTTATTAATTAATAAATTTCATATAATTTTTAAAGTGCTTAAGAGAAGTTGGTAAATAAGAGGATTAAGGGTCTTATGTGGAAAAGGAGGGGAAATTGTTAAATAATTTTTTTTTTAATGTTTACCATTTTCGTAAAATTAAAAATTCACATCTGGCAACCCCAGTGATAGTAATCCTTTGCCTTTGCCAAGCTGCTTTGCTGCTCGCGGGTACATAAATAGTGTCCAGTGGTCTGCGACCATCAGTCTACATTTATATTTCACGTGCATAAGAGTGATTAATTGCGTATTCGTCTCGTCTTTGTGATCGTATTGTTAGTCCATTAGTACTAAGAGAAAGATTCTTCCTGATTTTTTTTTCATATTTAATAGTGCTTTGTTATACGTAACGTTATAAGCGGATGACTTACTAGTCCAAGTATTAATAAATTTAAAAACAAAGCTGTATGTTAGATATCCTCTTCCGGTGCCTTATCGCGATATCATTTCTTTCTGCTATCAGAATCGAGTGTTACGGTAAGTAATTTTATTTAATAAAGAACTTTGCACTTACAATTTAGTGATTTACGTTGTTAAAAGTATTGTGTTCTGTCGATGAAAAAATAATAAATCACATACAAGTGAAGTGATATATTTAATTGAAAATTCGGTAGTGGCCACGCTGTGTATCATTGCGTTTCTTTTTCTAGAAGTCTCAAAATGCAGCTGCACATTAGAGGACAATCAACGCACGTGTTAGATGTCAGCGGAGAAGAATCCATTGGACAAATTAAGGTAAAGTCTTAAATAGATAAATTGCACTAGATTGAGAAAATAAATTGTTCTGATTCTTCTGCTTATGATAATACAGTAGTGCTATTTAATCTGTAGATTTTTGATGTTATTTAATTTGGAGTGTCTGTTTGTACTATTGAAATAACCGTTTTTCAATAATTTATTCCTTGTATATCAAAATAACATTTTTTACAATTTTTTTTCTGTCTGTCTGTCTGTATGTTTGTTCCCGTTAATCTCTGAATTGGCTGGACCGATTTTGACGGTATTTTCATTGGCAGGTAGCTGATGTAATAAGGAGTAACTTTGGCTTCGTTTGTTTTAGAAAAATTCTTTTATTTTAGAAAAATGAAGTAACGTTGCAATGTCCGAGTACTGTCCAGTACCGCGCGCAGCTCACGCGCATGTCACAGCTATTGTCAATAAAAATATAACTTGATTTGGAATAAGTAAAAATAAATAAGTATCATAATAGAAAAAACTAAAAAATGAAAGAATCGACTGTTGGGCAGAACGAAGTTCACCGGGTCAGCTAGTAACTTATACATTTGTAATCGTATGCGTATATTTTTATTTGCACTATATCTTAATATCGTGGTACTTAATCTGTAAATTTTTCATGTTATTTCATTTAATAACTTCTAAAGTTATAATTGTTTAGGTAATTATTTGCACTATAATGTACTGGATACAAAACACATATATGTTTATCATGAAACACGATTTGTCAGTTATGGTTGAACTCTCAGGTTTTTTGGTTAGAAATTCTTACAATTATAGACGTGACAATTATTAGATTATCATAAAAAAATATCGATCAGACATTCCTTTACTGATGTGTAGGACACCACGGGCTTTGAAATACAATGGTGGTGATAATTCATAGATAATACATATCATTCATAATTTGAATAACCATTGGTTGGTAATTAGTTTAATGGGTCTAAATAATTAGTCTGATTAGTTAAACTAAGGTAATAGCATGCAGGCTACAATTATTTATAATTAACATTTAAACATTTAAATGTACTTGTTATTAGTGACTTACCCTGGCTTTCAAATCTAATTACATGTAAAATTTTCCTTAAATAGAATATATCCCACACTCCTCGTCGATAATGTTACTTTCTATAGGTGCAAGAATTTTTAAAATTGATTGCGTAGACATTTTTGGAGTTTATGTTGCAAACAGAAAAAAAAATCTTTCCTTTTCCTTTATGATATTAATTTAGACACTACAAAAAATAATACAATGAATGATATTGCGTGTGTATTGTACTTAATAATATTTGACAACGTACAACATTGTGAACTACAGTATCATCGATACCTTTCTCATTTCAGATTATCACAAATTCTAACAATAAATGTATTGTTATTGCATCTTATAAATCAATATCAATATATAAGTATATTAAAACTTCACAAATTATATTTTAGAACTTACACAGTAGATTACTTTTGCTCATTTAATATTTCGAGGAACAGATTTTTTACGTATTGAAGTAAACCTCTTCCGTTTCTCCTTTGAATGCTCAGGCTGTAGAATGAGCTCCTTGTTGTAGTTTTCTTGCCCTAGAAACTACAGTACGAAGTTCTTCAAAAAGAGCATATTTAGGTTTCTTCAGGGTTGGCAATGTAAATGTGACACTTCTAGTAGTGCAGGCGTCCGTAGGCTACAGTGACCATTTACCACTGGACAGGTTGTATGCATTAATATGTACGTATTAATCAATTATATTTTACAGGATCGCCTTCGAGCTTCAGCTGTGGTTGGTGCTGAAGAGCTAACACTATCGGCATGTGGAGCTCCTCTTGATGATTCATGCCTTGTATCTGACCTGGACTCTACAGAACTTGACCTCACAATTCCACTTCTTGGTGGTAAAGTGCACGGTTCTTTGGCTCGTGCTGGTGAGTAGTTTGGTTTGTTTGAGAATGACTTGATATTTAACAATTTTCTTGTTTTAAAGATATCTATACTTATACTCCATACGCGGGTGTCATCTTCTAGTCTCAAGGATTACTAGATTTTTTTGTTTTATGTGTATAAAATAGGAATCCTCGTATTTGCTATGAATATTATATTTTTACCCTAATTATTGTAGTAAAGGTTTTCGATTATTAGTAAATAATTAATAAATAATTCTAGTTTCTGCTTTTGTGTACCGACAAACATTGATAAATATTTTTCTTCTTATATCAGGAAAAGTGAAGAGTCAGACACCAAAAGTAGAAAAAGAACAAAAAAAGAAGAAGAAGACCGGCCGTGCCAAACGCAGAATGCAATACAACAGAAGGTAATATATTTCTTAATACTGCTTTTATTTATTTGGGAGTGTTCATGTAATGCTATGTATGTAAAAAAAACCTCGCCCTCGCCGTCTCTTAGTCGTCTTTTATGACACCCACGGGAAAGGAAAGGATGGCCTATGCCGGGTCCACACAGCCATTCCCTACATGGTTTCCTAACACACTTTTTAAAACTTATGTTTTGCTTTGAAAAAAATTATTATTCCTTTATATAAAATATCTAAAAAAAAAGTACTGATAATTCAAAAATATACCCCTTACAAATCCCATGTTGCTTGTCAGCATTAATAATCTATCATAATTTTGTTACAGATTCAAGAATGTTGATCAAACCGTCGGCCCCCGTCGTGGACCCAACTCCAACTCATAGGTTACATTCTTTGTAAAAAAAATGCAAATATAACATCTTTGCGCCACATTTGTATTTCATTACTTAGTTATAGACATTTTCCTGTTCCCAATATATTCCCGAAGTGATTATTATTGATGATTATCAAACATCTGTTGATCTTACTAGATTGAGCAGACCAAATTACATGATGATAAAACCATCGGCTTATGTTGAAAGCGGGTAATAAGACCAAGTGTTGTTCATGTCACATGTCATATAATTATTTCTTTTTTATACTCTGAATAGCAAACGTGTTGAAGGTCCACCTAATGGAAGTAGTTACCATCGAAGTATTTCATGCGCTATTCCTGTAGACTGATGTCATACTACATATATATCTCCATACCTTGCAGTTTGCCTGCCATATAAGGGTGGACATTTCAAATTGAAACGCAGCCATGTAATCGCAGTTGCATCACGGGTGTCATAGAGGGTTTATGATTTATACAATCTCTGGTAACATTCAGTACTTATCAGGTGGAAGGTGATAACAATCAATAGGTATAAAAGTTTCATTTTTAGTAATATAGCTTTTCAACTCGGCCTTCATGCGTTTCCCCCTGTACACCATCGTGGATAATTCTTATTGAATTCGTCATGTTGGACGAACTGGTCTACTTTCATCCTCACCTATCATCCCTCATGATGCTCCGCCATCGTATACCGATATCACAGATGCAGTCACCATTTCATTTTCACCCATTATAAAGAAAAATACGTTTAACATTACTTCATAACTGATTGAATAGTGATCGGCCTCCTAAATAGGATAAGATGATTATTTTATACTTTATTTGCATTATACAATGTGGGGCAGCTTTTCCCAAAGTGAGCGATAACGCCCCTAGTGGGTCTTGCAGGCCTAAAGGGTAAGTAAGTAAGGTAAGGTAAGAGACCCAGAAAAAAAAAAATGGGGCGTTATGTAGAGGCTTGGGAAGTATTTGTTGATCTTGAAATAATAGTGGTTTTTAAGTAGGTGAAAAAATGGGGGCGCTAAAAAGTAATTTATTCTCAAAGTGGGCAGTAGACAAAATAAGATTGGGGACCCCTGATCTAGGGTATAAGCAAGACAATGTAACGATACAGTTGTATAAGTACAGTAAGGTAATGATAGTCAATAAATAGGTAATAAAAAAATTGAATACTCAACAAAATGTCTTATATTTATAAATTTTTTTAAGAGTAATAACCTCAAATGAAATACTTTTAAAGTAGGTATTACATACGGATTACGGTAACCGCATTGCAGTACAAAGTACCAACCCTACATACAAGTAAATATATACGTAGGTATTAAAATCTATACAACTATGTTTATATTTAAATAACACGTGTTCGGATATCACGCTAGGATAATAAATAAGAATTGCCCGCCCAGGCTGTTTGTATATTTTCATAACCATTTTTATTATTAATGGTTTTGTATATTATTAAGCTCTTATACATACCCGACTAGCCATGATCAATAAAATCGATGAAGTGAGAAACGTCCGACTGTGACTTGGTTACATCTTGAGTTTGTCGCCATTTTCTATTACTTGTTTTTAATTTTCAACTTTTAAACAGAATGTTAGTAATGAATTGTTGAGGTAAAAAGAACAGACTCAACCTTTATGTATTCTATCTATGGTGTTGTCTCTATGAAAAATAATAGATGTAAGCTTTAGGGTTAATTGTCTTTAATTGGAGCTTTGTCTGCGAGTGAGCGCAGCGAATAGACGTTTCAATATTATTTGTTTTGTTTGCTTTTCTGTTCTGCAAAATTTTTATCTATTTATTCGTTTTTCATTTATTAATTGTGACAAAAATTTAAATTGGATAACAATAAGGTAAGAAGTTCATTTTTATTGAATTCGATACGTAATCTAAAATACAGTGTGAACTCTATGTGCCGACACTGAAAGGGTTGCGCATATTCTAGCGTTATATAGAGTTTTCTTCATATGGAGAGAAAAATAAATCCATATTATCTTTGTTACATATTTTTTGCTATCTTAGTATTTAATTTTATTTTTTTCCGTTCCTATGATACCGACGGTCAAGACAAATGCGAGCTAAACAATAAAACAATGCAAATAAATAAAAACAAAAGAATGAAGGTACACCACTGCAGGTCTTATCAGTTTTGGCAATTTAGAATGTACATACAAACAATAGATATAAGTTTACAAAATTACTTGCCTTTTAATGACAAACTAATAGTGGTCGTTATTAAGAGTGCAATTACGAGTACAATAGAAACTCGTCAATACCTGGAAATTGTCAAACTAATTACAATATCAATGTTACCGGCCCACCCAAGTAAAATTCAGGAAAGCGATGCAACTGAATTCCACCAGCATCCGTTCCGCGAATATTGAACCAAAAAGACATTTATTTCTTATTAATATTTTACTCAATTATTTGTGTCTAGGATTAGAAGTTATTTTAATTGTAATCTTTGTTGTAAACATAATATTATAACATAGCTTTGTTATTTCCTTATCCTACTTTACAGTACGTGTTGTATCAGCTCTCAACTGTCTACTGCTGAAACTAGCCTCAGTGCTGTCAAGGTCGGTAAAGACGCAATGCCCAGCAAAACCAATAGTTTAACATTATTAGCCCATTACAGTTCTAGTGGGGAACAAAGTTTTCTTATACTCAATAAATATACCATGTCATTATGAGATAATACCACCTTATTCCTTCCAATTGCTTTCACGAATTATATTTGTATATATAAAATTCATAACCCTGATATTTGAGCAAGAAATTTAATGCGTGAGTGTTTCGATTTAAGGCTGTTTTACCTCCGAAAGCGAATGTAGTCGGTACAAATATTGAACTGAAAGCGATTTATTTTATTGAAAGACTAGAACGTTCTTGCATTACTAAAAACATTGTCCATATTACTATGATAAAATATTAGCCATCAGTATGTTTCTAATCCCATACTTTGTTTTTAATTAATATTTACAAATTCTGGTGCAATTGCAATTGTGCAGGAATCATCAAACGGAGGGGAAGGCTATTTCTCGATGAATGAAAATGCACAACTAACTTTGTGCTCTCATACATTTGTAGGCGTTTACAAAGTTAATTGTGCAGTTAGGTAAGGTTAGAAAATAAATGTTTTAATATAAAATTGGGCTTTTATTGTCTAGCCTCAAAATTATCGTCTCCCCCCAGATCTCCGGTTTCTCGGGAACAATATAGAGACCAAAAGGTTTAGATGGACGCTGTGGATCTCATCTGCTCTTCGGCTCTTCGGCAGCTAGGCTTGAGTGAGAAGGAGGTCTTCATCATAAAGGAGGTGAGAGTGGTCGTAGTCCGGGAGATCATCGCCCACTCGCGGTTGCGCTCATCTGCGACCTTCGTATATCGGACGACATATTAGACCCCGGGATCCGCCAATAGTAAAAAACCTTAAATTTACTAATATATGGGCTTTTACAATAAGACATTATTTCAAGCGAGTCCTTGTTTAAAAATGGTAATAGATTTCATTCTACCCTCTTGTTGAATTATGAGAATAAAACTAATAATATACTTGAATATAACTTTTATTTTCTTTTATAAAACATTCAATTACCTTCAATGATTAACATGCTTCGATGTAGGTAAATATTTAATGTATAATCGACAAGTGTACACCAATTCCAGTGATGGATATTAAATATTGAACATTATTAACATACCTAATTATGTCTTTTTGAATGACAAAAGAATGAAGTGAAAGATGATAGGCGAGTATAAAAGCAGGTTGGTTGGTCTAACCTCATGAATTCACTAAGAATGAATTATAATGGTTTCCATAGGACACCGCGTGGAGGTCGGCTTGACATAGTAGGAATAGTGCTAGCAATGTAACTAATGGCCCCATTACTAGCAATCTTTTTCCCATTCTAATTATGACAATCCCAATCTGAGACAGTACTCTTGGCCTGTTATTTGTTAATCTCACCACGTTTTGGAGTACAGTATATAGGCTATAGAAGAGCAACGAAATGTAAAAAAAAAAAATAAGAATACTGTCCATAAAATAGCATTTTGCGATTATCTAGTAGTGTTTTCCAACCTTCCAACATACGTGACCTATTAACTACTTTTAAATTCGTCACGATGGATGCCCAATTGGCTATCCATCGAGACAAATTCATCAGGAACTCAGGTCAGTTGACTTGACTTCATCCTTATTTGTCATACTCACTGGTGCCCCGCCAAAACATGCACAAATACTGCATGTTTTATCATTCCATTTATGTCACAAAAAAATTGTAAATGAAAAATCACTCCATTCAGCCTGCAAACCCCTCGAAAGTAAATTCATGCGAATACTCAGTTGTAAGCCATCCGAAGGTTTAAAAACACTGACCTAGTAACTTTTGAGGGCGTTCTCATATTGCATTTTGTAATTACACTTTCTAAACTTATATTAGCGACATAAAGCTTGATTAATTTGACTAGAATTGGTCGATATATTTAAAATCATACACATAAATCTATTTTTAAAAAACTATAAAATATCTAAGCATTATGTTTTTTTTTCTTTGCTAATACTAAATTACATAATTATCATGCTTTCTTTTGTTTATTATTTTCATTAATGGCAGGCAGCACGGATTACAAGCGGCCATTTTTTTTAAATAATTTGAATAAAGAACAATACATACTTCATACATTAATAAGTACAGACATTCAAAGTGGCATAGTTCTAAAATGTTTACAAACAATTTTATTCATAGACATATAGTTTCCCTCTCAAATACATAAAGAGCGAGTGGCTGTGCCCACCTCAGAATAATCTGGTGCCCACCCTAGGAAGCGGGCGGAATTTTCTGCTTTGCGCAAGAACATAAACAGGAGCTGAGGGTACATTATGTACCTTTTAAGGGGCTATGCCCCATAAAAATAATCTTAAAGATGCCAAAGCTTGTTTATCACTTTCAAAAGGAGCCAATTAATTCACCTATATCCTTTTTATGGCCTGTACATTACGTGATATTTTCGTTAATTTCAATGATTCTTTTTACGACTAACCGAGTTTACTCCTGTATTTTTTCTCTATTTTTAAAGTAAAATATTAAATTACGTACGTATAAAATTGTTATTCAAAAGTGAATCGCGTTCTTGCCGGCATATAATTCAAGACAATATGCAACAGTAGACCGAGAATAACTGAAAATATTTATTGTCTAAACATAGTCTGAGCTGATATGTACCACAATACTGTGTTATACAAACTGATAGACGGTAGCTCATTTACTAATGCTAACATAGGTTATATACAGGGTTGCCATCCGTCTGGGTTTCCCCGGATGTATCCTAGTTTAGAGGGCATCCGAGGAGCTTTTTGGGCTGCTCTTGACACATACATTGTGCCCGTACGCTGCGATCAAGCGACGAACTGACTCGCTAAATTTACCGACCCCCGGCCCTCCCGTCACACTATTTTTCATTACACTGTTTAAAAAAAACCTGTTGATATGTCCAGGTTGTGGCCTCTAAAATCCGGGGTTTTCACGCGTCTTGTCCTGGTTGTCAAATTTTAGAGATGGCAACCCTACTTATATAGTATTTATAATTTACGAATACATTGAACAAAGTTTTTATTCTGTAAAGATTCGCACTTAATTAGCAACTCGCTTCACCTAAGTGTTCACTTTATCTAAATTTTATACTTTTTTTTATGCAACTTAGAATGGCAAACAAGCTGACGGCCCACCTGGTGGAAAGTGGCAACCGTCGCTTATAGACATGAACAGTACCATAGACATAACAGAGTATACTATTTCGCCCTTGCGCCCTCATGCGTCCAAGGTGTTATGTCTCTGCACTCTGTAATTTTGAATCTGTGAGTTTTGGGAATCATAAGTGAAGTGGCAAAAGTTTTAAAATGTAAAGTGAATACCTAATTTCAGTTCACTTCGACGCCATCTTGACAAAATGGTGCTTCATTTGTTCACATAATACCAAGTGTAAATCATTCGTGGAATTGCTAGTGAAAATTCAGTTTTCGTTTACAGAATAGCTCTACAAGAATCAAGATAGAATCACATCAAATAAAGGTGCATTATACTTAGCGCATGAGAAAATAAAATAAATAGTTAAAAGTCTTAGATTATATAGATAGAGTGTCTCCATACAAACGCTTCGAGAATGACGGGTTTAGTTTTTCATACAATTTTGCGTGATAAATAGTTATTATTCCTTTAGAACTTCTATATTAATTTTTGTGTTATAATTTCGACATCTTTTTAATGCGTAAACGCTTATTTTATTTATTAAATAATACGTCAAGGTACATTTTATGCGTAAGCATATAGAACACTGACAAAAAAAACGAGTCAACTAATTTGACAATTAGCTGACAAAAAGTTGACCCGTTTTTGAGGTTCGATACTCTATCTATATAATCTAAGTTAAAAGTATATGTAATCATGCTTCTGTTCATTGATAAACATAAAGAAAGATGTCTGTTTGAATTGAAACAATTAGAATTTTTTAACTTCTATCTAGATACCCCAATATATGAGCGTAGCCATACAAATGGAGGCAGAAGCGCGCAAATGCATCAACAAACCTAACACATTTTCATATTTAATCCAAATTCACTTCGCGCGGTTATATTTTTTCTTCAATATTAAACATATTTGCAATCGCCATTATCAGGTTTCCTATTTGCTTTGTTTCCTGAACAAAATCCTAGCTACGTCCTCACTCCAATGAATTTAGATATAAAATATTTAAAAGTATATCTGCTAGTGTTAGATAAATAAACACATTATTTGAGTACACGTAAATTAACAACTGAAATTTTACAATCAAATTAATTACATTTTGTTTTTTAATATTAAACACAAGATAAAATACAAAAATATATTTTCGCCATGTGTGTCGCGGAGACCCAAATAGGCTACAGCTCAGTGATAGCTTTGCTTAAAAGCAAATCACTGATTTTCAGCTGCAGCCTGAAGACTAACTAGCTATACTTTATTTTCTATTACTTATCAAGCTTGTTTTTGGTTTTTATTCAACGATAAACTAGTATTCGCCTATAGCTATTTAAAAAATGTTTCAATATCTAGTCTAAACAAATCAATGATACGATTCTTTGATCTGCAATTTTCACTTCGTTGCTGATTATTTGGCTGTGTATAAAGCGTTATGAAGAAATAGACTAAGATACAATAAGATAAGATATATACCTCGTGGAGATATTTGGGTGATCACTTCATGATACCATCCCATACTTTATGGTACGTTATTATTTATAAGTAGATATATTACCCTGGACGGGATAGACAAACGTACACTTACAACTTTCATTTGGCATAATTTGACGTAATATAAACACCGGGCGCCGTAAATCAGTCTCTATTCCCCGATAGTGAACAAACGTCAAACATACATTAATGTAAATATTTCAAAAATTCAGTACTTTGCGCTTTCTTTATCTATCCCGTGAAGAGGATTTGATTAAATATTGACAGCTGTGTAAAATAGTGGTGGGTAATATATCGCAATATCTATATATTGCATCTATATATTGGCCCAGTAACGGATTTATCGGTTATCCAATATGTAATGTAAAAATGAAGAATCGGATTGAAATCAATATCCGATTAATATGGGCGATATCAAAATGGGCGATGATATTTTACTCCGCCGTTGATGTCCAGAGGAATCCAATATATAAATATTGGAGCGATACTGATATTACCCCAGTGTAAAACACAGCATTATTCCTTTACCAAAACAATTTAGTACATTTATCAATAACTTCACTCGAGGTGATGAAACAAGCATTCTCGTAATGCAACAATGAATAATCTAGGCCTTTTTATGTGTAAATTGAGTGTTTACTATTCAGAGCATCGTTTGTCCTCTAATGCTAGGATAAGGGCGCACTCTATCTTGGCCTGCAGCCACGCCAGAACTTCAGGATCGGAGATCTCTATTATCTTCTCGTCCGTTGAGAAGTAGCTCACCATTTCATCCTAAAAAATCAGAAAATCAATATATATATATATATATATATATATATATATATATATATATATATATATATATATATATATATATATATATATAATTAATAAAAGTGATATCTTTTATTTTTTTAACACTTAAAATCATCATAATCATCATCATATCAGCTTTTAACTATTCACTGTTGTATATACCCATCCACGCTATATTTTTTATTTTTTTTTTGATGGGTGAAAATGGTATGGTAACCCCGCCTGCGCTAACGGGATACGCTGGCGGAGCACCAGTGAAGGGTGATAGATGAGAATGAAAACAGGCCAGTTAGCCCATCATGATGAATTCATTAGGAATTAACCATGATAGTTTCCAGGGAGAACCACGAGAAGGTCGACCTGGTTGGGTATATTGCTAGCAATAGGATTCTCGGTCTCCATTACTAACAATCCCTTTCCCCCACCCACACTATACTAATTGCTATAAATATCATTATAAGATATTCACATTTGTCAACCGACTTCAAAATAAAAAAGATTCTCATTTCGGTTGTATTTTTTTATGTTTGTTACCTCATAACTCCGTTAGTTCAAAATCGATTTGGATAATTCTTTTTAATCTGAAAAGATATACTTACAGATTGGTACTATAAAAAAATTAATAAAGTTCAGTACCTTAATTTTTACATCAAAATAACTGACTTTGTTGCTGAAGTTGAAAACGGTTCTTTTTTGTGGGACACAAAGATTTTATCAAAGATGGCAAGGATTTTTTTTATACAACTTAAAATGGCAAACAAGCTGACAGCCCACCTGATAGAAAGTGGTAACCCTATAGATATGAGCAGTACTATGGACATAACAGAGTATACTGTTTCCTCCATGATACCGCCCCTGCGTTGCCATTCCTGAGCACTCAGGTATTATTCCTCTGTACCCTGTAAATTCACGCCATGTCCCACCCTTCAAGCCGAAATACAGCCATGCAAACACAGCTACTTTACGGTTGAATCACGAATAAGACAGAGGTACCTAAGCAATCGACTTTTGTACAAAGTCTCCCTTTGGTACCTTACCTGTTTAATATTCAATATGAGCTTGTCACCGCGTACAAGTGGCACGCCGATCACGTCGTCCAATTTAACCACCCACTCGATGTGCCACGAGCCATTGCCACCAGCTCGCACCATGAATACGTGTCTGTAACATGGATGGGGTAAGTTCACTAAAGGCGTATTTAAGAAGGAGGACAGGGAGGGGAAAATCATCTAGTGTCCATCTAAAGATACGAGTAGATTTTTTAACTATGAGATCTTTTAACTGTGCGAAAAAAGATGTCTGAGAGTATATATTGTATATTTTTAGGTGTCAAGCCCACCCCTCTAACCCCTTGAAAATAATCTTAAATACGACAGTGAACTTTACGCATTGCACCTGAACTGATGACTGGAATAGACTGAGAGAATGGAAGGTGGTATATGCATTCTTAAGACATTATCCGGCTCGAAGGACTAGACAGATGTCAGATTGATGTTGTTTAACGAGAAACAGTTTCGTGTATACTGATGTAACATTTTAGATATTTTTTATGTGAAAATAATAAAACACGTCCGACAATGCGACCAATGAGTAAAAATTTTGAAATCAGTATCTAGCCGTGGCATTTAAATAGAAAGGGCATGCTACGTATATAACAAAGGACAACATAATCGTGAATAAATAGAGGAATATTCGAAATAAAACTGTGTAGTGGTCATCTGATCGTCGTTTTAATAATTTTCTTCTTTGGGGAAAAGACTGAAGAAAGCACGTCTCCCGACTCTCCAGTTGGGAGACGTGCATAAGTTATTGTTATGGTCTACTGTTTAAGAGAAAATTTTAATTTTCGGAACAACATGAAGTGTATCCTATAGCAGCTCTAGCTCTACCCTCGGCAGCTGCCAATCGCCAGTACTCACTGCGTGGAGACGAGCAGCGTGTAGTGCGAGGCGCGCGCGAGGTGCGCGTGCGCCACGTACGCGTCGGTGTCGGCGTAGTGGCCACGCGCCAGCAGCCCCAGCAGCGCCGCGCCCAACGCCGCGTGCAGCGAGTACGGCCGCACGCCCTGCCCGAACACGCTAACATCATATCCGGCTCGAAGGACCAACTCACACAATCAACAGCGCTGTCATATCTAGTATATACTACTTAGTATTCTTTTCATTACCACAACCTAGACAAGTGGACGTATAACAATTTCACCAGAGGGAGACTTTGTACAAAAGTCGATTGCTTGAGTACCTCTGTCCCATTCGTGTTTCAACCGTGAAGCAGTTGTGTTTGCATGGCTGTGTTTCGGTTTGAAGCGATATGGCGTTAATTTACAGGATACAGAGGAATAACACCTGAGTCCTCAGGAATGGCAACGCATGGGGGGTATCATGGGCGAAACAGTATATTCCGTTATGTGCATGGTACTGCTCATATTTATAGGCGACGGTTACCACTTTCCATCAGGTGGGCCGTCAGCTTGTTTGCCATTCCAAGTTGTATAAAAAAAATTCATTTTATTTAATGTTTGTAAAGGAATTATTGGAAGTTTTATTCAGCTACAAAACATAACATATTAATGAGAACTTTATGCATTAAAATAACAATTCCTTGGTAGTAGCTGAAATGGTACCCACGCAATGGCAGCTTAAGCTGCAGCGCTGTTTTTCAGTGGGACCACCACTCGATAGGTAGCACTCGAGAGAGAGGATTAAATCTATTATAAGACACTATTAACTGGACTTTATAGATGATATCAGTATTATATATGAATATAATAATATATTATTTATTGTATAACATATACGACACAACAAGGTATAATGAAGATAAATACATAAAATAATTATATATATTTTTTTATATAAAAATATTAATTTTAGCATAATAAATAAATCAGATTAAACGAAAACTTGACGACTTGCAATTAATACAAGAGGAAGGGCATTAATAATGGCAGTTTAAGAAGGTCATTCCTCAATAGTGGATAATGAAGTCTTACTTTATCCACTATCATTATGTTTATTTGTGTAAATAGATACCGAAGTGTACATACTACAGCAGGGGGGAAAGAGATTGTTAGTAACAGGGATTAGCAATCCTATTACTAGCAATATACCCCATCAGGTCGACCTCCTCGCGGTTCCCCCTGGAAACCATCGTGATTGATTCATTAGTGAATTTGTCACGATGGACTAACTGACCTGCTTCATCGTCACTTACCGTCTTACCACTGGTGACCCGATAGTGCAGGAAGGGTTACCATTATAATGTATTAAAAAGAAAAAAACATACATCGGCAGACGGACAGTGTCTGGGCAGGCGGCTGCGTGCCACAAGACGTCCTCCACTCCGTTCCACGCACGCTTTGAGCGTATTCTCAGCGTTGTGGAGTCCGAGTTGGCGTGAAAGCGACGAGCGAGCCGCATCGCGACACATATCTGTAAAGTGTAAAAATCTATTTATTTTTTATTACTTAATATACAATAATTACTAAAAAAACGTTTGGCACAAAAGGCTGACTTTATGCTATATAAGCATTTTCTCCCAGTTAACCTTTGGAAAAACGGAACTGTTATTATGGGGGGGGGGGGAATACTGAAAATTCCTACTAATACGATTATAATAAAATTTATTGTGAATTACCTAAAATGCATGCAATATAAACGGAGAGGTTTAGATAAATAGGCAGGTCGTATGTGTTATAATTACCCCATATGCGTTGCCATTCCTGAGGACTCAGGTGTTATTCCTCTGTACCCAGTAAATTCACTGCTATATCCCACCCTTCAAACCGAAACACAGCCATATAAATACAACTGCTTTACGGTTGAAACACGAATGCCCATGCAAACGACTTTTATACAAAGTCTCCCTCTGGTAAAATACATAATATATACATGTATTCTTTTACAAATCGTTATAAGACAGTTTTTTTCTTTCGTGCATTCAATTGAATAAAATGGATAACTCAAGAAATAAAATAAATTGAATAAAACTTGAACAACGTAACAGGTCAGGAATTTATTATTTTTATAACAATTTTTAGAAAAATACAAGTGCGTTTTTACGTGTAATTTGGTGGAAAAAGCTCAACTAGTTTCCGAGTCCATCCGGGACTCTTACTGGTGATTATTTATTACATTAAAATGTGTACTTACGAAGCTTAACAATAAAATATAAATTAATGTTAGCTATTTCTCTAAGTGTTGAATATTCTAAGAAAACTTCATATAAGACAAAAAGAAGAGAAAAAGGCAATTTATTGTATCATGCAATATACTCACGGCGAACATTAATACAATCATCTTCTGCGCACACGCACGTCGAGGGCAAACCAGAAACATTGTTAATGAGTACATAAACATGACATGTCATGTATCTAAGTAAAATATGTTTACCACTTCTAACCAAAACTTAATAATTATTTTTATCTGTCTAACTATTCTATCTATTTTAAATCTTTTCTTTATGAATTAGCTCACAAATAGTAGGTACAAATTCTACTATGAAATTCCACCATTTTAATGACGTTAACCTTTGTTGAATTAATGAATTTATGGGTAGGTTTTTATAGTTCAGTAACACGCGAATGATGCATTTTCAGGAAAGTAGACTGTAGTGACCATTTACCATCAGAAATATATATATATCGTCATATCTGCTTTTAACTATCCACTGCTGAACATAAGCTTCCCCCTTGGGGGTTTTGCCAGTAGTTGCTACAATTGACAGGCGGATTGGCAAGCGCAGTTAGTCTTTGAAGATGTTCATTCGCCCTCCCTTAGTCGTCTCTTACGACACCTACACCACATATACATAAAAATTATCAAATTTATACTTTTCTTAAATGGAAAAAGATTAATTTTAGCTAAAAATAGTAAACATAATGAGGTTAAAATGTTTTAGATTGACACATACAATGAAACTATTTTTAGTTAAAGTCAAATATAAAAAGAAGACATGCCGAGAACACTATCATTTAATTATGAAGAATCTATTAAAGATAATAATAAGAATAAAGTTGGAAAATAACATTTATCGAGCATTCAGTATCATCCATAAACATGTGCTGAGATAATACTCACCAATATTTATTATATACATATATAAATTTTATAATATAATTGAATTTTTTATTAGTTAAAAACAAGCAGACTAACATTTTGTTATATATATATATATATATATATATATATATTTATAACATGGCGCTTGGTCACGGGACTCACTCGAAAGATGCGCGCGCAGGTCGCGCAGGCGCTTTGTTGTTGTTTTTTTGCGCGTTTTTTTAACTAATAAAAAATTCAATTATATTATAAAGTTGATATATGTATATAATAAACTTTGGTGAGTATTGTCTCACCAGAAACATAACCAGCAATCAATACCTACCTACAAATATAAAATAATGCATAGAAAAAACATACATTTACTCAAAAAACTTTTCAACCTGCTAAAACCTACGTTATTTCATTCCATTCATTTTACGAGCAAACATCAAGCATTGAATATTGTAATAATAGTATGTCTTGCGTGCAACAAACGCAAGAAATTTTATAAATAAAATCCAAACTAAAGCATGTTGGGGGGAGAGGGATTGTTAGCAATGGAGTTTGACAGCCCCATTGCTAGCAATATGCCCTATTAGGTCGACCTCCACGTGGTTCCCCTGGAAACCATCGTGAACAATTCTTGTTGAATTCGTCACGATGCCTAACTGACCTACTCCATCCTCACCTATCTTCCTTCACTGGTGCCCCGCCGGTGTATACCGATAGCGCGGATGAGGTTACCATTCCATTACCAGCCATTATAAAAAAAAAAAAAACTAAAACATGTTGTACATATATGTACGGATGAGTAATATCTGATACCTATATATTGAGTTCTTCTAGACATTGATGACCACCTATTACAATATCGACAATACCAGTCCGATATCTACCTATATATTCATAAAGAGCGGCTTCTTCTTTTAGACGTTATATATTGGTTAACCGATATCTAATATATATGTTATTGGTTCAATATATGTATAGATATTGTAACTATAATATATAGATATTTCTATATAATACCCGCCCTTATGTATATGTAATATATTTAATATTAAATATTTTTAAAACCAAAGAAGAATACGTTATTATAATTTATCATAGCTCAGGTCATGTTGCTGATGCTGCATTTACTTCACCTCGATGTTTGCTCGAGCACTCAACAACTACAACACATAATACAGATCCAATCAGGTATAAAGAAAGCAGGCAAGACGTTAAGGTACTTACCGAAACTGGGCCGTGCTATGAGACCGGTGAGTGCTAGCGCCACACTGGTCGGGTTCCCGCGGTCTGCCTCCACCACTGGCTCAGGTAGGTCGTTCTTTATCGATTCATCTTCACCTATGAAGCGAAAAACAAATAAAAATTAATTTTAATAACATTGAAAATACTAGAATTAATATAATAATTGGAAATAGTAATAATAAATACCCGTGTGGTCTTAGCATAGTCACCCCTTTCTTTCCCGTGGGTGTGATAAGAGGCGACTAAGAGAATGGTCGCGGGATAGACAGCAGCCCCAGCGCAAAATATGTCGAAAGCCTAACTGCGGTTGCCAATCCACCTACCAAGCATTGCAACTATTTGCAAGACCCCGCCCCCCTCAAGGGGGAGGCTTGATCAGTAGTGGATAGTTAAATCGACTATTAAGTTCGTTTGCTCTCTTTCAAATAAAAAACAAAAGAAAAATTCGCTCTACCTGATGGTAAGCGGTCACCTGCACTTTATGAACACTTGCAACATTTGAGTATCACTCGCTTGTACCAATCCTAGTGTCATGAAGATCTTGAGTCACAGTTCCTAGTAGTTTCACTACCTTGCCAGTCAAATCTGAAGGTATATTTTCCCTCGCGTTCTCTTGCAATGGACTTTGTGCAAAGTCTATAACTGGTAAAAAAGATCGTTAAATCCCTTTTTTAACTTAGTCTTTAGGTGACGGTTACCACTTTCCATCAGGTGGGCCATCAGCCTGTTTGCCATTCTAAGTTGAATAAAGAAAGCTTTATCTTTTATACATTTACCTGGGCGACGCCTGATCTTAGTCCGAGGCACGTCGTCGAACACGGCGCTCGCCGTGTCAGAGCTAGCTCGCTGGCCTAGCAGCGCTGCAGCGCTGTACGCCAGCTTACTTGCTACATCCAGCACCCGACGACCCATTATCGTACCCTAAGATTTATACATGACAGAGTACTCTTACAACTGTAAAACCCTCATGGTAACTCACGCATTATATTTATCATATGATCTTAAGAATGTATGCCTTCCTATGCCTATGTATATTATTTATTTGGCCCATAAACTAACTGTAGTTGGTAAATTATTCATAACTTGGTTTTAAAAATAACTAACGTGTTTTATTCTAGTACTTGCAATAACATTTTATAAACATCTCTATCTCTCTCTCTCTCTCTCTCTCTCTCTCTCTCTTCTCTACAATAATAACTATATACATTTTTATTTCATACCAAACATGGCTCGTAATAATTCTTTAATGCCTTGGCGAAGTCACCCAGTTGACTATAAGGGTTTCCGAGGATGTTGAGGCCCAGAACGAGTACGTAGAACTGCTGCACTAACTGCATCCAATAGTGGCGAGACGCGTTGTCCAATAGCGCCGATATTGTTATGGGAGCATTTCGGACTTCCATGTAACTCATCCTGGAAAATTAACACATAATGCCAAACCATAGTCGGGAAGTGTTTTTGCAATACCGACATATATGTCCACTGCGAAACAGCTTGCTTGCAAACTATTTCTCAGCTTGAGAGATAGCTTAATTTTTTTATACCTAAAATATGGACAACACACGAGAGATGTTTCGGGTATTGCATACATGTATTTATCGTCAGCACACTGGATATTTAATTGCATCCTCCTAATTCTTATAATACTCTTAAAAAAATAATAAATATTTGTGCAAGATATATGATTTCGTACCTTATTTCCACGTCCTTCATATCACACAGGGAAGAACCCCAAGAATTGAACAAATACTCTAGAAGATCGCTGTTGAATAATTTAGGCCGATTTTCTTTCTTGTTGCCGAAGCGAGCCCTACTTGGACTGTTCGTGTTCTCAGCCAAGTAGCCCCTTGACGACAAACTCAGCACCAATTTTATGGGAGACAAGTGGACATATTCAAATATAACATTTCTTTGTACATTCGTCTGACTCTTCAACGCAATGATCGGTAAAGGCATATGAACTAATGCGAGGTCAGCACGCAGCCGCACTGCGGGCTTTTCTTCAATCTTCCAATGATTTAAAATATCAAAAACATGGTTTACAAACCCTCTATCCAAATTTATACAATAATCTCGTACGAGTACTTTTAAATACTTATAAATGTCCTGGTTAAGAGTTGGCCTGTGTTGTTTGAGGGAAACAATCTCTATACAGGATTTCAAGTCTCTGCTCGTTCTCAATTCAGCGGGCAAAGGCGCAGGGTATAGTACACTGGGAAACACAGCGTCATTCAACTGGTTGTCTATTTGAAGCCTTTGTACCTTCAAATGGCAATATGTATAAGTGTCTGACTTGCGGAATTGCAACCATATACCTGGATTATACGTTCGTCGCAGTTCGGAAAAGAATGGTTTAGTCATTTGCATTTTTTCCAAGTCTATATGAATGTATTCTTTCAATTGGCATTTTTTCTGTTCTGTCTGATATTTGTCCTCTATCCACGCTGTTAGATCAGGCGACAGCTGTTTCCATTTGCAGCTAACGTGTACTTCCCATCTCGGTAATGAATCGGTTACGCTCACATATGCCAATTCTTTAACGCCAGTGTTTGTTTGTACGCAAACTGACAGGCTGACCCCAGCCAAGGACATGTAGACCTCATAGTTACTCCTTTCTGAATTTATTCTCATTCTGTACTGATATGCTATCCTTTCATCTTGAGCCAATGCGAAAACTCTTTGATATCCATCCATATAAGATATCCAGTATACTATAACTTTATCTTTCCTCATTTTCTTCGTTTTAGAGTGAGTTTCTGGCATATCTGAACTGTCTGAGTCATCGCTGCTGGAGGAACAAGGTTCAGGGGACTTTGGAGTCAGTCTTTTGAGGGTTGATGACAATTTGGATGTGACGCTACTCGTCGCAACCAGAGTTGAATGTTTCACAGAGTGGAAACTGACTTTTTCTTCTCCGAAACTAAAACAATATATCAGTGTAAAAATTATAATATTCTACTTTGTTTCAACCGATTTAAAAAAGGAGGAACCCTCAATTCTGTTGTATTTTTTTAATATTTATTACTTTAGAACTCCGATAATTATAAACCGATTTGGAAAACCCTTTCTTTTTTTTTGAAAGGGCATACTTTTAGACTGCATCCATAACTTTTGAAATATAATCAAAATCTGTTCGGCTGTTTGATTTTCAAATCACAACAACTGGTTTTGTCACAATTAAAGTCGATCTTTTCTGTGGAACAAAATCTACATGCCTTAATTAATTTTTTTTTATACATTCCTGAGGACTCAGATGTTATTCCACTGTAACCAGTAAATTCACGCCATAGCCCACCTTTCAAACCGAAACACAACCACGCAAACACAGCTGCTTCACTGTAGAAACACGAATGGGACAGAGAAACCCAAGCAATCGACTTTTGTACAAAGTCTCCCTCTGGTAAATATTCAGAATCTCTCATGAAACACAGAAATAGTAACTTTAGGTATTTGTACTTAATAAAAACTGTAACTTGGAGATATTATTTTTTTTTTATTATTATTATCATTATTACTTACGATATAATTTCAAAATCTATCCAATAATGTAGTATAATCCAATAAATATGTACTTTAGTGTTTATTCTCATAAACTTACCCATCCTGATTGAAATCAGCAACAAATCCCTTTCCCTTATTATTGTAAATATTCCAAATAAGTTTCCTCTCTTTAGCTGGATCGTCCCATGTGTAGAGCATCGACTGGTACGGGCTCAGCAGTGCCACCTGACCGGACTCTTCCTGGTGCAACTTCAGGAATAGGTCATCACACAAATTGTCAATGCGCACTGGTGCATCCCCACACGAGTACGGCTTGAAAGTAATAATAAAGGGACGATCCGTTCCTCCGGTCACTTCGACGCAGATGGCCGACTAAAAATTAAAAAGAAGATATAACTACAATGCCGTTTATGTAAGATGAAGCTCATAGGTTACCACTGCATAAGTACCGTAAATTAATTACGACGCCTTCTGTAGTATTGTAAAAGACTGTTCGAAATTGCTGCATTTTTATAACTACTATATATAGGGAATCAACCGTGTAGGTTCCGGCAGAGAATAGGTCCCCCTTCCATTCCCATGGGTGTCGTAAGACTAAGGGAACTATGGTCGAGAGATGAGCAGCAGTGTCACTCTTAAAACATCACCAAAAGCCAAACTGCGGTTGCCAACTTTCCTGCCAAGCATGGCCAATACTGGCAAACCCCCTCTTATGGCAGAGGCTCTTTTTAGTAGCGGTCAATCAGTTAACGGTTGATATATGGTTATTAAACTGAATTAATTACTTATTATTTTCAGATTTATAATTACACTTTATAACACCAGTAACAAAACTAAAGAATACTTAATTTAATATTAAAAGATATCTTTTACTATCATGTTGATGCTAGAGATAGTTAGCACATAAACCGGTCAGGTAACACAAATAGTACAATGAAACCTATAGAAATAGAAATAAAAGAAATATTATTTGACAAAAACACAAAGTTACAATGACAAAATACAATAGGCCCCACACTAGGCGAACCTGTATGAGTATCGTGGGCACTCGACAAAGATTAACAATTCACAATCTGTTACAATGAAAAGTACATAGGGGGCGGATATTAATATAAAAAAAAAGGAATACAAAATTGACATAATGATCATGACTTTCAGTCAGGCAATCTCAAATTTTTTTTTAATGTTAGTAAAATCGATAAATACAAGCAATGAAAAGACTTTACTAAATATATGTGCCATAAGAGAAGCAACGAGTTGTTTATTGAGATATTAGAATTATGCAGAAAGGTAAAAATGAATGCGAATATATTCATGAGCTAAGAAAAAGTAAACCACTAATAATTAATTAATTATTATTGTAAGAAATTATTCATAGATATGAATTTATGAATAATTTCTTCACACAAACTGAACTAGGTCAAAGATATTGACTTATAAAAATGAATACAAGCGCCTAAAGTTAACAAAGTTTACATTACATAAATAGTTGACGTAATCCATGTCGCGCGGCACCCGGCACCACAACACTAACTCAATTAACACCACTTTCCTTACAACTGTTATAAGACTAGAGTAACAATTTCACTTCCTCTCAGTTTCATAAAGTCCACGCATTGAATGATATATAGAGACAATGGCATTTAAAATACTTTTAACGACTTTAGTGTTGTGTACAGTGATAGTAATAATAAAGAGTGATTGTGACCACCATAGGGGGATGTCAGATTATGTCAGGGTTAAACGAGCAAAGTACTACTCAAGTCCACCTCCAAGGTTTTATAGACGGCCACCATTCACCTACCAAAGAGGCGTAATTTCATATACACCACCACCAGGCTACATGGAAGTTGAAGAGGTTCCTTCTAACTATAGACCAATGAAGGTTAATCAAAGACCTAATAGTGAAGGTTTAGGTGATGAAGACGTTAATAATATAATTAAATACCTGTCGAAGCAGGATTTGGATAAGATCATTGAATTTGCTGGTGAAAAAGATAAAAACAAAAATACAGATTATGTAAAAAATAAAATTGAATATTACAATGAATTACGAGAGGATAATAAACCTTATAAAAGTGGACAAGAAGATTCAAACCCAAAATTTTCTCTAAACGGTCCGTACGTAAGTAATAATAATAATAAGGGATACGATAATGAATTTAGCAATCTGTATACGAAAGAAATACAGCCAAAAATTGTTAACACAAATACTTTTATGAACAACATAGATTTTTCTACACATGTAGACACAGAAGAATCCATACAAAACAGTCAAATAACTGTTTTGAATGCACAAGTTAGTAAAGAAACAAATCAAATACCCGATTTTAATAATGGTATTCTATACACGGATAGTAAATCAATGCAGGAAGAACGTTTACCAAAACCGGTAAATCTTAGAGAAGAAGCAGATTTCGACGCATCTTTTACACATAATGTACCAACAATTGTCAAGGCCGAATCTAGTTCGTACAAAATTGAGAACTTTGGAGATTTACCGTTGATGGATTATAATTCAAAACTGCATACAGTTAGTTCGTACCATGTCCCACATTACACTGTAAGTATTTAATTAAAAATATTGTTATGTACCTAATTAGCATATTTTGTATTTATGCTATTATATTCGACGTAAAAATAAAAATGGAACAAGTATTTTAGAATGAGGACAATCAAAATTGTAGTCGTAAAGAAATTTTTTTTTTCGAAAACTAGCGAAAAATATTTATTTAATTATTTTTTATTAATCAATGTACAAATTAACGTATAATATTATATAGATGATTACCACTTTCCATCAGGTGAGCCGTCAGCTTGTTAGCCATTCTAAGTTGCATAAAAAATATGGAAAAAAGTTTGTAGTGTATTTAAAATATACTTGTGTCACGCCTGTCCCCATTTGTTTAGATGAATGAATGAATGAAACTATGTAGTAGGTATTAAATATCCTGCAAAATTGTAAACTAACAATTTTATTTCAGGTAACAACACCAAAAAGAAGTTCATCATCACCGTCATTATCGTCGTATGCTACAGCATCGAAAGTTCCCGAATTAGAGCCAGCGCCACCTCAGTCCGCCGCGAAGGAGCAAAGCGATGCTCATCTCAAAGCTGTTAAGATATGGACTCACAGGTCAAAAGGCACAGCCTATACGCTACACAACGATGGAACTCTATCGTTGGAAAGGCCTGCACGACCCAAACCCTACGGATATCCGTAGTAAAGTATTGTTTAAAAAAGAATAGGACAAATTAGCTCAATTTAGCTATTAAGTATTTGTAAGTAGATAATTTTAAGCTTATGTATTTATTAGAAAAACGCTTAATTTTTTTTTGTTTATTAAAATTATCTTTCCATAACCTTAAATAGAAAGACATAATTTACATGTAATCATACATTCCTTTCCCATAATTCTTACCAAAAACCCTTTTAGAATGTGTACGTTTTTGATAAGCGGATAATTGTACAGTACCAGTTCAGTTCCATAGTCAAGACGTGATTGATTTTTATGCCATCTTTCTTTTCATTTAAGAGTTTCCTCTTGTCGGTGCAACTAATTCATGCATCTTCCTCCAGCCAGCTCTATCCCAGGCCATATCCTTTATCTTCCTATACGACATGATGCCTAGTGTTTCCTTTATTTGTCCCATGCAGTTCCATGTAGTCTTCCTCTTCCACTTTCTCTTTTGCTTTCTATTATTTATTTATATTATTATTATAATTTATACCCAGAGGGGTCAAAAAAACGTGTCGGCTCACCTTATTCCTATCTAAATACTATTGTTATTTTTAAATATTATAGCATCCATTCTACTCACCCCTTTATCCATCCTCAATACGGTGAAATGGTTCTTCGTAATCGGAAAGTGTTGTGATACCACAGTGGAGTCCCTGTACTTGCAATGCATTGACATGGAGTCAGTTTGTGGCCAGAACGGCGTACACTGCTGCGGCGCTAAGTCGAACCAGAGATCTGCCGCTTCGTTCTCCTCCATGAATCGCAAATGTCGTTTGGTGTCGTTGTACACCAGGAAGTATGGTAGGAGTGTTACTATTTTTGTCAATTGAGGACAAAGTTCTGATAGAGTCACCTGGAAGTAAGAGAATTTTTATTTCAACTATTTATTTCAAATCCAATGGCCTTAATATGTATGGGCCAAAAACAAAAGACTAATATGTTGAGCCTACAAATTTAAAAGTATTAAATTGAAGTTAAGTTTATATCGTTTATAGATTATATATTTTGGTTCTGTTTTAAAAAAGTATTTGGATGATCAAGATAAGTAAGGAAACTGAAAACTGATTACAGACTACATTTTACAATGCTTGACTGTGATGCTAAAAGTGGTAAGCATCGTCTCAGTCAGACATGGATTGATGCGGTTTGGGATCCCAAAACTAAATCAATAAACCTCTAAATTTTACTTCATGTTTTGGAGGGGATCATGTAGGAGTAAGGAATGCTTTCTAGCACACTCGACTAGTACTATACTATCAATATTCTTGCACCTTGGCATTATCAGTTGATTTTTTTAATGGACTTTTTTTATACCACTGAGGTGGCAAACAAGCATACGGCCCACCTGATGGTAAGTGGTTACCGTAGCCTATGAACACCTGCAATACCAGAGGTATTAAGCGTGCGTTGCCGACCTTAAAGAAACCTCTTTACCCCCTAATGGTAATGGCGTCGAAATACTCGGAGCTAAATACCATGTCGTCTGCTAAGTCATTTGTCTATCTCATTGGTGTTTCCACCGCAAAGTTGTGCTCACATGGCTGTGTTTTGGCACGAAAACGTAGCAGTACAGTCCTCATGAATGGGAACACGTGATGTATGATGGGTTGTTGATATCTATAGGTAATGGTTAGTACATCTGGCGAGTTTTTTTTTAATGGGTGATAATGAAATGGTAACTTCGTCTGCGCTATCAGTGTACGCTGACAGGGCACCAGTGCGGGGTGATAAGTAACGATGAAAGCAGACCCGTTAGCCAATCGTGACAAATTCCACTAGAATTAATTACAATAGTTTTAAGGGAAACCCTCATGGAGGTCGACCTGATAGGGTGTTTTTTCTAATTGGGTGATAATGGATTAGTAACCCAACCCGCGCTATCGGTATACACCGGCGGGGCACCAGTGAATATGATACGTGAGGATGAAGCAGGTCAGCCTATCGTGACGAATTCAACAAGAATTGTTAACGATGGTTTCCAGATTGTTAGCAGTTCATTCCTGATGAATTCATCATGATGGGCCAACTGGCCTGTTTTCATTCTCATCTATCACCCTGCACTGGTGCTCCGGCAGCGTATCCCGTTAGCGCAGGCGGGGCAACCATTCCATTATCAGCCGTCGTTCCCTCCCCTGGTGGGGTGTTGCTAGTTAGTAAGCGGGGAGGCTGACGTTGAGCAGCAGGCGGTAGGTGGTGCGGCGCTCGGCGTGCGCGCAGACGACGAGGCCGGGCGCGGCGGCGGCGAGCGGCGCGGCGCGCGACCAGCCCGACTGGTGCGCGCGCAGCCGCACGCGCTCGCCGCGCCGCCGCGCGCGCGCCGCGCTCCACAGCAGCGGCTCCTCCGACACCGCGTGCCACGCCTCCGACTGCCGGCCCTGCGCCACACAAGCCCCTCCGCTCACACTACTCACACAACCGATGTCCAACCTCTATTCCACTTGGGCTTCTACTGTCCATGGCTGTTTCGGTTTAAAAGCTATATTCAAAATCATCATCATTACAGCCCATCTATCTATTATTCAAAATTGGACAAAGGCATCTTCCTTTACTACACCACAAAACACGATCCTGCGCTATTTGCATCCAGTAATTCCCTGCGACTCTCTTAAAATCGTCACACCGTCTCACTACCCCTCAATGCCTTTACATTCTTCCCGAAAGAAAAGAGAAGAGATAGATTGGACAGTGAAATTATAAGATATTAATGATAGAAATTAACGGCACAACTAGCGATAGGTCCAATGAAATAATTTAATACGATATATGTACATCTAAAAGAAAAAAACAGTTTTGGCAGTCAACACTCAGTTCCAGTAGTTGTTTGCCAGTAGTTGCCACGCTTGGTAGAGGGGTTGGTCCGTCATTAGGCCTTGATGATGTTTTAAGAGGGACGCTATTACTTATCCCTCGATTATTAAGTTCCCTTAATCCCCTCTTAGGACACCCTCAGGCATGGAAGGGGTAGCTCATTCTATATTCAAATAGAGATTAAAATCTCGTTGCTAGATACACAACCCCTCTTGGATACCATCATGTAATTTTCTCGGTAAATCCGTTACAATAACAACTGTAAGTCAGTTGTTCATTCTCACCTATCATTAGCAGCCTGTAAGTAAATAAGTAGCGCATAAGCAGCGTATAACATTTCATTATTTACAGATTCTATTCAAGTTACTGTTTTAGAAACAGACTTAACTGCTTATAGCATACAAAACAAACACACTTATATTCAATGAATTATAAAGACCAAACATCAAACGCTGTTAGTACAATTAAAAATTTTAAAAATCTAATCACATATAAAATCTCAAAACAAAGCTAATTTATGTAAAAGGACCACAAATTCTAACTATTTCTAAAGGTCTAACAATCAAAACTTGAGGTAGGTACAGCTAAAAATATCAAAATTCACATGTACGACTACAACAGTTTTGATTTAAATTAGATAATATAAAAAAAAAAAACCTTCGTAATTCTAATAAGGACCGAGAATCAAACCTTGGGGTACAACTATTAAAATATCAAAATATAGAACCTTAAGCTGCAGCGGCAGGCCCGTCTTGTTGATGACCCAATGCTGCGCGTGCACATACAACTGCCAGCACTCGTTGCGTTCCACGCGTACGCACACCAATACCTGCTTTCCATTCTTACCGTCCGCCTCGAACTCGCTACTCATACTTATGATCTTCTCCGTTAAATCTGAAATATTACTAAAGCAATTAGCATTTAAAGACGTTTAATTTTCGTCATGATTATAAATAAAGATGAAAAATGATTAAATCAATCTCTTCATTTATATCGACAATAATTATAACATAGCATAAGTTAAGTGAAACCTTTTCCTTAAATCAGAATTCATAATTTTGATTCGACGGATCAATAATTACAGGTACAGTTACTGATCCTTCGAGCCGGAGTTTCTATTATGCAACCTATCTATCTATCTATCTATCCATTTAAGAGCTGCGCTCTTGTCGGTGGAGCTCTTGCCACTCACTACGATTTTCAGCGAGTCTCTTCACCTCTTGATACGACACGACACCAACTCCTTCCTTGATTTGCCTGATGTAACTATGTCTCGGTCTCCCTCTCCCCCTTCTTCCTTCTATCTTACCTTCTATTATAATGTTCGTAAGTTCGTCGTGTCGTATCAAGTGTCCTAACATTTTTCCCCTTCTGTCCTCAATAGTATTATGCAACACATTTGCTAAAATATTAAAACAATTAATAATGTTGTGATCGACTCACCTTGCGAGAGCGTGAAGCTGCCGGTCCATGGTAACCCCATATAATGCATTTCGAGTGTGAGACGGTGCGGCCGCGTAAGGTCCAGCGCATGCGTGTGCGCGCGTTCACCTGCTTCCACCCGCGCGTGCCACCTGCCCGGCACTGTCGCCCCCGCGTCCACCGCACCACCCGCAGTTACTGTGGGCCCACTGCTGAGCTGCAGCGCGTGGGGCAGCCGGTTGTATATTGCGAGGGGCGGTACAATGCGGATTAAGTAGTTCGGAATGTTTCGGCTTACTTTGTGTGATTGACAACCTGAATAAATAAAAATATTATGGAGCATCTTGTAATATAAATATTATACATAAAATAAAAAAAAATCAATTGATATACTACTGTGAAAAAATCATCAGAATTACTTTAATCTACGCTTGTCATGTAATTCTGTCATTAAGTACGTGTTTTTGGTTTAAACTAATATACGTTAGCAGTCAAATAATAGAATATGTAATGATAACCTATGAGAAGTAACGTGGACGTCACAGTATATAATATCCATAAATCTGTTCAATTGTAGTACAGTTACCGCGCAGGTTACCATTTTGCAACGGCAATGTCTTTTTTTTTACAACACAGGGGGCAAACGAGCTTGCGGCTCACCTGATGGTAAGTGACTACCGCCGCCCATGATCACCCACAACACCAGCGGCATTGCAGGTGTACTGCCGGCCTTTTAAAAAGGAATATACTCTTTTCTTGTCGTATCGGTTCGGAAATACTGCTGCTGGAAGTTGATTCTAAAAAATGGTTCTGCGTGGAAGAAAGTGCCTTGAAAAACGCACGGTGGAAGACCGCCACTCGTCCAGATGATGGGGATGAAACTTTAGTTTGTGGCGGTTGTACGGTGGTGAAAATCAGCAGCAGGTATCAGTCCGAACAATTCTTCAGAACACTCCCCATGATAAATTCGGTAGAAGATGCACAGAGATGCAACATCTCTGCGCAGTTTCAGTGGGTCAAGTCGGACAGTAAGGCGTTGACTATCAAAAATTCGAGCTGCCCGACTTTGAATGCGGTCTAACGGAAGGTTTTGGTACTGTGACGCTCCTGCCCATAGGTGAGAACAGTATTTCATATGCGGCCTGAATTGAGCTTTATATATGTCGTCAACTACTTGCCATTTCAAATAGCAAGAAGGCTATATTTTTATTTTAACTATGAAAAACATAAAAGCAATGTGTTCGACATGCTAATAACATTTCCACAATTAATATTAACTAAAATGCTCGTAGTCTCGTACCTTCGACGGTTATTATCCTCATAGCAAATATCCTGTCATCGCCGCCATCTTTAGCCGGGCAGATGACGTCACGAGCGGTGCCTAAATCATTTGCCAACTCCATCCACCAAATACCCTGAGTGGCAGTCTGGTAACTCCTGTTGAATTAATATATGAAAATAGGAAATATTAATCTTTTTTTTACGTCCTAACTTACTATTAAAAAAATTTAATAGTAAATTTTATTTGTTATAGTCCTAGTTATATCTGGAAGTGGAAAATTGAAATGTCTCAATCTAGATCCATAGAATGGCGGGGTACAAACGAAGAGTGATGGATAAGGATGAAAGCAAGTCAATTAGCTCATGCATCGTGACGATGCATCAGGAATTTTCTAAGATATTTCTCGGGAGGGGTCAATCGGAAATCATAGGTTATTAGAGATGATACTAGTAGGTCGCATATCTTATAAGCACCCTAGTTGTTCAGTGTACAGTTTTTTCTAACATATGGTCCCCAGTTTAGACATTCTAGAGTAGATGTCTAAAGGGATTTCCAAACTAATATACCAAAACCTTAAATTACATAGGTAGAGCATCGTGTCAAAAATGTGTCAACATTTAGTCAGCTAATTTGACATTTGAATGACTTAATTTGACACATATTTCTTTTAAATCAAAATAGGCGCCATTTTTTCAGTGTTATAAAAGTAAAGAGTTGAAAATTTTTCATTAGACCAATCAATTTTTTTAATTTAAATTTAGAACTATTTCTTCCGATATTTTACAAATAAACACATGTTTATATTGATTACAATTAATATACATATATTGATTAAAATGGCGGCCATTTTTAGTTATTTAAAAATCAAATCAAAAAATATTTTAAGACTATACATGAATATAAATGAAATTGTGCACTGTTTATACCGTTCTTTCAAATATACATGTAATTTTGAGGCGTTTTTATTTTTGAATTTAACATTCCAATATAGATTTCTCCCATATACCTACTGAGTAGTAAATGTACATTATGGCAACCCTACACACACATGATTAAAAAAATATTGACGTGTTTTTGATAAAGTATTTATATAAAAACACTATCCAGGGGGAGACTTTGTACAAAAGTCGATTGCTTGGGTACCTCTGTGCCATTCGTGTTTCAACCGTAAAGTAGCTGTGTTTGCATGGCTGTGTTTCGGTTTGAAGGGCGGGATATGGCGTGAATTTATTGGGTACGGAAGAATAACACCCGAGTCCTCAGGAATGGCAACGCATTGGGGGTATCGTGGGCGAAACAGTACACTCTGTTATGTCTATGGTACTGCTCATGCCTATACGCGACGGTTACCACTTTCCATCAGGTGGGCCGTCAGCTTGTTTGCCATTCTAAGTTGTATAAAAAAAAATATCTATCAAATCTAAGATCAAAATGTACAAAGCAGGTAACTCACTCAAAGTTCGAAGGTAGCAGGAACAGTTTGCAATGATACGCTATGTACAGTGGTACGTTGTAGGTGTCCTGCGGCGCTATGACGGCCAGTCGCAGCTTGTCATCGAACGGATTCGTCACTGCGCCAATCAAGTCGGCGCCGACGGCTTGCAGGTCAGTCTTCTTGTAGAACAGCTCCAGAGCGTACGACGTCTCGTTGCGAAGCTGAATATATTTAATTTATAATTTGTCCTCCGCGAGGCAATAAAGCGTGAAGAGTAAAATTGAAGTTAGGTAAGGACAGGCACAAATTGGATTATCAAATTCATTCAGTGATTGCCTAATATATATCGATGACATTTGGAGTTGACAATATAAACTATTTATTTATCTATTTATTTCCTTGTTTTCAAGATTCAAGATTATTATTCATTTTTAAAAGCACTTTCCCGACATTAAGTGAAATCAAAAGTTCCAACGAATTGTTTTTAATATATAATAAATTGGGGGAAGGGACTGTTAGTAATGGGGAGGTTACACCCTATTGCTATCAATATACCCTATCAGGTCGACCTCCACGCGGTTTCCCCTGGAAATCATCGTGACTAATTTATCGTTAAATTCGTCACGATGGGCTAACTGATCTGCTTTATCGTCCTCACCTATCATCCTTCACTGGTGCTTCGTCAACGTATACCGTTAGCGCAGGCGGAGTTACCATGCCACTATCATTCATTATATATATATATATATATATATATGTGAATATATATATATATATATATATATATATATATATATATATATATATATATATATATATTCATATACAATAGGCAAGACGTTTTTGCATAATTTAAGATTGAATTTACAAAAAACCGACTTCAATTGTGGCAAAATTAGAATCCATTCAGAATTTACCAAGTAATATATAGTGTAATTTATATAAATAAAAATTACCACTGGACTGAAAACCTCCAGTGTTTTAAAGTCGCTTGAAAAGAGCATGTTACCTGTAGCGGCGAACGAACGACAATCTTCTTATTGTTGTACTTTGATGTTCTCTCCACGACGATGTAGTAACGCGTGGAGTTCTTGCTCGGATGCAGCACGTGCAGCTTGGAGACATTGCGTTGTGGACACAATATCTGTCAAGAGAATACATAGTATATCAAATATATACCAAAGGTATAGGTTTGTACAAAAGCCGATTGCTTTGGTACCTCTGTCCCATTCGTGTTTCAACCGTGAAGCAGTTGTGTTTGCATGGCTGTGTTTCGGTTCGAAAGGTGGGATATGACGTGAATTTTGCTGGGTACAGAGGAATAACACCCGAGTCCTCAGGAATGGTAACGCATGGGGGGTATCATGGGCGAAACAGTATGCTCTGTTATGTCCATGGTACTGCTCATGTTTATAGGCGATGGTTACCACTTTCCATCAGGTGGGCCGTCAGCTATAGCCATCTTATATATATATGGCCATCTTCCTATATATATATATATATATATATATATATATATATATATATATATAGGAAGATGGCCATAGCTAAGCCCTGTTTCCTTTGACTCAGACATGGTTAACAAAAACTAATCTAACGTGGGCGTGTACTAATAATAATTAATAATAAGAGCAATTACAAAATCACACTTTATTTTTAAACTACAATCATTTTCGTTAATGTAGAAAATTAAAACTAATAAAATTATATCGAATTAAATAGAACTCAAAAATTCAATGGAATTCAAGATCCCTTATACACAAAACAACATGCAATCCCATAGAGTTCGTCCCTCCGATTACTTTCCTATTATTATTTTTTTATATAACTTAGAATGGCAAACAAGCTACGACATGACGACCCACTTGATGGAAAATGATAACCATCGCCTATAGGCATGAGAAGTACCGTGGATATAGTACGTTACAATTCCTAAAGTCTAAGAAGTTATGCCTCTGTACCCTGTAATTTTATTGCCATATCTCACCCTACAGACCGAAATACAGCTACGCAAACACAACTGCTTCACGGCAAAAACACGAATGGAACAGAGGTAGCCAAGCAAACGACTTTTATACAAATACTCCCTCTAGTGATAAAAATAGAACAAAAAACGCGCAATACACTCACAGTAAGATGATCCAGATCATGCAGGCGAATGTTGAGAGTGAGGTCAGTGAGTTTAGTGCGAAGATCCTTGGGAGGCGGTGGCGCTTCCGGGGAGTACTCGGGAGGTGGAGCTGGAGACATGCCGCCCGCTGGGAAGCCTCCTTCGAAGCAGCTACCGGACATGCAATGCCAACTTAATTTGTACTCTTGTTTATGTAAAATAGAGACCAATAGATCTCGCAATTCCACATAAAGAAGTGCCCAATTTTGAAATTTACTACTAGATCAATGATACCTATGTACTAGATTAGTGTTTTTTAATCTTTTTCATGACGCGACCCCCTTATTATGTAAAAATATCTTGCGACCCCCTTAGTATGTAATAATATCTTGCGACCCCCTTAGTATGTAATAATATCTTGCGACCCCCTTAGTATATAATAATATCTTGCGACCCCCTTAGTATATAATAATATCTTGCGACCCCCTTAGTATATAATAATATCTTGCGACCCCCTTAGTATGTAATAATATCTTGCGACCCCCTTAGTATGTAATAATATCTTGCGACCCCCTTAGTATGTAATAATATCTTGCGACCCCCTTAGTATATAATAATATCTTGCGACCCCCTTAGTATGTAATAATATCTTGCGACCCCCTTAGTATGTAATAATATCTTGCGACCCCCTTAGTATGTAAATATATCTTGCGACCCCCCTACCCTCCACATTATTGATTGATTGATGTATTTACGGAACTGTTGATTTTTCACTGCTTCGCGACCTTCTGCGACCCCTTGTAGAGGCTCGGGGACCCCACTTTGATAAAGAACCTACCAACCTAGTTCATGAAAAAAATTTTTTTAATACGTACTCAAACCTGTTAATTTTGAAAAAATATTGTAAACCTATTGATTGACAGTGATCAAAATTATTTGCTCACCAGTCCCAGTCGTCGGTTACGTCAATCATTTCATTCTTCACAGGCACGTCATCGAGAAGTTCAGCCGACGACGTATCACAGCCTAAACAAATAAAAAGAAAAAAATATGAACAAAGAAACAACTCCTTATTATTCTGAACTGAAATTACATTTTATATTAGATTTGTTTTTTATAACACAGAAGTCAAACGAGCATGCTGCTTACATGATGGTAAGTGACTACCGCCACCCATGATCGCCCATAAGACCAACGGCATTGCAGGTTTTCTGCCGGCCATTTAAAAAGGAATATGCTCTTTTCTTGAAGGTTATGATGGTATATGGATGGTAGAATCGTAAAAAAAACTATTCAAAAGTGCTTGAACTTAAATTAAGTAAAAAGATGTCGTATAGAGAGATCAAGGATGTGGCCTGGGATAGAACTGGCTGGAAGAAGATGCATGAATTAGTTGCACCGACAAGAGGAAACTCTTAAATGAAAAGAGAAAAAGATGTCTATTCAATAATATCAAGTCTCATGCTTTTTATTACTTAGAATTGAATGAAACCTTATCCATTTCCGATTCATTATTGTATTCAGCTAATTATGAGTATATCAACTTGCCATGTGGTTCCGGCATAGAACGTGCCACCCCTTCCTTTTCAATGAGTGTCGTAACAGGTGATTAGGAGAACTTAATAATCTAGGGATGAGCTACAGCGTCCCTCTTAAAACATCGCCAAAGTCTAACTGCGGTTGCCAACCCGTCTGCCAAGTGCAGCAACTACTGGCAAAACCTTTTTGGGGAGGCCTAAGGCATAGGCGAGTTAACAGCTGATATGGTGATGATAATTATACCAATTTGTGGATTTCAACTATTAAAGTCACTTCATTTCATAACCTGCCATAATTTAATAACCATGAGGAGAAAGGGATTGTTAGTAATGGAAACTGAGAATCCCATTGCTAGCAATATACCCAACCAGGTCGACCTCCTTGCGCTTCTCCCTGGATACTATCATGGTTAATTCCTGATGAATTCATCATGATGGGCTAACTGGCCTGTTATCATTCTCATCAATCACCCTTCACTAGTGCTCCGCCAGCGTATCCCGTTAGTGCAGGCGGGGTAACCATACCATTTTCACCCATCAAAAAAAAAAATTAATAACCATAATTAAAGGACTACCATTTATCGGTTCTGCTTAGCTACTGTAAAAAGTCCCATAGCAACATCTAAGCAACAAATCATCAGCTGAATTAAAGCAAATCCTTAAATAGTCCTAGTAAATTTAGAAGATTTTTTTATTTTTTTTATACAACTTAGAATGGCAAACAAGCCGACGGTCCACCTGATGGAAAGTGGTAACAGTCGCCTATAGACATGAGCAGTACCATGGACATAACAGAGTATACTGTTTCGCCCATGATACCCCCATGCGTTGCCATTCCTGAGGACTCAGGTGTTATTCCTCTGTACCCAGTATATTCACGCCAAAAATGTTCAAGATGTAATTATTTACCTGGTGTACTAGGTCTGCTGGTGTCAACGTCGTAGTCTGCTATCGCCAGTACACGATCGTTACCCGCTAGGTCTGTTTCTGCACGAGTCTTCAAATGCACCGTGGACCCTGGGCCTGATGATTGGAGACAAGAGTTTGAAGCAAATATAAGCTAAATACATTTCCAGTTACAGAGGGAGTTCTATTCGATAATTTGAAAGTCTTTAAGTCTCTGTTAAGTTACACCACAGAGGGAGTTCTTTTCGGTAATTTTAAACTCTTTAGGTCTCTGTTACGAATATAAAGTTGTTAGTGGTGACCGTATTATAAACTGATTCATGATTTAAGATTTTTATTTGTTTTTGATTTTATATTTTAATTTCTAGTCTGTAAACGTTTATTGTAGCAAAATAATGAATTCTTAATGCGACCTGAATAATATCGTCATAGTCGTAGAATACTGACGGATCTGACAAATATTACATATAAAGATCCGTCAGTATTCTACGACTATGACAATATATAAGATCCGTCAGTATTCTACGACTATGACGATATATAAGATCCGTCAGTGTTCTACGACTATGACGATATATTGCTTTATATGAGGTACATAGCTTAGTGATATTGAAATAGAGTTACTCTTATTGGACAACTAGCAGTTTTCATTCTAAAGTCCTTATTACATAATAAAACATATCAGTCATATTTTTTTGGAGGTAAGAAACAAGCATTCACTTGCAATATCAAAGGAATTGTTTACGTTTGATGACTTAATAAATCTGCCATAGAGATACTTCGCGCAAAAGTCGGATCTCCATCCCACTTGTGTTTATATCGTCAAGTTGCATGTGGCAACGTTACTATTCCTGAGGATAATGGTATTATGCTTTCGAACCCTATAATTTAACTGCCATATTGTTCTTCAAACCGAAACATGGCCATGCAAGCATAGCTGCTTCACAGCAGAAATATGCATGAGAGAATTATACTCTTGCAAATGACTATTGGCCGTGTGGTGCCGGCATAGAATAGGCCACCCACGACACTCACGGGAAAGCCCGTGGGTGTCGTAAGAATCGTCTAAGGGACGGCAAAGGATGGGCAGCAGCGTCCCTTTTAAAAATTCTTTAAAACCTAACTACGGTTGCCAATTCGCCCGCCAATCGTGGCAACTACGGACAAAATCCCCTAAGGGGGAGGCTGAAGGCTGAATATAATTTAGCAGTGGACAAGCTGGTATGATGAAATGACTTTTGTATAAAGTGTTCCTCTGGTAAGTTTACAAGTAAAGGGAGTTACCTATATCGTTGACAAGCACGAGCCCAGAGTCAGCGGTGACGATGGCAGTGACGACAGCGGTGCGGTCGCTGCAGGCGTTGGCCAGCGCCAGCAGGCAGCGCGCCCCCGCCGGCGTCACCGTCACGTTCAGCGGGTGGCGGGCTTCCAGCATTATATACGTGCACATACGTTCAGCGAAGCTCTCCGTCTCGAGACCCGAGTCCACGCTATCTTCACGAACTGGCTCCTGGGTTTTGGATATACGTTTGGTGGTCATGAAGGAAAATGTAGGCGAATCTTAAAACAACTTTTTCGATGATCACAAAATGGAACATAGGAGAACCCGACACTATTTCATTCTAATTGTGTTACTTTGAAAGCGAAGATTGTATTTTCAACTGGCTTTAAAAATAAAAAAGGTTTTCAATTCGGTTTTATTTTTTATGTATATTCTTTATTGCACTTGTAAATTGCTGTTAATGCATTTATAAATATTGTGAGCAAGGCTGGACTTATCTCTGACAGAGATCTCTTCCAGTCAACCCAAAACAGTTGGAAAGCATGTCGTCAGCGGGCAGCTATTTTTTTATGTTTGTTACCTCATAACTCCGTCAGTTCTAATACGATTTGGATTTTTTTTCTATCTAACAGGATCTACTTACAGATAAGTCTTGTAGAAATTATATCAAAATCGGTTCAGTACTTTAAATCTGATTTTGTCACAATTGAAGTCAGCTTTTTTTTGTGGGACACAGTTTTTTCTTATTTAATCCGCATAATATTGCGTTTTAAAAACTGCTTAGTTAGGAAACACAAGAACGTTACTAATATTAGTACATATGACACAACTTAGTGGTAAGTCAGCATAACCTATGCCCACACCTGTAAGGTAACAGTTTTATGCTCGACATCCTTCTTCCCCTTATCCCCGTCAATGTACGAGACAGGTTTTCCATCTTCGTCGTGGTCGCTGCACACTTCTGGCTCGCTCTGTTCGGGAGCTGATGAGTCTTCATCATTACTCATCTCGTCTGCACTCGAGTCGCTACAAATACAAGTTTATTGTACGCACTTATTGTTAGAGGGTTGACAGACTAAGTTCCCAAGAGATTACAGCATGGGGTTCTTCAAAAGGGGGGTAAAGAGGTTTCTTCAGGGTCGGCAACGCGCGCGTAATACCTCTGGTATTGCAGGCGTTCATAGGCTACGGTAACCGCTTACCATCAGGTGGGCCGTATGCTTGTTTGCCACCTCAGTGGTATAAAAAAAAGCTCATTTGAGAATACTTGACGGTCCGAAGATTCTAAAATCGAACTATTGCCTAATTCTCTGACTTTTTTAAATTCGTATTCGCTGCTGCCCATCCCTTGATCAATAATTCCCTTAGTCGTTACGACATTCACGGGAAATGAAGGGGTCGCCCATTCTATGTCAGGACCTACACGGCAAATGTAGTAATAGATATTATTCATTTTATATTTTCTCTTTGGTCCTCAGACTATCATTTGATAAAAATACCACTAATAATACCCACAGCCGTATCCTTTGTCTAAATGAAAATTAAACCAAATTAACGAACAACGATATATCCTTACACCAAATTCTGAAAGGAATGGATAGAGAGAATCGACTTCCAAAAGCCTGTGACTTAGATGGCATACATATACTAGTATATATAAATAACTTACTCCGTAAACAAATGTCCAATGGCGTTCGCCAGTTTATCCATCAACCCGTTTTCATTCTCAGAATCCGATTCGTCGATGTCCAGCGCACCTAAGAACGATATATTCCCAGCGCTAAGGTCCACGTTGCAATGTTTATTGTCTCTGTTAGGGTTCCTTATAAATGTCATTTCATTATCGGTATCGCACTCGTCTGCTGACGTCTCGGATTCGAACTCGCTCCTTTTCCTAGTCCTCTTCGAGGTGTCAGGCGAGTGGTCTGTTTCGGTTTCCGGTTGGGCAGTGTCGAGACGTGACGACATTGGATACGCTTTAGCCTGAGAAAGTTGTAGATTGAGAGGTCTCTTATTAAAAAAAAGTTTTGTTAATAGATGGAGATAGATACAAAATTTAACATATGAAATATAATATAGTATATTAATGTATAATGACAAAGCATCAGTGATGGCTGAAGTACTGAAGATGAAATCAGGACAGTTTTTAACGGAACTGCGTAGATAGGGCTTGATTCACACAGGCCAGTAAAAGAGATTGCCAAGGATGCAAGATTTCCGTTAATCCAATTCCTTCCTCGTCGTCATCATTTTTACTTTTCTCAATTAGATATCGGCATAATGTTTTCTTGACAATTTATTTATCATTTATCTCTCGCATTGTTTTTTGATGTATCGTGTAAAACGCTCTTAGCTATTGAACTATCAATTCCTGGAAATCTATTTCGATATAGTTAAATCACTACACATAGGGTTGCTACGAAAACATATTACGACGTCAAGTCGATATTCTATAAGAATATCTGAATCTTAAAGCTACAAAAGTACCTGGAATAAAGTAGCGGTAATCTCCCAAGGTCGGTAGAGGTTCTCCTCACAAACCACGGGCTCTATAACCGGCTCCCATGCATCCACTCGCTCATTGTAACAGCTCGCGTGCAGCCGCAGCCATGCCGTGCCCTGCAGCTGGCGAGACCACTCGTTTAACGCCAGCTCTCCAGATAACTGCAAGCAGGATATCCAAATAGCCAAAATATAACACCAGTAGAAAAAGCTCGTACAAAGGTATCATAACGATGACTTAAACTTCCTCCATAATTGGTCAAGCTGCATTGACCTCAAGTAATTTTATTGTACGGTGAGGTTTGATTTAATGGGTGATATATAGCAGAGAAATTATTCGGAATTGTGATCTTTATGACAGTGATAGTGATAAAGTGCGAATCAGAAGTAACTGCTGAATAGAGCAATCGTTCATGGGCTGCGGTGGCCACTTACGAACCGCATTATTTACTTCTTCACTTATTAATTTTTATAAAAAAATCTGCTTCCAACAATTTGTATTCATATCAATTACAAAGTTATAAATGTGGATAAAGCTGAAGGATATCTAGGGGGATATAAATATGGAGGTCCCTAGCATTCTGTTATCTCTGGTTTAAATTTTAGATAGACTAAAAGAACTCTCTATCTCTCACAATTTGCATAGAGTTATTATATTAAAATCTAAGTATTACAACAGGATCTTATATTCATCAGATCATAAAATAATGAAGATCTTTTACCTTCATCATTAATACTGGAACTCTCACAGTTTGTTCGATTTCAAATATAATCCTCACATTCGGAATCGTCATCAAGAAGCTCTCAGTCGGTTTTATTGCTGGATACTTAGGTGGTACGTAGCTGTCTTCGTGATTTAGAAGCACATAAGGAGTTATCTTTTTGGGAGACCACAAATCCTCGTCCTGTTTCTCCAACTTGGGATTATATGTAGCAAAGTTGAAAGGCTCTTTCTCGTCAGGGATGGTCAATTCTGATGATATCTCGTCGATTATATCTAAAATATTTTTTGTACAATTTCACATGAGCGTATTACACATTTCTAATTATTTTCTATCTATCTATCCTATTTAAGAGCTGCGCTCTTGTCGGTGGAGCTCTTGCCACTCACTACGATTTTCAGCGAGTCTCTTTACCTCATGAAGAGACTCACAAATTATTTTAATAATTATAAAACATATAGTATCTTTATGCGATTTCTATTTATACAAACTTCTATGGCAGCGATGATTACCCACATATAGCAAACAATATAATAAAATAAACGATGAAACTCATACATTCCTGGGAAAGAATGCCTTAGGACTGTCTTATGACAAATTTATTTGAGACAGATCGTTCATAACAGATCGAAAGAAACAAACCGATCTGTTAATTATAATTACATATTTCGGTTTAAATTGTGGGGTATGGCAATGAAAATACAGTACAGAAAGACATAACACCATAGTCCTCAGGAATGACAACGGAAAAGGGCTATCATGGGTATCACACTTTGTGATACCCATATACAGTATATTCTGTAATATTCATGACGCTGTCCATGTCTGTAGGCGACAGTTACCGCTTGATAGATCAAATGGATCATCAGTTTGTTTGCCATTCTGAGTATCATAAAAAAAATTAAAAAATTTAAACTCTTCATTACAAAACATGCATACAACACGAATAACTAATATACCATAATATTAAATATTGTAACTCACCCATAACAGTGTGCACAGTTGTCGCTGCAATATGAACTTCGATCTCAGATACTGATAGTTTTACTTTAACTCCTTCTTCTACGTTTTTGAAGCTTTTGGAAAACTCTACGTCACACGGTTTCAGTACCAATTGTGGTGGTAGGTTCTTTAGTTTTGATTGAAGTTTGGACATAATTTGGAGACCAGCAAGAGAAACCACTAGGTTTTCGCTACTAGAATGACTGGAGTAGTCGATAAGTAGTTCTGTCCGTAATAACAAAGCATGCCCGTCGGATTTAGTGAGATCTGTGAAGAACATTACTTCGGGCTGTCGAAACTGGATGGATATTGAGAGGCCAGGAGTTTCTTCTGATATTGACGTTGCTGCAAAGAATATTGATAACTTATTAAAAATTTCTACCATCGTAATGAAAAATCAAATAATTTAGAAAGTACTAAATACAAAGACAAGGCAGAGGTGTGACTGAAACTTACTTGCAGAATAGTATCCGCTGGTAGAGTCGCTAGAACTTGCGGCACGGTTGTTGTTGGCGCGTGGTGCGCCCAGCTCTCCAACATACCCATGATTGACCACGCCGCCATCCATCGTTTTTTCACCTGGATATTGATGGTAAAAGGTTAAACGTTACATATATTAGAACATGGTATAGGACTAAACAATATTTTTTTAGGTATCTGTGCAGGTGATCAGATTAATAATATTTTGTTCTGCGTTGGAAAGTTTTCCATTGTTTGCCTCATTTTGTAAGTCCTAGTGAAGGGAACCGTGTGCTATATTCCAATAGCGCCGGCTGGTGGAGGCTGGAGGGAGGAGGGTGGAGGGAGGAGAGTGGAGGCAGACGCACCCGGCATGGCGTCGAGCGTGGTGCGCGCGAGCTGCAGCAGGAAGGGCAGCTGGAGGGAGGAGGGAGGAGAGTGGAGGCAGACGTACCCGGCATGGCGTCGAGCGTGGTGCGCGCGAGCTGCAGCAGGAAGGGCAGCGCGAGGTTGCAGCGCATGCGGTCGACGCGCACGTCCAGCTGCGCGGCGCGCGCGCCCGCCAGCCGCGCGCTGCACTCCAGCAGCGCCGGCCGCCGCACGCTGATGCCGCCCGTCGCGCGCGTCACGCCGCCCTGTGACTGCACGATCCTGCCACACACATGCCCTTACCAAACTGAGAATGTGTGTAAAAACTTGTAATTTTTATTGGTGTCAGTATGGGTTCTATTTCAGAATTAACGAGGCCCCAGTTTTGTGCGAACACTGCAAATTTGCCCAGAATACCACCGAAAGTCGGTCGCTGTAGAATCGTGCCATACGCCGCATAAAAAATGTCTTCAGTTTATTGAACCCACAAAGAAATAGAGACCTGTAGTTTCTTAAATCATAGGAGTATTGCATGCATAAACAACGCTACATTACTTCTAAATATAAACGAATGTAATGGCTCAACTGCAATTTATATGTGTATTTTAATTCTTCTACCAAAATACGCCACATAATATATTAAGCCAAGGAGTTCCTCAGGCGATGCCTCTCCTGAGGATTAAAATGTTATTTCTTTTTTTTTAAAGATTACCTCTCTAGATCGAAATTACAACACACACAATGCTGCTTCATGCCTTAAAAAGTAATGGTTTTCATAAAACCCTCACCGTTTAATTACAATAGAAGGATCAGGTCTTATGTCTTCAACGAGCAAACTTTGTAGACTCGCTTTTAGTTCAGCACTGTTGTCCGAGTACCAGTCCAGTTGTAATGTCGCTTCACCCGCTGTCAGTTTTGCTAGACCATGGTTCAAGTCACGGACCGGCGAACTGAGGACCTCGTCCATGTCCGAGAATAACTTTAATTCAATTCCCTCCAATGTAAATCTGGAAACCAGGAATGTTTCTAGGAAATGTGAAGTACAACAAATTATTGATCTATTCCTAATTGCTAGCCTTCTGTTGAAACAGCTGACAATATTAAATATAATAATTTTAAATGAACATAATTTTAGTACCTAATTTGTTTAACCTTGTCTTAAAATACTCAGAAATCCTAAAGAAGACTATTAAAAATTTGATATAAGCTCTACCAGTAGGCTTCATCCAAACCATATTCTTTATTTCCCTATATGATATGATACATAGCACTCTCTTCCTTCTTTCCACCATTCCTTTCAGAATATCTCATTATGTTATTAGATAAGTTGCTTAAATTCCAGTGCGCTAACGAGAGGAAAATAAACTGTTCTGCTCCACATCAAGGCTTTAGGAATCAAAATTAAAAAAAAAAATTACCTTAAGACAGCTTCTTTCCTGATAGGTTCGCCTTGAGCAAAAAATGCCTGGAGTTTTTTAACCGACGCATCTGTGGCCGGTACTTCTACTGGAGAACCGGGTATTATTGTACCTGTCGAGCATTATAAAATTAGATGAAATTTACGAATGGATGTTTCCAAAAAAAAAAACAGTGAAAATAAGTCGCCTTGGAAGATGATTTGTCCTTTATGGTTGATGGTTAAAAAATATAAATAATTGAATTAACATTTTCACTACTTATTTTATTCAATTAATCAATCATGTTTTAATCATTCCGCTAATTTTTAATTAGGCGAAAAAATAATGATAACTAATTAAAAATTAATTAATAAAAAATACAGATTACTTCACTAAAATTGTCAAATCAAATTTATCTAGTACTAGAGTGTAGAAGATATGAAAGACTGGATGCACTGATAATAATAATGTAGGTATATTGTCGTGTGGTCCTGGCGTAGAATAAGCCACCCCTTCCTTTTCCGTGGGTATCGTAAGAGGCGACTAAGAGAACATAATGGTTGAAGAATGGGATGGGAACAGCGTCTCTCTTAAAACATTACCAAAAACTGCGGATGCCAACTCACCTAACAAGCATCCCTCCTTTATGGAGGAGACCTATGTTCAGTAGTTAACGGCTGATGAGATGATGATGGTGAATTAAGTAAATACAATAAATAAAGATCACAATCATATACAAATTATCGTAAACCCCAAATTAAAATCAGGATCAGCTAATAAACGCAGTGAGTGATCAGGAACATTTATATAATTTACCAATATAGGGCTCGTTGCTAAGGTTATCGGCCCAGACTGCGAGGATCGTGGCGAGGTCCTTCTGCCCGAGGTTAACTAGTACCGTATCCATCAGGACATCGGCTTCTAACGCTGTCTCGCGACGAAGGGCACGTTGGACGTCGCAACGGACCGATACTGGTTCAAGGATTGGTTCCTGAGCGAGGAAAAAATATGTGCAAATGGATTGTAAATATTAAATGCGAATAAATTAAAATTTTATGCTACTGGAATTTGTAAGTAAGGCAATGGCCTAGTAGATAAAGAAAATCAAAGAAGAGTTGATCGGAATCAGTCGAATATGGGTAAAAGAAACAGAATATTAGTAAATACTAAAGAAACCACTAGCTACGGTTACTTCAATACTATTAACATACTTTTTATAGGAATATATAATTTGGTTTCAGGAAATGGAAAGTTTTGAAAAAAAAAACAAAATATAAATAAACTAGACTCACTTGCATTTCCAAGGTACCGGCCAAGGTCATGACAGCTCTGGAGAAGGTGATGTTCACCAGCTTAATCAAAATGTTATCTATAATCGGATTCTGCATCGGGCTCGTCGCTTCTTGACTCGCGTTTGTTTGTTTAAAGAAATTTTCTATCAAAAGGTCACCTGGGAAGAAGATTGGAGAAAACGATTAAACGGATACTTTATGGGGATTTTAAAAGACTTCTCATGAAGATCTAAGAGAATTTAGAATAATTTGAGATTCTAAGAGAATCTCAAATTATTTATATTATAAGTTTTTTTAAAGGATAATAACGCTAAAATGTGCAGGCATAAAACAAACGCAAAAATTTGTTTGGATGATCTTCTTTATACTCTAACCCCAATTATTATATGGGGTTTTACGACCGGCCGCCTGCCTGACGTCAACCCTCTTTGGGAATGCATTTGTTGGTGGTTTCCGCTACCTACAGTATAGAAGAAAGAATTAGGGAAAAAAGGAAGGGAACGTTTGTTTGGGTGACAACATAAAACATTTCAAGATAGTGGCACATTCTCAAGAAAATGAAAAATAAAACTGTATAAAATATGCAAAAAATATTTTACAGATTCAAAAGATATTTGAAATTTAGAAATGACAGTTAGAAGGATAAGTACTTAAATTGTTTTAGCCCAGCAAACATTCTTACGGGACGATCATAGTTGACGCGGTCAAAAATACAACCCAAAAACATGTGGACATATAAGAGAAAGAAGATAAAAATATGACATTTCTGTCTAACATGAAAACAAAACGTAATAATTATGTAACAATTAGCTCACCCAAGTTGAACACTAGTAGATTAGGCGACGAGGGCTTCTGTGGTAACAATAATACTGGGGCATGAATCTAAAAAAAGTAAAAACATTGGCAATAAATTACAGAGAGAGGCTTTGTACAAAAGACGTTTACTTGGACACCTCTGTCCCATTCGTGTTTTTACTGTGAAGCAGTTGCGTTTGCATGGCTGTGTTTCGGTTTGATGGGTAGGATATGACAGTGAATTTACAGGGTACAGAGGAATAACACCTGAGTCCTCAGGAATGGCAACGCATGGGGGGTATCATGGGCGAAACAGTATACTCTGTTATGTCCATGGTACTGCTCATGTCTATAGGCGACAGTTACCACTTTCCATCAGGTGAGACGTCAACTTGTTTGCCATTCTAAGTTGTATAAAAATAATAAAAGAAAAAAACAAAATGACCTGTATGGCGAGGTTGAGGCGCGTGGTGGCGCGGCGCAGGCTGCGCACGCGCCGGCCCGCAGCGCACTCGGCCGCGCTCACCGCGCCCGCCGCGCTGCCCGCCGCCAGCGGCTCCACGAACTGCTGCACGCCGCGCACGCACACGCATTAACACCACCACCTCTACCACACCCGCCGGCCCGACACGGCACAATACGCTCCTTCAACTACGACTGGCTACAGCAATATCTTTGCCGTATAGTCCCAATATAGAATGGGCCATCCCTTCTTCTCCCGTAGACGTCGTAAAAGTCGACTACGGGAGCTTAATAGTCGAAGGATGGACAGCAACGTCCTTCTTAAAATATCACCAAGACCTAACCGCAGTTTGGTTTTGGTGATGTTCTTTGATGAATACAAACAACCGAGAAGATTATCTTCTACTCTCAACAATGTACTTATAATCGCTATTTGATTACCAGTTCTATAAATAAATAATTGACCAGACTTTAACCACAACTTCATCCACATGAACGAAATAACCCAGAAATAAAAAATAAAAACATAGCTTGTGGTCGTTCTCTATACCAAACAACACATGTGTGCCAAATTTCGTGTTAATTGGTGAAGCTATTGAAACGTCAAAAGACAACAAACACACTTTTGAATTCATAATATAGGCTGTATATCACAGCTTCGCCAACGTGAATTAATGTAAGTACTAAGTTAGGATATAACCTATCCGTGTTTTAAATTTCATTCAAATCCGTTTAGTAGATTTTGCTTAAAAAAATATTATACCTAACAAATCTAAGAGTACTAATTACAAATCTAATATAGAACCTACTAAATAACTAAATACTAACCTGCAGATGATGCAGAACAGAATAGAACAGTACGACATGCAATCGACCCAGATACACCCGGAGTTCACCGTGAGCTTTTAACTGCGGCGCTGTTCCGTAGTACCTTGGAGCTGCTCGGACATACTTCACCTCTAGCACCTTGTCTTCATCAGGCCATACCAGCTGTAATGTGTATTTAGTGAGTATAGACTGTCCTCGCAATACCTGAGATATATACCATACCATATGGTACCAGAGAGAGACTTTGTAAAAAAGTCGTTTGCTTGGGAACCTCTGTCACATCGGTTTGAAGGGTGAGATATAGTAGTGAATTTACAGTCCATGGTACTGCTCATGTATATAGGCGACAGTTACCACTTTTCATCAGGTGGGCCGTCGGCTTGTTTGCTATTCTGAGTTGTATAAAAAAATAAAAATAAAAAAAAAACAGTGCCGTAGACATAATAGAGTATACTGTTTTGTCCATGCGTTGCCGTTCCTGAGGATTAAGGTGTTATACCTCTGTACCCCGTAAATAAATTGCCATTTTCCACCCTTTAAACCGAAACACAACCATGCAAACAACGGCTTCACGATTGAAATACGAATGAGACAGAGGTACCCAAGCAAACAACTTTTGTACAAAACCTCTCTGTGCTTATTTCCGTTCAGTACGTAAATAACGGGACAAATTTAGCAAAGCAGATACATTATCTAATGCTACATGCCTATATTATTGGATGGATGCATGTATTTTAAAATATTAAGACAATATTGAACATTTAATTATTAAGATACAGTATACATACCTTCGGATACAAAGTGGCTTCAGACAAATCATCGAGATGCAGCGAGCTAAGGTACAGCTTGAAGATCATACGATCGTTAGCACGAAACACGCAATCGCTTTCAAGTCCAGCCAACCTTATTTCCACCAGCGAACAGTCCAAATGGCAAAGTCTCATGGATACTGAAGTCACTCTGCAAAGTAATAGAATTAAAGTCCTATATTAATGTTACTAAATTCTCCTATATAGAGTATTAATGTAGATAAAAATTAAGGTGGTATTTTTTATGCACCTTAATGTTTTTTAAGGATTTGGTTATCAGACGTTTTGTTAGTCGCTGATACAATGTGGGCACGGCTAACTTTGATTATCTGCAGTCATTAGCTGTCATTACGTCTTTGGTTTTGTATATCAGTAGATCTTAGACGAATCCATGTACGAAACTGCGAGAACGAAAGAGTAAGAAATGGATATGGGCTTGCCACTTTCGTTACAGAACCTCTTCTAGCTAGCTCATCTAATAACTGTACAAACCTAACTGAATAGCTGAACTTAGTGGCTCCTGACGGCACGGGCGGATCTTCTTCTGGCCTCATAAGGTAATCCCATAACGATTTAGTCTTCGGCACAACGATCTTCTTCAAATTTAATGCATGTCGAGTTTGAATCCTGTTAGAATTCATTAAAAAATTAGTTACTTAATCATAAAGGATCTGTTACATTTCAAATCTTCGCATTCATTTATGCTTCATTTGGAGGAGCGATGTATAAAAATGTTGATCGAGGTGCGAATTTTGATTGCAAGAATGATTTTCCGAAAAATGTAAGTGGCGAATTCACTAAAATAGGAGATGGCAATTTTTGTTTGTTAATACTTATAATGGCAAAAGAACTGACTACGCGCACTATACAAAGTAGCAATCTATAAACAACATCATGAACATCACTGGAATACCCATGCCATCCCACATGCAATATCATTCTGATGGACCTTGATGTTATGCGTCCGTACCTATTCTTTTTCTTGTACTACTTAGAATGGCAAACAAGCTGACGGCCCACCTTATAGAAAGTTATAACCGTCGCCTATAGACATGAGCAGTACCATAGACATAACAGAGTGTACCGTCATATCGAAATGAAAATAATAAGGTTACAATTAAGAATATAAAAGAGATTGTTTATAAAATATAATCTTAACCAGTTTGGCAATTATCTGTAATAGGATAACATGATTTGTTTATTTCGTCTTTTTTTTATATGACTTAGAATGTCAAACAAGCTAACGGCTCCCTTGACGGTAAATAATAACCGTCACCTATAGATATAAACAATACCATGAACATAACAGAGTATACTGTTTCGCTCATGATACCCCCCATGCATTGCCATTCCTGAGGACTCAGGTGTTATGGCTCTGTACCCTGTATAATTTTACTACCATATTCCCACCCTTTAAACCAAAATACAGCCATGTTTCGTGTCAGTCAAAAAAATCTTTAAAATCTTTACTTGTAAAACCTTGAAAGAACTACTGTAAACGTACTTGTCACAAATGTATTGCGTGTACTTGAAGAGTGTGCGGATTGCGTCCGCGTGCAGCAGTAGTGAAAACTGGCCGGCATCAGCCACTAGCGACTGTTCCACGCTGTGAAAATGCGAACGGAACTCGGGGCAGTCTGCTCGGACCTGATATTTATAATATCAATTGTTAGAAAATAGTATTGCTTGAAACTAATTTCTGAACTGGTAATAAAGACAAAAAATTACTTCATGTTACTAATATACGTTTTTGATAACAGACGACAGCCGATATCTCTACATGGAAGATGTATAAAAAAATATTATGAACCATACTTTTTAGAATTTTTATCTGTCGATCAACCTGTCTATATGTCTGTTCCGAAAACACACAAAAACAACTAGGTATATTAAACTAGATGTAATTTTTACAGTTGTATTCTTGAGAACTTTACATAAAAAGCTGTGTATCTTAATACGCCATCTAAAAGTGATTATATATATATATATATATATATATATATATATATATATATAATCACTGAAATTGAATGCTATAAATTATTTCTTGTAATTGTTTATATTTATAATAAGTTTACTATTGTAATCTTTTGGAGGAAACAATAAAGAGTATCTATCTATCTACAAAAGATTTTGTTTATTCTTTTATTACATTTTTTTTTTTGTTCAACATAGAATGGCAGACTGATGGTCCACCTGATGGAAAGTGGTATCCGTCTCGCGTCGCCTATAGACAATACCATGTACATCAGAGAATACTCTGTGAATAGTTGAATTGTCCTCATGCACTAATATCACTGGAAGTTCATTCCAAAGAGTGGTTGTGCGTAGAAGAAAGTGCCTTGAAAAACGCACGGTGGAGGACCGCCATTCGTCCAAATGGTTGGGATGAAATTTTAGTTTATGGCGGGTAGTACGATGGTGAAAATCAGCAGCAGGTATCAATCCAAACAATTCCTCAGAACGCTCCCCATGATAAATTCGATAGAAGATGCATAGAGATGCAACATCTCTACGCAGTTCAGTGGGTCGAGCCGGACAGTAAGACGCCAATCGTCAACAAGTCTCCTTGATAGACTGCTATAAGGAACGGAATTTTTATACGACAGTTTACCATTGGGGGTTTTTGCCAGTAGTTTGCTTGGCAGATGGGTTGACAACCGCAGTTTGGCTTTTAGTGATGATTTAAAAGGAGCTCTGGGCCTATCCCTCGACCATAACATCAGTCGCTCTTACGACACCCACGAAAAAGGAGTGGTGACCCATCCTATACCGGGATTACACGACATGTAATTTCACTAGTATATCCTATAAGTACTTCAAACTAAAACAAAGCCAACTAAAGTTCAAGATACAAATTGGAGTACATCCATACTCCAAAAAAGTCTAAATTGTAGAATTTTTACTAACCTTTCTATACAGCAAATTGAACAGTTCACCAGAACTGGTCAGGAGTTCAAGATACTGGCCAGTGCTGCTGTGATGCTGTTTATCAGTAAGAAGTGCCTGCCCCACTGACAATTGGACAGCGGGCCCGTATTCCATGAGAGCCACGTCTAGGCACACCTTCGTTATGCTCAACATAACGTACGGCTTCTCGGTTTGGTCCGTCGAACGGGACAGATTTATGACAATTTCACCTAATAAAAAAAAATACTCTTAAAAACTGAGACTGAGAAGAATCTTTAGATTTAAAGACCTTAATGATAGATTTTTTTAACATTGCCTCTAACGTATTCAATTGCTTATTTGTATATGCGATACTGGTACTTTTATCCAGTCGTACATATGTATGTATAATGCAAATAAAACAAATCTCTCTAGCTTTTTTACGCTGAGAACTCATCTATAGCTCAGCTGAGAATCATTAAATTTTCTTTTCTCAATGTTCTCTACCCAAAGATTTGGAAAAAATGTTTAGTAACGATCATCATCATATCAACCTTCTCTATAAGGAGAGTTTTCTAGTAGTTGCCACGCTTGGCAAGCGTGGTTGGCAATCCCAATTAAATTCTAGTGATATTTAGGAGGAACGCTGCTGCCCATATTTCGACCATTAAATTGCCTTAGTTGCCTCTTACGACATCCACAGGAAAAGAAGTTGCCCTTCTTTGGTATTTGGCTCATTCTATGCCGGGACCACAGCAATACTATTTAACGGTAAAATCGCCTTTTGTGCTAGGCAAAGGCTTAAATTATTACTTGTAATCCTTACTTCCTTAATCTACAATAATGAAGTGTATTTTTTTTTTATACAACTTAGAATGGCAAACAAGCTGACGGCCCACCTGATAGAAAGTGGTAACCGTCGCCTATAGACATGAGCATAACAAAGTACATAACAAAGTATACTGTTTCGCCCATGATACCCCCCATGCGTTGCCATTCCTGAGGACTCAGGTGTCATTCCTCTGTACCCAGTAAATTCACGCCATTTCCCACCCTTTAAATCAAAACACAGCCATGCAAACACAACTGCTTCACGGTTGAAACACGAATGGGACAGAGGTATCCAAGCAATCGACTTTCGAATTACTGACCTATGACAAAACGAAGTAAGACTCGTATGGTGTTGTTGGGGGACACATTATCATCAAAGCCCGGCAAGTCCACTGAGCGGGCGTAGAGTTCCAACTCTTCATCAGTGTGATCGGTGGACGAGAAGGCTGGCTCTGCTGCCAGGTTGCCTAAAGGCGTGCGAGATTCTTCACCTTGGGTTTCCGCTCTGTAAATTAAAATATGATAAAAATAAAAGATGGTCTGAAAAGTCCTTTTCACTCGATCTTCGATCTCTCATCCTGATCCTGATATTTCTTATGCCTTCCATTTGAAACATTTAAAATTAAAAAATAACAATGTAACTTCACACTTACTTATTTCTACTCAGATACGAGGCCACGATCTTCTGACGCAATTTTACCAGCTCGTCATAACCAGGATCCCCTGTCACTAGATCCTGTTGCATAGCCTCTGCTAGCTCAGGGTCCTCTTCTTCGTAATCTCCCGAGTCCAAAAAGGATACTGGCACTGTATTTGGCACTGGTACAGGGAGGTTATCAGCGAAGTCCATCAAGAGACCAATGATGCGGTCGGAAAGATTCAATTTGAAGCTTGATAGAGATATATTGAGCTTATATCTGGAAGGATTGCAGAAATTTAAATTGAGATTGAAGCATCTATATGGGTATAACCTACTATTGAAATAAAATGTGGCGAAGAGATGTTAGACTGGACCCAGTAATGAAAATAGAACAGCAATTAAGAATCCATTTAGAATTTTGTTTTCGAAAAATTTACTTTCAACCAAAACACTAGCGGCGTGTATGACATGAAAACATTGGCCGTGTGGTCCCGGCATAGAATAGGCCATTTCTTCCTTTCCCATGGGTATTATAAGAGGCGAGTAAGAGTGGGCGAGGGATGGGCAGCAACGTCCCTCTTAAAATATCTTTAAAGCCTTACTACGGTTGCCAATTAAGCTGCCAAGCGTAACAACAACTGACAAAACCCGCAGCAGTGAATAATTAAAAGCTGATATGATGAAGACGACGTAAAAATATATGAGCTGTTAAGCAAATGAAATTAAACTAAAATACGCGTATGTATTACCTGGGTAGTAATCTGTATTCCTTTTTAATACTATTGGAGAATACAAGAAGTGCTCGTATTTTAGGTATTAGATGCAGTTCAGAGTCCGCATGCTTCCGCGTCTCGCGCCAAGGATCGTTCCACTCGCAGAATAATACCTGAAGAGACCAACACTCCAATAAGTGTATAATTTGATGATATTACAGGATTTCATGAAAATATTTTTTTTACAAAACAGAATGAAATCAAAGTCGTTAGCAATAAGTAAACTAATTATCTTTCCTATAAATATATCAGAACAGAAATTTTGTGAATCAAAAATTCAAAAATTTCAAAAATTTTAAGCTTTTCATACTAACTGAACAGTTGAACGCACCGTGTTACTATGCGAGATATGAACTTTTAACGTTTTCCGACACATGATGAACATGTACAGAATTACTAATAGAATACTCCCTCAAAAAGATGATAACGGTTTCGATTCTACACTTTAGATACTTATGACCATTAGTATAAGTGTTCTACTAAATTCTGTTCTTCTGATATGACTGATTTAAAATGTAAATCACTTTAATAGTAAGCAGGTACCTGACAGGAACACTCAGCGTGCAGTCTGTCATACAGCCGCTCCTCCAACTCCATACACGTGGCATCCTCCAGAGCCAAGTTGGGAGGTTGCAGATCTGATTTTATTATGATACGACTGATGTCCAGCACCATTACTCTACCAGACCTGCGTAATAAGTATTCATGTTAAAAGCTTACTAGCTAGCTACATCTTCAATTTGTGTAATTTAAACACTATCTTTTTGTTAAGAAGAAGATATGCATCATCTAAAAAAGAAGACAATTAGAGATCTAGATCCTAGAAGTTATTTATGAAATTGGATAAAACAAGAAGTGTCTCTAATCCATAAAAGATGACAACAGCAGATGTATATATACATGATTTAATTTTGCTGTTAAAATATCACCATTCATTTCAGAACACCTAATGTATTTAACGTCAGCAAAAGGCGAGACGAAGATCTCCCTAGAGTAAGGTTTACCCTGACCCAGTATCCCGGTTTCTTTTGCGGATTCAACGAGCTAAATTCTTTACGTAGAAATATTATCTGAAATATCGACAAGTTGAGATTAGGATTTATGATCAAGGAGGATACGAGTGGATGGAACTGTCAACCAATCCAGACGCGAAGTTAAGACTCTTGACTTTTCCCTCTGATGGTATACTGTCTATCTAATCGTCATACGTCTATGTAGATGCCTCTCAATCATTATCCTTGCAATTTCGCACTATAACATCGAAATTATAGCTAGCGATTCAAACTAACTTGTGCACACATCCATGTTCAGGTATAACGACACACGGCCCCTTGATATCCACATTGATCTGAAACAGCTTCCGGCGGCTGACCGCATAGGCTAACACCGATTTGCTGATCCTGGCCGCCTGCTTCGCTGCACCGGCCACCTCCTCTGCCAACTCTTCGGATGTCATCGAGTGCGTTTGGAAGAAGTTTATCAATTCCGTGAAGGCATGCTGTATGGAAAAAATGTTAAATACCGTTTAACTTTTATAGAAGTAAACGTTGAACTTACCTGTAGGAAGTTGGCAGTTAAAATAGTTTCTCCTAGTAGCTTATAGTTAATTCCTCAACTTGCTGTCTATACAAAGTTAAGGTGTGTTCTAAATAAGGATCCTAGTTTCAAATTGCGCTACGTCTCTCCAGTTAACTAGGTTATAAACAAGTATGTCTCCCTTCATCTCCCAATAATTCACTGGCAAGGAGATTCTTTATAAAGGTAACAATATCCTTAGCACATGGTATTATATATCTTAAACTGTATTTGTTTGCTATGCCTTGACGGCTTCTCTAATCGACTTAAAATTTAAATACAAATGTAGTTCAGAATGATAAAGGAGATAGGCTACTTTTTGTTCCTGTCACTTAACATACGCACGCCGGTCACGCAGACAAAGTCAGGGGTAAAAACTAGTAAGTAACTATAAAACAATTTTAATCAACTGACCTCAATATACAACAATTCTAATGGTTCCAGAGAACAACATAAGCCGTAGTCGGCATCGCTGTTGCTCGGGTTGCGTTCCAGATCCAAGGCCAGTAGGTTGGTTGCAGTTGGCGCGCCACGCTCCACGCTCAGCAACGGAACTAACTCACCGTCGAAGGTAACTCCTTCAATCACTATGCTTTCTGCCCGAGCTGATAGCTGAAGAATTATAAATAGAATACAATATTCATAACATATAGATAATGATTTTGATTATTAGAGAGACAATTTGAGCTTCCACGTCAATGCATATAGAAATATTTATACCTTAAATGCTTTTGCTGATGGACGCGTCTCTAATGATGCCAGAAACTGTGTCAGTGTCACAACCAGCACTTCCTTACTTCTATTCATTAATGTGAGAGAGCAATTCGCTAGTGTTAAGTTTAGTTTATGTTCTGAAAGAAAAAAAATCAATGTTGAAATACATTTTATCAAATTCTAGAACTAACTTGTTTAAGAGGTCGGTGGTTATGAAATAAGACTCGTGTCATTATAGGGGAATCCAACTCATGTATTAACAGTTCCACAACTTTGCAATTAAAATACATTTGTATTAAAGCGACTTACCAAATTATACGTCTTTACTAGTCAATGCTCAATAAACAACTGTCAACTGTTGGTCGTTACTTCTAGTTTTTATGTCGACTTATTTGGGCGGGTAAATAAGTATTCCGAAAATGACAAATCACCATTTTGAAGTTAAATCAAATCAGCAACGGTGGCACTTGACAACAGTTATGTTATGATACAAATATAATAAAATATTGGCATACTAAATGTAAAGATGCTAACACTTGTTTGATAAAATATTTGGATAATTTGGAACATGCTTTTAGATGATTTCAGATTTCTTATCTGGTTCTCATAACTTAATAAAGTATTCTCATATAAAAATGAAGCTACTGCTTGTAATCCAGAAGAAATAGAACTATATAATCTATATAAATTAATAACTATAAACTAACCAATATATTGTTTAGATTTGTCCTGCTTCGATTCGCCCTCCACGTATCCGATGAGCTCACACACCCGTTTCTTCTCAGGGCTAGACAAGTGACTCCATAACGATTTGCTCCTCTCTGACTTCACACATAACTCTACTCGTTTATTCTCTTCAGGGTCACTGTCTACATCAGATCCTGACGGTAGCCACCAATCGATCTCTGTTTCAACTACTTCTATACGATCCGACTCTTGAGAAAGTAACTGAAATATAATGTTTTATCCTCAAATTTTTTTATCTATAATATTTGGTGGGTTGGAGTCACACTTTGGATAGGATTTTTGGAAGATTTTGAAACTGGGGGATTTTTCTTTGTCATGTATTATCAAAAAATCTGAGACTTCATATACATCTGTTTCCACTTCAGTGAACCATAACCAACATTGGTTTCAACATAGTCCAATATAACTCTCAACATATAAGTGATCTCGAGACCACCCTCTGGATGTGTACTGCATATCTACTTGGAGTATGGATTAAGCATTCTCCCAACCCATTTACCATGATGGTAAACAAGAGTACTATAGTCTGTAACACCAAGGAAGTCACACGCGCGTTTTCGACCTCTAAACAACTTTAAAAAGGGCGTATTTTTGACCAACACATATTGTAGTCTCTAAGGAAATATATTGGCAGGAAGATCATTCCACAACCTAAGTGTTCACGGGAGAAGACTCCTTATTAAGATTCTATTCTGTTCTTACTTGCCTCGTGTGTTTTATATTACATACCTTATAACTACATATTATCAATCAACATAATATTCTCGCATAATACTTACTTCAAACTTCGCCTGTTCCCTTGCAATTACCACAGATATAATCGGCAGGCTGTCCTCACACTTTTGCAAGTCTAACTTCAGCTCCGTATCGTTTGGACTCCTCAGCGTACTCTTGTATGTTTGTTTGTACTCATTGTAGTTCTCCCTGTGCTTCTTTATCGCCGCCCAAGTGTACGGCCGTACCCTCTGTTCGACCACAACGTTGTACGCGTATCGCCACCATTTCTTGATGTCTTTCGTTAGCGGCACGCCCGGGTGGAGGTGGCGGTATTTTCTAGAATGGTGAATAATTTATTATATAATTTATCATTATACTATTAATACAGTGGTTCCAAATTGTCATTCATAGTCATAAAACTTTATATTTAATTTTCTGTATATATAAAATATTCCTGTCCCGTGAGTGTCGTAACATTCGACTAAGAAAACTTAAAAGTCGAGGGATGAGTAGCAGCATCTCTCTTAAAATATCACCTAAGCCTAACTGCAGTTGCCAACCCGCCAGGCTAACGTGACAACTACTGGCAAATCCCTCCTTATAGGGGAGACCTAAGTTCAGCAGTGGACAATAAACGGTTTAATATGATGGTGATGTTAATGACCTATAAAACCTAACTGCTTTATTCTCCGATTCTTTGTTATTATGACTTTTCAAAGATTTTCAAAGAACTGTAGAAAATTATATACCGTTTCTCATATTTTAAACTGCAGACTCGACTATTAATTCATTCAGATAATTTTATTATTTCTTGTAATTGTTTTTATATTTATAAGAAGTTTACTGTTGTAATCTTTTGGAGGAAACAATAAAGAGTATCTATCTAGTAGGCTGCGTGTTAGCTCAAACAGTGTCCTGAAGACAATTGCTGATAAAATGGACTGTCCCATCCTAAAATATTGGGTAGGACAAGTTATCAATGCAAGAGCGTTATGACCGCTCGTTTACTAACATAGGTTAAGTCAATTTATAACTAACAAAATGGGCCTTATGTTGTCTGATTAAATAACATATACATACATATCTGTCACGCCTGTCTCCCATTAGGGTAGGCAGAAACAATGGAACGCCAAATGCTTCGATTCAAACAAACCTCTTTCGCTTCTTCCACATTCATCAATCTTGTCATACACGCTCGTCGGTTACGGGTACTTTTAATTTGGCCCTTCTTCAGCACGTCGCCTATTTGGTCGACATACGTCCGTCTAGGGCGGCCCCTACCGACATCTCCATTCATTCTTGCTCGATAAATCTCTTTCGTAATTCTTCTTTCATCCATCCTCTCCAAATGACCAAACCAACGCAACATTCCTTTTTCGATTTTGGTCACTACATCGTATTACTATAATTTTTATTTTTACAGGAAATCTTTAATCACATAAATGATAATTAAGACAAAATAAACACACCTATTGAGTTTAATTCTTGCAAATGAAGACAGAAGATTGTCAATGGACAGGTACTGTCTCCGGGACAGCTGCAGCGCGCTGTCCTGCAGCACGGCATCAATCAGCAGCCTTGGAACCCGAGCCTCTCCTGAACGATTGATCAATACCTTCACCTTGCATGTCACGGGCTTCAGTACTGTACATAAGAAGTGATTAAGTTATTGAATGAAAAAAAATCCGGTCAAGTGCGAGTCGGAACGAGCGCAACGAGGATTCCATATAACATTTTATTTTTTGTGAAATGACTACAAATTTACAGTTTTCGGATTTTTTCCTTTACTTGTAAAAACTGTCGTGAATATCCCTGGGAAATACAGAAGAAAAGAAATACCTTATGCTACATGGTAGTCCAATATCGAGAGGGAGATGAAAGTACGAAACCTAACTCCTAGTGACAGGGGGGAAAGTGATTGTTAGTAATGGAGACTAAGAATCCCATTGTTAGCAATATACCCAACCAGGTCGACCTTACTCGCGGTTCCCCCTAGAAACTATCATGGTTAATTCCTGATGAATTCATCATGATGGGCTAACTGGCCTGTTTTCATTCTCATCTGTCACCCTTCATTGGTGCTCCGCCAGCGTATCCCGTTAGCACAGGCGGAGTTGCCATTCAATTTTTACCCATACAAAAAAATTCCTGGTGACAACCCAGAACACAGTGAAGAAGAAGAAGAAAAATAAGTTCTGGTTAAATATTTATATATTTCTCTGAGCGACCAACATAGCATGCAGTTACTTACAAAACTCGAAGTCTTCGTGGTGCATGGAGAACTTGTTCAGTCCAGTGAGCATATAGTGCTTCCAATTGTAGTACTGCATCGGGGTTATGTGTGCAATTTCATTATCATCCAGCGCAGTCGCCGTGGGGTTCCAATATACGGACAATGATTCGATCTTCATCATTTGGTAGACAGTAGTCGCGTTCGCCGGTGTCACTGATGGTTTCCATTTGCTGCAATAGTTTATAGTTTGTAACTAGCGACCCGCCCTGGCTTCGCACGGGAACAATGCTGATACTACTCGTAAATAGCGTCGCCGGCCCCCTAATTCCTTTACATTACATTAGAAACCTCTAAAATTGTCAGTGTTTCTCTACAATATTATGCATGTATTATACATATAAACCTTCCACTTGAACCACTCTATCTATTAAAAAAAAACCGCTTCAAAATCCGTTGCGTAGTTTTAAAGATTTAAGCATACATAGGGACAGACAGATAGCGACAGCGACTTTGTTTTATACTATGTAATGATGTAAATATAATACAAGACTTCAAATAAAAGTCTTTTGTCATCTTTACAATAATCTTTTTTTATGCAACTTAGAATGGCAAATAAGCTGACGGCCCATCTGATGGGAAGTGGTAACCGTGGCCTATAAACATGAGCAGTAGCATGGACGTAACAGAGTATACTGTTTCACCTATGATACCTCCTATGCGTTGCCATTCCTGAGGAATAAGTTATGTCTATGTCCCCAGTAAATTCACTACCATATCTTACCCTTTAAACTGAAACACAGCCATGCAAACACAACTGCTTCACGGTTGAACCACGAACGGGACAGAGGTAACCAAGCAAAATTACTTTTGTACAAAGCCTCCCTTTGGTAAATAATACAAATTCAACATTTTTTAGTACCTTAAAAATTGGACTCATACCTGTTTGAAGTCTCAATGGAGAGACTCTGAAGGCAAAGACCGCAAGCTAACGGCCCATCCTTCGAGCTGATTGAGTCTTCATATCTCACGTGGATATTTCTTATGTAAATCTGTATATTATTAACTATGGCCGTGAATAAATGCTCGAAGAAGTTCTGCGGGCCTTTGAGTATCTCGCTTTCAGCTTCTAGATCCTGTAGGATCTTCCTCTTCGCAGCTCTGGTCAGTCTTCTCTCCCTGTCTGGGTCGAAATAGCTGTTGGAGATTGCTGGCCCAACTAGGATCAACACATCTTCTATATGAACGATTACGGGCTGAGTATACAGTCCCGCCCACGGTATTTGGAGGTTGATTCGCCCGATCGTTCCAATTTTCACGTCGATAGGTAAGTCAAGTTCATACTGTAAAACAAAAATAAATATATCAAGTTCATAGATTTTTACTACTGACTTTATTTATTTATTTTACACATACACTGAACTAACTTTTAACTTAATAGTATCGTTCATTAGATTTACTCTCTTTCATAAGAAAAAATTATAAATTATACATGATAATATGACAAAACTAGTAGTAAGTAAACAAAGTAGTAGAGTAGAGAGGTCAATTCTGTACATGAAATATATTTCCAAAATAACTATCAGCGGGTGATTAGTGATCGATACTGATTCCAAAAATGCAATCAGTAAAGTTTTTGTCAGTCTGTCTGTATGTTCATTATACAAACAAAAACTACTCGACGGATTTTAACGAAACTTGGTACAATTATTCTTCATACTCCCGGGCAGATTATAGTATACTTTTCATCACGCTACGATCAATAGGAGCAGAGCAGTGAAGGGAAATGTGTCTGTTACATCAATACCACTAAACCGTGAGGAAGGACATAGGCTTATTTTACGAAAAACGACGAAAACGCGAACGAAGTCGCTAGCAACAGCTAGTTAGTAATATAATCTACCATATCCGTTCATATTTTACAAAGTATTGTTTTGCTACATCGATTTTTAGTACTAAATTCACGATAATTCGAATTCCTACACGAATAAATTGCTGAAACACATTGTGCAATAATAAGTAACTCTAATTATCACAATATATATATATATATATATATATATATATATATATATATATATATATATATATATATATATATATATATATATATATATATATATATATATATATATATATATATTTATATATATATATTAATATTTGTTAATTTAATTCAGTTATAATCGTATTTACTGATGTCACAACTCAGGTTACATGTATATTTCTATAACTAATAACGCAACTTTTAAAATATTTGTAGTCTAGTGTTATTTAATTCCTTATAATTGTTTACTTCATTTCATACTGTAGGTATAATTATGTTAAAGTAAATGCTGTGAATACCTTTAACAGGCATGTGCATTAATATTGTATTGTATTTAATGTTTGTTATATGTGTTCCTTTAAATAAATAAATAAATTGCGATCTGGAAATCGGAGTACTTATCGTGTTGCCACATTTCTTCACTCACCAAAGCCTCCGGCTTGAGTTTAAGATCTGTAAGGCTGACATTGCCGGAGATGATGCCCACGTTGAGGTTCTCCGTGTCGAGGTCCTGCACGTACTTCCCGAGGAGCCGGTTCAGGATGCCCGCCACCGCGCCCTCGAACATCTTGACGGTGGTAAAGATTCAGTTCAGGAACTGGAACGATTTTAAAGGTTTTGAGATTGGTTAAACAAAATTAGATAAGAAACACTAGATGGCGCTGGTATCGAGACTTGTTGTTTTTTTGTTGATTATTTTGTAATAAAGAATAATTTAAAGTAAAATTTCTAATTTGGCGAGTATATATGTATTTTTTTTTATTAATTATGAATGTAAAGTAACACATAATACGCGATATTCCTAAATAAATTAATACCCGAACGCAATATTTCTTGCTAGGACGTGTTTTTTACAACGTCGTAAACGTAAGAGTTATATCCTAATTTAGCATATTATTATATGTTTATTTAATTAGCAGCATAGTCTGTTATGTCCATGGTACTGCTCATGTCTATAGGCGACGGTTACCACTTTCCATCATGTGGGCCGTCAGCTTGTTTGCCATTCTAAGATGTATAAAAAAAAAGCATGTAAATATGTAAAAAAAACTTTGAATTTTAGTAGCACTTAAACCTCTTGGGCTTGTCTGTGATACTTTACATTTCGTTCTCAAATGTCAATATTTACTTTAATATTCTGCTGTTCTAGCAAGGTTGAACAGTAAATACTTTATTAAAATAGGATATTTTATGCACTGACTCAAGTAAATAAAACCGCGGGAGACAGCTATTTTTTTTATACAACTTAAAATAGCAAACAAGCTGACGGTTCATCTGATGGAAAGTGGTAACCGTCGCCTATAGACATGAGCAGTACCATGGAAATAACAGAGTATACTATTTCGCCCATGATACCCCCCATGCGTTGCCAGTCCTGAGAACTCAGGTGTTATTCCTCTGTACCCAGTAAATTCACGCCATATCCCACCGTTCAAACCGAAACACAGCCATGCAAACACAGCTGTTTCACGGTTGAAACACGAATGGGACAGAGGTACCCAAGCAATCGACTTTTGTACAAAGTCTCCCTCTGGTATAGATAGCCCTAGCTAGTGATAACATTAACAAAACATTTGTTTTAACAAGTGTTAGAATTGGTACAAATTGCCCTATATTATTGTCGTATCGTTAAATATTGATCTCAAGTCTGCATACACACGATAATCCATTTCGTCCATTGAAAAGCACGTTCAGCTCGGTTATCATGACCTATTATACAATATCTAATGTGTATATAATAAATATATACAATATATACAATATGTGTAGTCACGGTATAAACTAGGCCACCCCTTTTCCAGTAGAAGTCAGAAGAGGTGACTTAGGGAACTTAATAGTTGAGCGATTTTACCAGAGGGAGACTTTGTACAAAAGTCGATTGCTTGGGTATCTCTGTCCTATTCATGGTTCAACCGTGAAGCAGCTGTGTTTTCATGGCTGTGTTTCGGTTTGAAGGGTGGGATATGGCGTGAATTTACTGGGTACAGAGGAATAAAACCTGAGTCCTCAGGAATGGCAACGCATGGGGGGTATCATGGGCGAAACAGTAGGTATACTCTGTTATGTCCATGGTACTGCTCATGTCTATAGGCGACGGTTACCACTTTCCATCAGGTGGGCCGTCAGCTTGTTTGCCATTCTAAGTTGTATAAAAAAAAGCGAAAAACAGCAGCGTACCTCTTAAAACACTACTAAAGTAACCACCTACGGTTGCCAATGCGCTTGCCAAGCGTGGTAACTACTAGCAAAACCACACAATAGGGGAAACCTATTTTCATCAGTGAACGATTAACGGGTGATATGATGATGATGATGATACTGATGTATTTTATCATAGCTTTTTTATTTTATTTTTATTTATTTATTTAACTCTTTATTGCACCATAAACAAAAATATACAATGACAAGTGAATAATTCAAGTGAAATACAATAACATAAATACAAATTGAAATATAAAGAGGTACAAAAGGCGGTCTTATCGATAAGGCAATCTCTCAAAAACAACCTTTGGTTAAAGGAGAACAGATAGAAGTGGGTAAGTGGCGCAAGAGTGAATTAATAATTTTTCGTGCATATATATATATATATATATATATATATATATATATATATATATATACAAAATACATACATTTCACATACAAGGAAATACCAATTTCCACCGTGGTCATGAGGTTAATGAAAAATCCAGTGTAAAAATATCGTCAACAGATATGAACAGCTTGGATGTCACAGTGTATACTGTGACAGTGTATGCCCATGCTACTCTTAATAATAATTATTATTATTTCAGACTACAATTTGGTAAATTTTATTAATAACAGTTTCCTTACAAACTATGTTAGTAAAAATGAACATACAACTAAAGCAATTCACTCAGATCTGACCCAGCCGACTAAGTTGGCATCCGAATGGAGCTTCTCGACTATTACTAGGGGGAAAAGGATTGTTAGCAATGGAGTTTGACAGCCCTATTGCTAGCAATATATCTTATTAGGTCGACCTTCACGTGGTTCCCCCTGGAAACCATTGTGAACAATTCTTGTTGAATTCGTCACGATGGGCTAACTGACCTGCTTCATCCTCACCTATCATTCTTCACTGGTGCCCCGCCGGTGTATACCGATAGCGCGGGTGGGGTTAACATTCCATTATCATCGATTTAAAAAAATTAGTACTAATAGTAATGAGTAAAGTATTATGGTTCAGTATCCAGTAATTTCACTGTCGTTACCCTACCCTTCAGACAGAAATACATCCTTGAAAGCACAGATGCTTGAAGCCAGAAACACGAGTGAAACAAAAATATCCACATAAATAACTTTTATACAAGGTCTCCCTCTGCTGTTTTTATTTATTTATTTACTCTTTATTGCGCCACTTAAAGAATAATACAAGATTGCGTTCCACAAAAAAATCGACTGCAATTGTAACGAAACTATTTTTTTTTATTTCAAAATTAAACTGCTAAATCTATTTTGATAAAATTTCTATCAGACCAATCTATAAGTAGATATATAAACCCTTTTAATAAAAAAAAAATACTTTTTCAAATCGGTTTAGAACTCATCGAGTTATGGAGGTAACAAACAATAAAAAAAATATACAATCGAGTTGTGAACCTCGATCTTTTTAAAGCAAATTGAAAAATATTTAAAATCACAAAATCATTTACGCAATTAAAATTTATCATAAAAAAAATTAACACCAAAGAGATTTGAGAAAAAAAAAATACTTACACAATTATTAAACTTTGATGTAGGTATAGATTTTAACACGAGATTTAAAAATAAAAAAATTATGACACATTTTAAACAAAACAAAACAGCATTTTGTTGTATTTGTTAAAATTGTTTACTTCATTTCATACTGTAGATATAATTATGTTAAAATAAATGCTGTGAATACCTTTAATAGGCACGTGCATTAATATTGTACTGTATTTAATGTTTGTTATATGTGTTATAATGCAATATGCTGTTGGTGTTCCTATAAATAAATAAATAAATAAATGTTCTACACACACGAATGTCACTCTGTATGTACAAACGATAGCGGACCAGTTGTTATTAAAATGTTATCACTCTCTTATCTCATTGATAAGCTGTGTTATCATTGTTTTATTGTAAGTACACGATATACACCTATAATTCTTAATTACATGGTTTGCTCGGTATTTAGTATTTTCATTATATATATATATATATATTAAATTTAATATTATATAGGTGCATATACATATACATATACATATACATATACATATACATATACATATACATATACATATACATATACATATACATATACATATACATATACATATACATATACATATACATATACATATACATATACATATACATATACATATACATATACATATACATATACATGTACATGTACATGTACATGTACATATACACATATATATACATATACACACATATACATAGTAGTAGCCTGCCAGATATTAGAAGCGGCTCAGGAATATCTCGAGTCGGGTTAAATACATTTTTTATAACTTTGTATGTTAGCACACTAGATTTATAACAATGATTTGGCTTTTGCTGTTATAATGTTGTAATTATTTTTAAAGAATAAATAAATAAAATAAATAAATATTAAGTTTTTAAAGGTGACGCCTGACCCTCCTCGCTTCTAATTGCTATATCCGGCAGGGTGTACAATGTAATTTAGTGATTTTTAGGATCTTTTGTTTATATTAATATTTTAGAACGCAATAAATTAATTAAATTGAATATCTAATCTGGATAGATAATAAATAAATTGTATTTCACAACAATTTAAGGTCTCACACATAAAAAAAAATTAAACTCTGACAAAACCAATCATTTTTGATCTAAAAATAAAATTACTGAACTGATTTTGATAAAATTTCTATGAGGGCAATCTGTAAAAATAATCCTTTCAGATAAAAAAAGAATTTTCCAAATCGGTTTAGAAGTGACGGAGTTATGAGGTGACATACAAACAAAAAAAATACAACCGAACTAGGAACTTCCTTCTTTTTCAAGTCGGTTAATAAAACTGTAGCAAAACCAGTTAGTTTATTTTTATAAACTTGGAATTGTAATAAATATGAAAAAAATGTTACCCAATTCAAAATCTCCTTTTTTGAAGTTGGCTAAAAAGAAAGAGATAAAAGTTGGAGATTCTTAATTTAGTGATATTTTTTTTTATATTTTTTATCTTATAACTTTGTCAGTTGTAAACTTGTTTGAAAAATTCCTTTATCATCTGAAAACAAACCGGTCCCGTAGAAATTTTATCAAAATCGGTGCAGTAATTTAGTTTTTAAATCAAAACACCTGGTTCTGTCAGAATTGAAGTCAATTTTTGGCGGAACACAATCTTAATTATTGAGTTTTAGCGAAACAAACGAACAGCAATTGATTTATATACATACATAGGTAATTTTATGGGAATTTTATACCTATAGACATATATAGGTATAAAATTGTATTAGTATAAAAAAATAGGCCACCCTTTCTATTCCTGTGGGTGTCGTAAAAAGCGACTAAGGAAACTTTTTTTTTATTGGAGGAAAATGGAGTGGTTACCCCGCCTGCGCTAATGGGATACGCTGGCGGGGCACCAGTAAGTGATGATAGGTGAGGATGAAAAGACAGGTCAGTTAGCCCATAGTGTTGAATATACTTGGAATTCAGCACGATGGTTTCCAGGGGGGACCACGTGGAGGGAGACTTTGTACAAAAGTCGATTGCTTGGGTAACTCTGTCCCATTCGTGTTTCAACCGTGAAGCAGTTGTGTTTGCATGGCTGTGTTTCGGTTTGAAGGGTGGGATATGGCGTGAATTTACTGGGTACAGAGAAATAACACCTGAGTCCTCAGGAATGGCAACGCATGGGGGGTATCATGGGCGAAACAGTATACTCTGTTATGTCCATGGTACTGCTCATGTCTATAGGCGACTGTTACCACTTTCCATGAGGTGGGCCGTCAGCTTGTTTGCCATTCTAAGTTGTATAAAAAAAAAGTCGACCTGTTTGGGTATATTGCTAGCAATGGGGTCCTTAGTCTCCATTATTAACAATTCCTCCCCCCCATATATAGACGGTTATAGGTATACCAGGCCCAGTAATATTATTTATGGCTTCATACTGATTTCAAAAACCGTAGTGGGAATCTAATTTTTTTTTATTTATTTTAGGAGAAAGCATTTGTAAATAATTCTATTATTTAAAAATGCTTTCTCCTATAATGGAATGACAATACAATGTTTGTTGGGTAAATATTAATGTGTACAAACATTGTTATTGATACAGCTTTTTACATTTTTGATGTGTATACTCTATTGATACTGTTTTGAAGCGTTAACAAATAGACACTTGTGAAATGTGACCACTGTTTATTGTTGTATCTTGTTAAATGTGATTTTTTTTTATATGGCAACAGTCATTTTACTTTACCAGGTTAGACCTAAGAATAAGGAATTACATAGAAGGAATAATAAAATTGTCAATTCATAGCAGGCTAGTGTACCATATAGAAAATGTTATACGGCCGTATAACCCTACCAAATTCAGATACAACCTGCTTGCATACTTTGTACATAAACTGTGTCGAATATATAATCTAGTAATGTAAAATTTGTTATTGTCAAATATTTGGCATATTAAAACTTCTATACACTAGCCTGCTATGAATTGAGAAAAATGACAACTGATGTGGTGATAATTGAGAAAAATAACAAATGAAGGTGTATCTTTCGTCCTCTTTTTACTAATTATATTTGCATTAGAAGAAACGAGTCAACCATATGATTTACAGTTTTTATTATATCATTCCTTCTATGTAATTCCTTGTTCTTAGGGTTAGACTTCTTGTAATGGCCACACTACTGAAAATTGTGTAACAGAGAAGACGCTGTCGTCTCTCTCCCTCTCTCTCTCTCTCTTTCATCTGCGCCGCCATCATAAAACTACATTATATTTTGTCTTCTTAATAAAATAATAAAAACGCCTTTTGTATTTAACCCAGAGCAGTAAAATTATCTAAAAATCCCTTTATATCCATCAATCTTTTTAAATCCCTTCCATTAGAAGAATTTTCTTAATTTGGCTACAATTATTTTATTTAAAAGTATTTTTTTTTTTATACAACTTAGAATGGTAAACAATCTGACGGCCCACCTGATGGAAAGTGGTAACCATCGCCTATAGACATGAGCAGTACCGTGGACAACAGAATATACTGTTTCGCCCATGATACCCCCCATGCGTTGCCATTCCCGAGGACTCAGGTGTTATTCCTCTGTACCCAGTAAAGTCACGCCATATCCCACCCTTCAAACCGAAACACAGCCATGCAAACACAACTGCTACACGGTTGAAATATGCATATACAACGGATGATAGGCGATAAATTTTAACAAGTTGGCGCGTCAACTTGCGCGCTATTACATGTCGCGTAAAATTGCATATTTATTCATCCTTTATATTCATTAATAACCTAGTTCTCCGATCTGATTGAAACTTGGTCAAACACGTAACTTAATTAAAAACTTTCAAGCGAAAATAAAGCGCAGCTTGGCACGTCTTTAATATTACCGTATTCCTGAGACAAGTTTCATTAACATATTAATGACAGAGGAAATGTAGGTTCCTACCCTTAGTTCATAAACAAGAGCGGAGTTATGGCCGACAAACAGACATTTACATTAATGACAATATTTAAAGAATAGAGGGGAAAGGGATTGTTAGTAATGGGGTCATTACTAGCAATATACCCTGTCAGGTCGACCTCCACCTGGAAACTATCGTGACTAATTTATCGTTGAATTCGTCACGATGGGCTAACTGGCCTGTGTTTTCATCCTCACCTATCATACTTCACTGGCGCCCCACCAGTATATACTGATAGCGCGGGCGGGGTTACCATACCATTATCGTCCATAAAAAATCCTCTATTTAACCAACTTTGACAAAGGGTGATGTTATTATTTACTATTAATATTATAAATGCTACAGTTTGTAAGGCTAGAATAGATGAATGTTTGTTACTCTTTCACGCAAAAACCACTCAACGCATTCGAATTAAATTTAATACACGGACAGGTTATATCTTGACTCTACACGTGGGATACTTTCTATGCTGATTCAAGCAAGCGAAACCGCGGGATACAGTTTGTCGTCTATATTTTTCATTAGTTCATATTAATGACTGCAGGCAATGGATTCCACGTTCCATCAAGTGGGCCGTCAATTTATTTGTCACAAGTTACAATAAAAAAAAAATACAATCTCGTGAGATTTCACATAAAATAGATGGTAAAACGCAAGTTCTCTTTGTTATGGCAAAATAGATTAAATATATTTGAGAAAAAAAGGTTTTTATTCAAATAAATTTATATTTAATAATTTTTTTTTCATTAGAGCCCATTCGGAACGTAATTTAAGTTAAAAAAGAGCAAGAAATTCGGCTGTTTCTTTTATCAAAAAATTAAATTATAATATAATAATTAAATAATGAACTTGTGTGAATACATAACTGAGCAGTATTAGGTCATAAAATTTAAAATATATATCAGACTAATATATGTATATTAAAATATTATATAGACCAAACCCTTTAGGCAGCACTCGTCCACGAGTATGACAGATCACGAGTATCTGGAAGCTGAGCCAGTTTAGAAAAGTTATAGTAGTTCCCGTGTGGTCCCGGCATAGAATAGGCCACCACTTCCTTTCCCGTGGGTGTCGTAAGAGGCGACTAAGGGAAGTTAATGATCGAGGGATGGGCAGCAGCGTCCCTCTTAAAGCATCGCCAAATTCTGAGGTTACCCAGCCACCTGCTTGCAAGCGTGGCAACTACTGGCAAAACCCCCCAAGGGGGAGATTTTTATTCAGCAGTGGACAGTTAGAGGCCAATACGATGATGATGAAATAGTAGAAAACACAGAACTACAATTATGAAGCAAAGCAATGTGCTGTGGCAGAGTGTACCAGGTTTTACCATAGGAGTAGAGGTCGATTACAGCTTGCATTGTAATGAACTAGTGACCTAATGCTGTTCATCATCATGGAGATCGCAGAATGCACTGTGATTCCAATTTTTTTTTTGTTAAATAAGAGTAGAATGGAAGTCCAGCTGTACTACCGGTATACGCTGGTGGGACTCCATTGAGAGATGCTATTTGAGGATGAAAGCAAGTCACTTCATGACGAATTCAATAAGAATTTACTAAGATGGTTTCTAAAGGGAGCTGTGTAGAGGCCGACGCTATACATTGAGACCGTTAAATTTAATTACTAATAACCCCTCCCCCCTTCCCCTTGGTAGTCGGAACAGTAATTAAAATTGCATTAAAGCAGGTATCTACCTGTATCAATTAACTAAGTAAATGAAAGAAAGTAATTTCAACGGAATAATAAAAAAGATATCAAAGTAACAATGTGAAAAGACAATTAGCCGACTGTATGTTTTAACTACCCTCAATTATTATTTCCCAATACTTTTAGTCGAAAATAGCTTTTGAATTGAAACCTAAGGAATAATAAAGGTCACGAGGCAAGCGCAAAACATAAGTAATTGATACTGGTACTTATATCACGAATCATGTTCCGGCTATAAATAGAATACCGTTCGTATCAAGGACAACATCTCTCAAATGACCTCAGGACACGATATTGTTCGATGAGAAATAAATAAAAAAAAAAATTAAAAAAAACAATAACGAATTATTCAGAGGCGTTTTGACTGAGAATAAAGTGAAATAAAATAGAATAAAATAAGCACCTGAATAATTTAGGATGAACTTGAAAATGTACTTCACGAAATCTAAAATAATACATTAAAAAAAAAAGAAAATTACATGTATTACTTGTGTAATTATAGCTATATTACAATCTATGTATATTTATTAAAAAAAAATGTTATAGTTACCAAAGAATTCACATGATTTCCCCACCAACAAATGCAGACGGATTTTCCACTGGTACAATTCCTATATGACGTCAAAGGAAGCAAGGGTCACACTGGATGTTTTTGACAGGTGTCACCGGCCACGCAGGCGCGAAATCCACGCATGCGTACAAATTTTTGTAGTCGTCAAATAATTGTGTTATGCGGGAAAACCGTGGGAGTCACGCTCGATAACAGAGTCAGGAGACGGCCGCCCGATCAACAAAAGGAAAACTTTTATTTAGTTGTTAATAACTTTTGTATAATCAATAAATGGTATTTTCATAATATTATTTAGACAAGCGGTGCCGACTCAGATGGATAACAAGTCCTAATAAATTCCAATATCTATTCTTAGCTTAAATCTGCAAATTCATATTTGGATCTTGTAATAATGATTGTCACCTCCTTCGTAGACAATAAAGCTGTTGCCCAGTAAGCCATGTTAGAAACATTCGTATTTAACGAAGGTAACCTTCCAGCAGATGGCCACACCCTGTACAGGAGTAATAATGTTATGGTATTTCTTTTTTAATGGTTGAAAAAAGAATGGTAACACCACCTGCACTATGGGTGTATGCTGGCGGGATTTATAAAAATAAATTTCAATAAGAATTAATCACGATGGTTTCCAGGGGGATCCGCGGAGCGTTCGACCTGATAGGGTATATTGCTAACAATGAGAACTTTAAACGCATTATTAACAATACCTTTCCTCCATTAAGCTACATTAGAAAGCTTCATATTTTACATTAATGAATCTATTCTGGATTGAGAAGACCCGTAATTTTTTTAATCCCGATAGGTTAAAAACTAAACAAACGATATTGAAAAGAAATCACCTATAGAAAGCTACATTATCAATGAACTATAGTCTCAAAAATTCTATCTATCCATGCGAAGCAAGGTCGATAGAATACGGCATATACCTACATGTATTTTATATATCTATATTGTGTCATCACGATGTATTTTTTTATGCAACTTAGAATGGCAAACAAGCTGACGGCCCACCTAATGGAAAGTGGTAACCGTCGCCTATAGACATGTGCAGTACCATCGACATAGCAGAGTATACTGTTTCGCTCATGATACCCCCCATTCGTTGCCATTCCTGAGGACTCAGGTGGTGTTCTCTGTACAATATAAATTCACTGCAATATCCCACCCTTCAGACCGAAACACAGCCATGCAAATATAACTGCTTCACGCTAGAAACACGAATGGAACAGGGTGCCCAAGCAAACGACTTTTGTACAAAGTCTCCCTCAAGTCCCTCTTTCTTGCAAGTAAAGATTTTGACTGGTTGATTGATATCGTTTATTGACCAAAATATACAACAGAAAAAAAAATTACAATACTCCAAACAAATTAATTTAATTAACAATATCAGAATTTATTATATCTATTCTCAGAATCGAAGCTTTTTTTATTATGAAAACAATCCAACATCCAACAAAAATATTCTTTAAAACTCGAGAAAACCTATTCGGAGAGTTAAGATTTTCGTTTGGGTTGCAAATAACATGCGTTGCAGGAACCGATGGGGATCGCGGTGGCAAAACAGTTGTTCGGACAGAGAGGGCACGCCTCCACTACCTGTTTGGTGGTGATGCACTCGGAGTTGCTCGACCACTGGGAAGCGGGTGTGTTCTGTAATAAATAACATTTGTTCCTTCGTCATGAAATGTCCTAAAATACCGTACAATATCAACCGTTAATTGTCGACTGCTGAGGCCTCCCTCTATTAAGGGGTTTTGCGAGTAGTTTACACGCTTGCCAGATGGGTTAGCAACCGCAGATAGGCCTTGGGGATATTTTAAGAGGGACGCTGTTGTCTATCCATCCTTCGATTATTGAGTTCCCTTAGTCGCCTCTTACGACATCCACGGGAAAGGAAGGGGTGTCCTATTCTATGCCAGGACCACACGGTGATTAAATATTCTATTAAGGTCGTATTCCTGGCACTGGGCTCGCCTAAACAAGGAGAATATGTGGCCACCGGGGGGAAGGGACTGTTAGCAATGGAGTTTGACAGCCCCATTGCTAGCAATATGCCCTATCAGGTCAACCTCCGCGTGGTTCCCCCTGACCTGGAAACTATCATGGTCAATTCCTGATGAATTCATCATGATGAGCTAACTGGCCTGTTTTCATTCTCATCTCAGGCGGGGTTACCACACCATTTTCACCATAAAAAAAAAACGGTTTTATTCTGATGGGGGAAGGGAGAACTATTGTTAGTAAGGGGATACTAGTTTTCGTTACTGGCCGTTCGTACTGGCGTTTCGTTAGGTCGACCTGGTTGGGTATATTGCTAGCAATAGGATTCTTAGTCTACATTACTAACAATCCCTTTCCTCCCAGAATAAAAATATTTGACCAACATACCCAAACAAAGTTTTTCCAAATGCAATGCAGGACATCATAGGCCGCGCAGTTTAAATACGGTCCTTGGGTCTGAAGATCTTGCCCGAGGCAGTCAGTCTTCAATGCTTGGACCGCAGCTGACCACACCTCGTGATCCTTCGCGTACTTGTCGAAGTAATCTGAGACTTTCTTCTTGTCTACTTTAAAACTGCCATCGGTGGCGTTACCCTCAAGCCAGCCTTGATTTCTGAACACACAGACGGTCGTATCGCACTGAAATTTTAAATATATCTTTTTTTTTATCTTTTTTCACTGTACATTTATGTCTATTGTTGTTTATGTGTATATATATATAGAAGAAGAGTATGGACTCTTCTTCTTTAAGTTCACAGTCAAATGAAAGAAAGTGGTAACCGTCGCCTATAGACATGAGGAGTACCATGGGCATAACAGAGTATACTGTTTCGCCCATGATACCCACCATGCGTTGCCATTCCTGAGGACTCAGATGTTATTCCTCTGTACCCAGTAAATTCACGCCATATACCACCCTTCAAACCGAAACACAGCCATGCAAACAACTGCTTCACGGTTGAAACACGAATGGGACAGAGGTACCCAAGCAATCGACTTTTGTACAAAGTATCCTTCTGGTAAAAAAAAAAACACTAGATACAGCCACTTGGTTTCGACAGCACTATTGTCAGCTGACTTTACGGGCTCTGCGAGCTGCAGCCCACAATACGAGATGAGACGCTGTGACGTAGAGCACCGTAAACGCCCTGAGGAAGACTTCCAAATGAAGTCTTACAAATGTCGAAAACGGCAAACACACTAAGTTCATAGAAATCCCGTTATATATCGTATTTATACATAAAAACTGTAGAGGTCGAATGTCTGTACATAGAAAACGCTAAAAACCGAGTCAGGGTGATGTTAGAAGTGAAATAGAACACATCCAATTTTTTTCAAAGTTTTTGTTTCTCTGTCTGTTTGTACAGTCTAATCTCCGGAACTGTTGGACCGATTTAATTTTTTTTTTACAACACAGGGGGCAAACGAGCATGCGGCTCACCTGATGGTAAGTGACTACCGCCGCCCATGGTCACCCACAACACCTACGGCATTGCAGGTGTGCTGCCGGCCTTTTAAAAAGGAATATGCTCTTTTCTTGAAGGTAATGTTGTCGTATCGGTTCGGAAATACTGCTGCTGGAAGTTGATTCCAAAGAGTGGTTGTGCGTGGGAGAAAGTGCCTTGAAAAACGCACGGTGGAGGACCGCCACTCGTCCAGATGGTTGAGATGAAATTATGTACGGTGGTACCTTACATCCTCGGTCGACATTTTAGATACTTTTCACAGAAATTTAAAGAGTTCCCGTGGAATAGTTAAAAAACTACAGTAACTTATACAGCTTAAGTAAAATCATTTTGACCTAAGGCAAAGAGTGAGAACGACACGTCATTTGTTAATTTTGGTCCAGTATTCCCAGATATAGTACACTACAATAAGGAGGTTAAAAATGTTAATCGAAGGAATAACAAATAATACACGGACAAAATCGCAGGCACCAGCTAGTAGCAAAGGAATGAAAGATCAATCTAACGAAACTAGTTCTCTAGTTAAAGATAAATTTTTACCTTTACCGTTTCTTTACTAAGTTTAGCGTTTTCTGCAACTAGCAATCGTTAAAGCGTAGTATTTACGTCTGAATTTGACTTCCTGAATGTGTCCGGGACATCATTTGACCTGAATTCAGTGTTCTGTATATAAATTGTAAATGTTTTTTTTTAATGGATGATAATGGAATGGTAACCCCACCCGCGCTATTGGTATACACCGGCGGGGTACCAGTGAAGGATGATAGGTGAAGATGAAGTAGGTCAGTTAGCCCATCGTTACGAATTCAACAAGAATTGTTCACGATGGCTTCCAGGGGGAACCACGTGGAGGTCGACCTAATAAGACATATTGCTAGCAATGGGGCTGTCAAACTCCATTGCCAACAATCCCTTTCCCCCCAATTGTAAATGATTGAAAACACAATGGTGCGTACTTACTTCATTGTCTTTGTTGCTGCATTCCGTAGTAAGAATTCTGTCCACTATCTGCGGATCGCCAATGCACCTCAGGAGCTGAATTTTAAGATTTTAAGATTTACCATTAAAAAATATCATTGAATATTTTATATTATTATCATGAGTGCTTTGCTTTTAAGCAAAACTATCACTAAGCTTGGGTCACTGCGACACACATGGCGAAATTTTTGTATTTTACCTTTTTTTTTTATAATGATGTAATTATTTTCATACTATGAATTTCAATTGTTAATTTACGTGTGTCATGGTAATGACTTCAATAATATTTATTTATCTATCTATGTATCATTGAAACTTTTATTAACAATCCAAAATCTGTCCCATTCGTGTTTCAACCATGAAGCAGCTGTGTTTCGGTTTAAAGGGTGGGATATGGCGTGCATTTACTAGGTACAGAGGAATAACACCTGACTCCTCAGGAATGGAAACGCATGGGGGTATCATGGGCGAAACAGTATACTCTGTTATGTCCATGGTACTGCTCATGTCTATAAGCGGCGGTTACCACTTTCTATCAGGTGGGCCGTCAACTTGTTTGCCATTCTAAGTTGTATAAAAAAAAAAAAACAAATCGAGAATGAAAATTTCCAGGAAGTCAGTTAAAAAGCAAACATCAGGAAAGCCTGTATAAAATATTTCTTTAACTTTTCACTTACGTTTTTTGGAATTAATCCACATGAGATCTGTCGCGTGAGGCCATTTCCATGGCATGTCTGGGAAAAGTATGATTTGTTTTATAAAGTTGATAGAGACACTCTATAGGCAAGTATAGATTATGATAATATACTTGAGGTAGGTGTATAGTCAATTTTTAGTATTATTTCAATAGACAAAATAGACTTATAAGATAGGATTTATTTCTCAAACAAGTTTGGAAATGTGAGCATTATTTTGACAATCTTCTTCGAGATAAATCAAAATTGCCGTACTGGCCAGATACATGTGGACGGCGGCCGGCAAAAGTTGCATGAAAATTCATATCTGTCGTGTTTTGCGGCCAGATAAATTACTATGTAAAGTCATATCTGTCCTATAATTTAAAAATGGAATGACCTTTTACTTCGATACATAACTAATACAAGGTTTTATTTAAATATCGAAGTGGCTTGCAAATAGAAAGCTGTTTATTGAAAAAACAACAAAGGAACATTATGGCGCGTGAAAAATTATTATTGTTCGTTATTCATCATTGAACTTAAAAAGTAAATTTGTATATTTGATTTTCGCGCATTGTTTGAGAAAAGTACAATACAAACCTTGGCCACAACTTGGACTCACGTATGTGTGCCTCGGCTAAGCCTCGACCCACATTTGCACGTTCGTCCATCAATGCCTTAATTGCTGGCCGCTGCAGTAATGTACTAATTGCTTACAATGGATACTATCAATCAATGGTTATCTAGGACCTATACCTTAGAAAGGACCTACATACGGCGGCGATCAGTGGACACGTATTACATTGTCACTCCTCTCATTTATTACATTTCGGAAGTTTACAGTTATCGAATACCAACAAAAGTGATATCAGTGTGTAGTGTTGATAACAATTTAGACAAATCAAACATCAGTTGCAACTCTGGATTGTGTATTATGCTATAAACTGTAAGTTTAACTATTATCGTTACGCATTTAAAAGTTACCGTCAGTTGTCTCTCTTGGCTAATTATAACTGCCGATGACTCATTGCTACTCGTCGCTTACAGCGCTCGACTGAAAAAACCTTCGTACTATATTAACGCATCAATTACGATACATATCGCTTTATTATCGCTTTGCTGTCGCAATATTGTTTGAACCCGTACTATGAGATTGCAATTATAGCGATATAAATAGTTTATTGTTTCGCTGACAGACATTATCTAACTTAAATATTAATAATAATAATAATAATATATATATATATATATATATATATATACAAAATGAAATGCGCAGCATGCCTTCAGGGTTTAAAAAAGCAGGAGAATGTTATTGTCTGCTCTTCCGTTTTATGTAAACAGACCTTTCACGCAGCATGCGCTAAAGCAGAACGACTTAAACAGGAGGAATTTAAGTCTTGGGTATGTCCTGATTGTTGTGCCAAGATGAGAAAAGGTGGAGACAATTCCCAAACTCCGGTTCGTTCCACACCTGACAATATCACCGTTCGTAAGAAAAGCCAAATACCACCAGGCAATAACCTCAGTCCGTCAGAACATACTACAACTGCGTCGGAACCGGAAGCACTGCTTTCCCTATCTTCAGAGATTAGTCTTTTGAGGCAAACCATGAATGAAATGTGGAACTGCTTTAGAGAGCGCCTCGATACCCTTAGCGAGAAATTATCAAATTACGATGAAAGACTTAGAGTTCTTGAAACTCAAGCATGTGAAAATGCTGCTCTTAAGGCCTCAATTTCTACCTTGAAGGAGCAATTAAATAACCGGACGCAGCTATCATTAAGGAAGGAACTAGAAATTGCTGGTCTCGCGGAAAGTTTAAACGAGAATCTCGTGCACTTAGCTTTGACTACAGCTTTAAAGTTGGGTATTAATCTCCAAGAAACTGATTTAGACTATGTTTCTCGGGTTGGTCCTAAGAGGCAGGGTAAAGAGAAGAACAACGACCATTCTCCATCGATGCCTCGTCCTTTGGTAGTTGCTTTCGTTCGGCGGGCTAAGCGAGATGAGTTTCTGGAGCATTCAAGGAATCGCCGACCTTTGAAAAGCAAGGATATTATTACAAATGGCCCTGATAGCACAATCTATGTAAACGAGCGCCTTACGAACGATAACCGCCGTTTATTTCGAGAGTCCAGACTCTTTGCAAAAAAACATGGGTATAAACACTGTTGGGTACGTAATGGTTTCATATTTCTCAGGAAGGAGGATTACAGGGATGGAAGTCCGGCAATTAGAATACAATTCCAGGACGACCTCGAACGACTGGTTACATCGATCCCTAGACATTTTCCGAAGACTGACACTGCAAGAGATTCATCTGTCATTGCATCTTCTCCAGCCTAGTTTATTAATTTATGCTCACTTGTTAGATTATTTATTTTTAAATTCATCTCTACTTTGTTTTGATTTTTTATTTTTGTTTGTTATGATTTCTCTCTACACTTTGTTAAGCACACTATTCTCTACACATACTTCCATTACACATAAAGATACGGTACGAAAATTAATTAGTTTTGTCCTTAATATTCAATTATTTGCGCACTATCATGACTTGGGTACTTCATGTCACTTTTTCGTGTCTGTGGCTTATTATTTGTATAATATAAAATATTTTCTTTTTTCGATATATCCATGGCTTCCTTAAATCTGTTGGACGAAATTGATAACTCTTTTAGGATAAATTGCCACACAATACCAATACCTGAGAACTGTTCCCAAGTAATTTCTAAATATACTCTAAAAATACTAAATGTAAATATAAGAAGCTTACAAAAAAACTTTGATAGCTTTCTTGTCATTTATAGGAGATTAAATATTGATTTTGACGTAATAGTTTTCAGTGAATGTTGGTTAAATGAAAATTCTACAATTAACCAAATGCGTGGTTACACCTCCTTCTGCTCCAAAAAATATATAAATAAGTCAGGCGGTGTTACGGTGTATGTCAGCGATAAGTGGTCTTACGTAGCATCTGAGCTGGAGGTGGAGGAGGCAAATTGTGTTCTGATTGAGGTTCTGAATTGTTTCAGAGTGATGGCAGTGTATAGGTCTCCCAGCTTTCAAAATCCCTATACATTTATCAACTCACTTGATTCAGTTTTAAAAGAATTTACATCGACTTCATGTTTTGTATTTGCTGGTGATTTAAATATAGACATTTTGAGTTCAGAATTAGACAGCGGTTCCTCTGAGTACCTCAATAGTTTAGCGGAATATGGACTTGTTTCTAGCATCAATATAGCAACTCGCCAAAGAACTTGTCTTGATCACATTTTTGTTCCAGCTCAGAGTAGGATAGAATCTGTCGTTTGTTCCGCTGATCTAACGGATCACGACATTACTATGGCAGGAATCATGTTAGAGCCTCTGAAGCGATATTCTCTGAATCGTTTTAGGGTTAAAATTGATTATGTATCACTTGAAACTGACCTCAGGGAGATAGATTGGTCTCCTGTCATGAATTTTGATAATCTGGACACTGCTGTGACACAGTTTACATCTAAAATCACTGATACAATATCTAAACATTCAAAAAACTTCAAGGTAAGCCGCTCAAAATTTATTATACAGCCTTGGATGACGCCTGGTTTGATTAGGTGTTCCAGACACCGTGACAAGCTGCACAATGATCTTCGCAAGGATCCTAATAACTCTAGGAAAAAACTTATTTTTACAAGATATAGAAATTTCTATGTCACTTTATTAAGAAAACTTAAAGCTGATTACTTTAATAGACAATTTAATGAAAATAAAAATGCGCCAAAAAAGCTTTGGAGTACTATTAAACGCATTACTCATAATTCTGTTACTGTATCGACACCTGAGGAGTTAACCAGATCTAAAAGCACTATTATGGAGTCTCTTAATTACTGCAATTCCTTTTTCTCCTCTATAGGATACAGGCTGGCAAATAATATTTTGACAAAATTAAATGAAACACAAGAATCACTTGCCAAAAAAATAAAATTTACTTCTACTCTTAAAAATTCCTTTTTCATCAATCCCACTGACGCTCAAGAAGTATTAAATGTTATAAACACTCTAGATTCTGGTAACGCCTCTGGTTTTGATGGTCTTAACAATTATATTTTAAAAAACATTGGTCATCTTATTGCGAGCCCGCTGGCATCAATATTTAATCGCAGTATACTGTCTGGATATTTCCCTCAGATCTGGAAAACAGCTGTAGTGGTTCCTATACATAAAAGTGGAACTAAAGATGATCCCAGCAATTATCGTCCAATTTCACTCTTGCCCGCATTTTCCAAACTTCTAGAGCGTATCATCTACAAGCGACTAGTTGGGTTTCTACAGGAAAATAAAATTTTGAACAACAATCAGTTCGGATTTCGTCAGGGTAAGTCAACTGAGGACGCTGTGACGCTTCTGACGGATACTGTTGTCGATCATCTGGATGAGGGTAAATGCTGTATTGGTGTCTTTCTTGACCTTGCCAAGGCATTCGATACGGTTTCAGTTCCAATGCTTCTAAGGAAACTCGAGAGTTACGGTATTCGTGGTTTGCCTTTAGATTGGTTCAACAGTTATTTGTCACAAAGAAGCCAATGTGTAAAAATAGGAGATCAGAGAAGCGATCTTAACTGTGTATCCTTTGGTGTTCCTCAAGGAAGTATACGAGTACTGGGTCCTGTCCTGTTTATTTTATATATTAACGATATTTTAAACGCCCAGCTGCAGAATTGTGATATAATATGTTACGCAGATGATACAGCTTTAATTTTTCACGGTCAATCGTGGCAGGAAGCACAATGCTTGACGGAAGCTGGTCTTCAGCGAGTATACAAGTGGCTAAATCACAACCTCCTTACACTAAATGCTTCAAAAACACAATTCATGTGCTTTCATAAAACAGCTGCATCTCGTCCTCCTACACTGATTGCTCTTAAGGTTCATGCTAATGGCTGCTCCCTTTCTGGTGGTAATTTATCTACAAATTGTAGTTGTAATCAAATTAAAAAAGTTTGCTCGTTAAGATATCTCGGTATTGTATTAGATGAAAATCTAAACTTCAAAAATCACGTATCAATAACAACTAAACGGGTCCGTAAATTAATGTATACTATGAAATTATTGCGGGGTGTTACCGATGGTCCTACCGTCAAATTTGTGTATTTAGCTTTGTGTCAATCCGTCCTTAATTATTGTCTGCTGGCGTGGGGTGGTATAGCGAAGTCAAACCTAATAGCTCTAGAGCGAGCTCAGCGCGCTGTCCTAAAAGTATCACTGAGAAAACCGCGGCGTTATGATACGAAGAAGTTATATGAGGAAGCTCAGGTACTAAGTGTTCGTAAATTATTCATCTTGCGAGCGACTGTATACATGCATAAATATGCAATAAATCTCCCTACATATAATGACATGTTATCGAAACGAATTTACAAACTCCCTGTTACAGACGTAAAAACAACTTTTGCACAGCGTTTCAAAAAATATCTCTTTACACGAATTTACAATCAAATCACAAGACTTACTGACATAAAAGATAGCCGATTATCAATTGCAAAGAGAGTCATTCACGGATTATTGATGTCTTGATCCTACGAAGATACAGAAAAAATTTTAAAAAGTGCACTTTAATGTATTGGATGGAACTGAAACAAACACACACACACACACACGCACGCGCGCACGCGCGCGCGCGCGCGCGCGCGCGCGCGCGCGCGCGCGCGCGCGCGCGCGCGCGCGCGCGCGCACGCACGCACACACACACACACACACACACACACACACACACACACACACACACACACACACACACACACACACACACACACACACACACACACACACACACACACACACACACACACACACACACACACACACACACACACACACACACACACACACACACACACACACACACACACACACACACACACACACACACACACACACACACACACACACACACACACACACACACACACACACACACACACACACACACACACACACACACACACACACACACACACACACACACACACACACACACACACACACACACACACACACACACACACACACACACACACACACACACACACACACACACACACACACACACACACACACACACACACACACACACACACACACACACACACACACACACACACACACACACACACACACACACACACACACACACACACACACACACACACACACACACACACACACACACACACACACACACACACACACACACACACACACACACACACACACACACACACACACACACACACACACACACACACACACACACACACACACACACACACACACACACACACACACACACACACACACACACACACACACACACACACACACACACACACACACACACACACACACACACACACACACACACACACACACACACACACACACACACACACACACACACACACACACACACACACACACACACACACACACACACACACACACACACACACACACACACACACACACACACACACACACACACACACACACACACACACACACACACACACACACACACACACACACACACACACACACACACACACACACACACACACACACACACACACACACACACACACACACACACACACACACACACACACACACACACACACACACACACACACACACACACACACACACACACACACACACACACACACACACACACACACACACACACACACACACACACACACACACACACACACACACACACACACACACACACACACACACACACACACACACACACACACACACACACACACACACACACACACACACACACACACACACACACACACACACACACACACACACACACACACACACACACACACACACACACACACACACACACACACACACACACACACACACACACACACACACACACACACACACACACACACACACACACACACACACACACACACACACACACACACACACACACACACACACACACACACACACACACACACACACACACACACACACACACACACACACACACACACACACACACACACACACACACACACACACACACACACACACACACACACACACACACACACACACACACACACACACACACACACACACACACACACACACACACACACACACACACACACACACACACACACACACACACACACACACACACACACACACACACACACACACACACACACACACACACACACACACACACACACACACACACACACACACACACACACACACACACACACACACACACACACACACACACACACACACACACACACACACACACACACACACACACACACACACACACACACACACACACACACACACACACACACACACACACACACACACACACACACACACACACACACACACACACACACACACACACACACACACACACACACACACACACACACACACACACACACACACACACACACACACACACACACACACACACACACACACACACACACACACACACACACACACACACACACACACACACACACACACACACACACACACACACACACACACACACACACACACACACACACACACACACACACACACACACACACACACACACACACACACACACACACACACACACACACACACACACACACACACACACACACACACACACACACACACACACACACACACACACACACACACACACACACACACACACACACACACACACACACACACACACACACACACACACACACACACACACACACACACACACACACACACACACACACACACACACACACACACACACACACACACACACACACACACACACACACACACACACACACACACACACACACACACACACACACACACACACACACACACACACACACACACACACACACACACACACACACACACACACACACACACACACACACACACACACACACACACACACACACACACACACACACACACACACACACACACACACACACACACACACACACACACACACACACACACACACACACACACACACACACACACACACACACACACACACACACACACACACACACACACACACACACACACACACACACACACACACACACACACACACACACACACACACACACACACACACACACACACACACACACACACACACACACACACACACACACACACACACACACACACACACACACACACACACACACACACACACACACACACACACACACACACACACACACACACACACACACACACACACACACACACACACACACACACACACACACACACACACACACACACACACACACACACACTCGTGTACCCAAACTCACATGAAACATTATATAATTAGATTAACCCTGTTCGCCGCACCATAACTGTAAAATGACTTGCTTTGACTTCCACGAGACAGGCTTTGCCTAGTGTGGGGTCATAGCTATATTGTACCATAGGCTAATTTTGTTAAAGGAAATAAAGATATTCTTATTCTTATTCTATTCTAAGAGGTCAATAAAACTTATTTCTGGCAATATAGGATATATTCCGATCATCAGATAGATTTCGAGGATCAGATCGACCTCCACACGGTTCCCTTTGCACACCGTCATGATTAATTTATATTGAATTCGTCAGGATACGCCTACTAACCTGCTTTCATCCTCACCTATCATCCAACACTAGTGCCTCACCAGTTTATACCACTTTTTTAAAAAGTACCTACCAGGTAATAGGTTTTTTTTACAACACAGGGGGCAAACGAGCATGCGGCTCACCTGATGGTAAGTGACTACCGCCGCCCATAATCATCCATAACACCAGCGGCATTGCAGATGTGCTGTCGGCCTTTTAAAAAGGAATATACTCTTTTCTTGAAGGTTATGTTGTCGTATCGGTTCGGAAATACTGCTGCTGGACGTCGATTCCAAAGAATGGTTGTGCGTGGAAGAAAGTGCCTTGAAAAACGCACGGTAGAGGACCGCCACTCGTCCAGATGATTGGGATGAAACTTTAGTTTGTGGCGGGTTGTACGGTGGTGAAAATCAGCAGCAGGTATCAATCCGAACAATTCCTCAGAACACTCCCCATGATAAATTCGGTAGATGATGCACAGGTAAATATATTATTATATAGTGAACAAAATAAAGATGGTATCATCAATTTTAATGCGCGGTAAATTAATATTTCATATATTGTTCAAATAACCTACACAGTCGATAAAAAAGTGAAATAAATAAGTAATAAAGACTTACCACAACTGTGACAGCAAATAATATAGCGGTTTTAAACATTTATTATGAATTTTGAGTATTCCGTTCCGTCGCTAACATCAATGTGACGATGTCATTGGACGGAGGTCGGGAACTATCAATGTTGACCTTATCGACGCGTGGGTGTAGTATTTTTGTATTTATCACGTTAATACACTGTATTATAACGACAATAAAGCGTCTATCGCTCTGTTATCAGGTATTTAGAAAGAAGAAAGAAAGAAACTTTATTTTACGAAATAAATGGCAACACCCACAGAAAGGGTAAAAAATTTATTAAAAAAAATATAATAAAGAAACTATTAAAAAAAATATAATTATAGAAAATACGGAAAAAATACATATTATAGCAGTTTCATCAAAAATGAGTGTGTGTGTGTGTCGTATTATTTACAAAATGAGTTCCGTGCTCAGTATTTCGTGTAGTGTCAGGGACGCTACAGCGCTGATTTGCGCTGATTTTTCAGCATGATCCTCCTTGGCAACCCTAATTTTGTTATGCCAAAAAATAAGTAATAAGTAATTAAGATCAAGGATATGGCCTGGGATAGAACTGACTGGAGGAAGATGCATGAATTAGTTGCACCGACAAGAGGAAACTCTTAAATGAAAGGAAGAAGTATTTTTATACTTCTTTTTTCCATATAAGCAACTTTATATTCATTCAAATGAGTTGCTTATATAGAGCGTTCACCGTATTTCCAAAGGATTTAACTCTTCAAATTGTACTCGAGTATGCGCCTCCGTTGTGTTTGGTCGTGGTTGCTTAACAAAATTTAAATGCATACATAGATTGGATAGTACATATAGTGGAGTCAGTAGATACAGAAGGCTCAGGGCCGTACTGTTCTTAATTACTCCTCTCCATCCAAAGTTTGTCTGGAAGAGATCGCTTTTATTTATTTATTTATTTATTTATTTATAAATTACTCACCACACTTACAGTCTCCCAAAACGTGTAGTGAGCCATAGGTTTATTTTATAAACTTACAAATTTTGTACATTTTAAAAATATATCAATTTTGTCATTAAATATGTCAATATCTGGCTGCTGAGCAATAAGAGAATTGAGCAGAGAAATAGCTTGATAAGTGGGAGCAAACCGTTTTAGCGATAAGGTCGCCCATTGTTTTCTCACTGTGATTATTTCTTGTAATTGTTTATATTTATAATAAGTTTACTATTGTAATCTTTTGGAGGAAACAATAGAGAGTATCTATCTATCTATATGGTAGTCTATGGGAAAAGCCTATGTTCAGGACGGATAACAGCCGAAATGAGGGGGGGGAAGGGATTGTTAGTAATGCGGATTATCAATTCCATTGCTAACAATATACCCTAACAGGTCGACCTCTCCGTGGTCCCCCCTGGAAATCAACGTGCTGAATTCATCACGATAGGCTAACTGACCTGTCTTTTCATTCTCACTTATCATCCCTCACTGGTGCCCCGCCAGCGTATACCGTTAGCGCAGGCGGGTTTACCATTCCATTGTCACACATAAAAAAAAAACAGCTGAAATTATGACGCTAATAGATTGGATACCTTTTACCAGAGGGAGACTTTGTACAAAAGTCGATTGCTTGGGTATCTCTGTCCCATTCGTGTTTCAACCGTGAACCAGTAGTGTTTGCATGGCTGTGTTTCGATTTCAAGGGTGGGATATGACGTGAATTTACTGGGTACAGAGGAATAACACCTGAGTCCTCAAGAATGGCAACGCATGGGGGGTATCATGAGCGAAACAGTATACTCTGTTATATCCATGGTACTGCTCATGTCTATAGGCGACGGTTACCACTTTCCATCAGGTGGGCCGTCAGCTTGTTTGCCATTCTATGTTGTATAAAAATAAAAAAATACCTACATATATAAGGCATTATAAATATAAATAAAACTAATTATTGCTCATTATAAAACTATATATTTTATATCACATAATTATAAAAATGAGTAGTAAACTTCGACTACGCTCTCACTACACCCCAATAGTTTCTTAGCTTAAGACAAAATCTCGTCACTCAGTTGTTATTAATTAAAAAAACACTTATTCGGCTGATAAGTTTATGATTTTGTAAAATATGTTTTTTTAAATTAAACATATTTTCGATTCAAAAGGATTTTAATAGCAAATTACCAAAACGGAGTTGAATGAATCTGCTAATAAACTTAATCAAATATATATAGCTTTAAAAAATTAAGTATTTATTTAAATAAAATTATACAGCCGTTGGTTTTTAGGATTCCGTACTTCTATAGGAAAAACGGAACGCTTATGGGATCACTTCGTTGTCCGTGTGTCGAGACCCTTTTTCTTAGGGACGCATGAAGGTATCAAGTTGAAAAAATCAAGCTAATAAATCGACGCAATCAAAAGATACGGCCATTTATGTTCTATTTACCTATATCACATATTTTGATATTCGCAGAGAGAATCAAAACCTATAGGGTACTTTCCGTTGACCTAGAATCATGAAATTTGGAAGCAATGTCATGTGATACAAGTAAAGGAAAAAATCCAAAAACTGTAAATTTGTAGATTTTTCACAAAAAAAATATTAACTTGATGATTTTGTACGTAACCCTTGTTGAGCAAGTACAACTCGCACTTAACCGGCTTTTTTTTAATAAAAACATATATATATATATATATATATAGTGATAAAAACATACGCATTGTTAATCAAATGCCTTTTGGCAGCTGAATATATCTGTTGTGAGTGACGAGACATTACTAACGAGAGTTTTCTGTATAAAATAACAAATGGCTTAAGAGTTTCACGCTGCAAGGTTTATGATTTATAAGACATGGTGAAGTAATGCGATGACATGCATTTACTTTTAAAATTATAAAAAAAGTCACTTCATCTCTTTACAGTTGCTTCACCTAAACAAGCTAATCTTAAGATCTGGCCATTCTTAACTAAAATTACGTCCCGAATAGGCAACAGAATTATAAAAAAAAAATTACAATCAAAAAATACTTAAATTTAAATTTACCTGATTAAAATAATTTCTTTTTTCTTTCTGATCCCACTACAGACACTGTGTGAGTTAGATTCCCAACTTTCTGATAATCATTAGTACACATACATAAAGATCAGAAATGGGCATAAATATATTAAAAATTGCTAATGATTTTGCTCAACTCTAATCATAATCTTTAATTGTAAAAAAATCATTCTTCAACACTGGCACTGACTCGTCATCCTTGATGTTGGAAGGGAGAGTGTCATCGAAGTCTGGGTACTTGGGGTGCCACCAATCAAACACTATTATGTTAACAACCGTGTCCAATACAACGGAATATTCTGGAAGGATGTCGTTACAATAATAGCTGCCCGTGTTGAAGCCAAGGTGGAGACGATGGTGCCGGAACCCTTGTGACAACACGATGCTGAGTGACGATAGTGTCATCCCCATCAAAGGTGGCACTTCGAAAAAATTCTTACAGGTAACCTGAAAGTTGTTAAATACATACTATAAATGTACATGTTTTTCACTAACTTTTTGCTATTTTATGTGTGGATTTAAAAAAATTCTAGATAGATATAGACAGACTATTAGATGGCGTATAAAACAAGCCAGTTATTAAGTTAGACCTTCAGAAATGTAACTGTGGAAACAGCTACTTATAAATTATTGTCTTAGTAACTCTATTGCTCCTATTACTCACCAGAGGGAGACTTTGTACAAGTCGATTGCTTGGGTACCTCTGTCCCATTCGTGTTTCAACCGTATAGCAGTTGTGTTTGCATGGCTGTGTTTTGGTTTAATGGGTGGGATATGGCGTGAATTTACTGGGTATAGAGGAATAACACCTGAATCCTCAAGAATGGCAACGCATGGGGGGTATCATGGGCAAAACAGTATACCCTGTTGTGTCCATGGTACTGCTCATGTCTATAGGCAACGGTTACCACTTTCCATCAGGTGGGCCGTCAGCTTGTTTGCCATTCTAAGTTGTATAAAAAAAAATATTTTTTTTCAATGGATGATAATGGAATGGTAACCCCGCCTACACTAACGGTATCCGCTAGCGGGACACCAGTGAAGGATGATAAGTGTAAATGGAAAGGTAGGTCAGTTAGCCCATCGCGATGAATATGCCTGATATTCATCACGTTGGTTTTCAGGGGGGACCACGTGGAGGGCGACCTAACAGGGTATATTGCTAGCAATCCCTTTCCCCCAATTGCTCCTATTAAGATCCTTTATGTTCTCTCTTCTTCTCTTAAATATATCTCCAGTTTCCCATGTACCCCCGGCACAGAATAGGCCACCCATTCCTTTCCCATAAAAGTTATAAAAGGCGATTGAGGGAGGGCAAAGATTGAGTGGCAGCGTTCCTCTTAATACATTTTAAAAGCCTAACTGCAGTTGCCAATCTGCCTGTGAAATGTAGCAACTACTGGCAAAATCCCACAAGGGGGAGACTTCTGTTCAGCAGTGGATAGTTAAAGGTAAGACAGTTCAAGTAAGATATGATGATGATAATGATCTCTCCAGTACAGATATCATCAATTACATTATATTGGTACATTCACTTTAAACATCATAATTGCGTGGCAACACTTTCGATAGACAATAGAAACATTTTATCTTCTTATCTGGCAATAAATTAATCATTGGAAGTAAAAAGAAAAAAAGTGTTGTTGGTGTACTTTCAATCAAACAAAAGTATAAAAATTTATCATTGTTTTCTCTTATAATATAAATAATTGAAAGTTGATTAATTTAGTTTCACAATCTTAAAACATATTGGGAATTTTATGTCATTGTTATTTTTTAAATAAATTACAAAAATAATCGGCTAGTTTCTTGCTAAAAAGACTTTTTAAAATGCAACCATTTATAAGAAGTTTCAAGATCAAAACCCTTAGTACTTATAATATTTACAAAGTAATCTCAGGAAACCTTAGCATGCCGGGGGGCAAAGGAATTGTTAATAATGGAGTCTAACTGCCCCATTGCTAGCAATATTCCCTATCAGGTCAACCTCCACATGGTTCCCCCTGGAAACCATCGTGGTTAATTCTAGTGCAATTCATCACGATGGGCTAACTGACCTGCTTTCATCGTCACCGACCATCCCTCACTGGTGCGCTGCCAGTGTATACTGTTAGCACAGGCGGTTACCATTCCATTATCATCCATAAAAAAAAAACCATAGCATGCCTTAGGGAACTGAGCGATATGAGTATATTATAATATTTATTTGCAAAATTCCTCTAACAGTTAGAGGAGTTTTGCAAATGGTATAGAAAATAGTATTATCATTTGAACTTTGTTTGAATCTAGATAGTAACTTTGTAACAATTTGTCATTATGGCATTTTCTTGCCTTGTCATATATTTAATCCAATTAATAATATTCACATACAGTAAGATAAGATTACATCTATCTCCATATGTACAGAAGCCAAAGCACCAATTCAAATAAATTTCATTTTAAACATTATTCTCTTATTAGCTCTGTATGTATCAAAATCAGTTAATCCTATTGTTAAAGCTGAACCACATTAATATACAAGGTTATATGATATTTTAAACAAAAATAAATTTTTACCTGTAATACTTGTGAATTTTCTTCAGGGTTTGCATCTATTCTTCCTAACTCCTCCAGGAAATCAACATCAGTATGCAATCTCTCCATTAAACTAGGCTTCTTAAGCTTGAAATATATTGCCCAATGAGGGCCTTTCCTACGAAACCATACATTAACACATTTACGTCTCACCAACTGGTGAGGTCTGCTGTCATGTATAGCTTGTTGAACTACTTTCTCCACAAATACATGGTATGTATGATACAGAGCTCTAATTACCCTCTGACGTAATCCATAAACCTTAAAACTATTCTCTATGCGCAACTTCTGAGGTAATCTAGGATCATCTGCACAGTAACGTTTGTACAAACCCCGCCAAAATGATTCTCGTTTTGTGATTGCATATGTAGCTTTATTGATGCCGGCGAAACGGCCAACATCTTCTGGTTTTATATGTGCTGATATGAAATACCAGACAATTTCTGGGTAAACAATGCCTGGACGATTATCTCTGTTAGATTTATAATAGCTTCTTGTTCGTTTCTCCTTGTAGACAAAGTTCTTTGTACCATCAGCATTTATTTCCTCTACAATATCAAAATCTTCATCTTCTATGTGGTCCCAGGAAACATCCAAGGTTACAGGAGCCTGATCTGTTGACATTGACTTTTTAATCCTGCTCACAGGTTTTAGCGCATTTGCACAATCATTTATGGTTACATCTGTAAAAGATTAATCAAACAATATAAAAAAATATACGTAAGATAAAACTATAACTGATGTCTGTTTACAAAAGTGCATCATAACAAAAAAAACAACATGAAGACAGCAAAATGACGACACTATTTTTTTTTATACTTTCAGTAAGCATGGATAGACAGATTGCAATATGGCTACACTCTAGAAAAAATGCAGCACTAACCCATATTGTTTTTCTTTTGGTTTTTTTTCTTAGGCATTTAAATACTTTACTGATTAAGCAGCGAAAACCACGCTGATCAAGGATCTGCATTCAAATTGTTACAATCTATTGTTTCATAGTAAAATACACCTATTATTATTATTACATTTATTTCACAGGTATTATTAATTTTCTGACAGATTATACTACTTTTGTTTAGACTATTCGAATGTTGTCAAGAAATTGAAAAAAAGTTAAATTAAAAAATTAATATATTACAAGATTTGGTTCAAACCTGAGCAATTTGTTTGATTTATCAGTTTCTCCATTGTCGTGTTTAACTTTGATGTTTCTAAGGATTGTCAATTTTGACATTTGACATATAATATAAATTACACTAAATCTATGAAATTACACGAAGATTACGCGAAATTACTTTTTTATAGATTCAATAAGGATAGCTAGCAAACACTTACACTTTATAACGAATTGCTTATTAAAACAATATTTACATTGTTTGGTTAGTGTTAACTAAAATTTAATTTTAAATGATTACTGATGTCAGAAACAAACTTCGTAAATTTCATTCATATCCACAGCCGGCGACCTCTTTTGTTAATAAATGAAAATATTACCATAGATTAATTAATTCAAACTGTACAAAATTTACAGGAGCTAATTATTCATCTCAAACTAAACAATGACGCTTACTCATAATTTGGCAGTTATGTATACGTGTAACTATACCTATATACGTAAAATATTATTTATTTATTATAATACATTCCTGTACATAATATGAAATTTGTATTCTTATGTTATTCTTTTTTTTTCTGATAACTCATTAAACTCATTTAACCCTTTTTTCTCTCCCTTTATTTATTAGAAGTTAATAAGTAAACTTCAATTAAAAGATTATCTATTAAGCAGTGTAAGCCTAGAAATATTCTATCGAATAAGAGGTTCTACCCTAAAAAATTTTTTTGAGATAATTTCTTTAACCTCACGTTGAACGTATTCCTTAATACCCCAATAAGTGATTATGGTTGTTTGCGTTATACTTACCAACGACTACAAATCTAACAAATCCACAATACAAATATTATAACCTTTTTTTCATTATAATATATCATTATACTTCAATATATTTCGATATGTTCAAGTTGAAGAGTATTATATGCAATATACTGTACCTAAATTGTACCTGTAATTATTTATATTTATAATGAGTTTACTATTGTAATCTTTTGAGGAAACAATAAAGAGTATCTATCTATCTAAAGGTTTGATATGACTAACTCAGTGAACAAAAATCTAATTAAATGTAAAATGATTAAAATACTCTGAAAAATATAAAATTACTAGCAACCTACCTAGTTACCTATTTCACAGATGTGTCCGCCCCTACCTGCCCCTCCACCGCACCGCTAAAATAAGTAGGAGAGAGGTATATATATAATATTTATATTTTATCTAAATATATTTTATGTCAACACATAAGATAATCCTATGTGTTGAGATAGAATATAAATATTCTTGTACTAAATATATTTTACTAAATTTTGTTCATATTTAAAGCCATTGAGGTGTGATCGAATAACAACCATCAAAAGTTGTTTATTTGGGTATCTCTGTCCCATTCATATTTTAACCGTGAAGCAGTTGTGTTTGCATAACTGTGTTTCAGTTTGAAGGGTGGGATATGGTAGCGAATTTACAGGGTACAAAGGAAAAACAGCTGAATTCTCAAGAATAGCAACGTATGAGAGTTATCATAGGCGAAACAGTATACTCTGTTATGTCCGTGATACTGCTCATATGTATAGATGACGGTTACCACTTTTCATCAGGCCGTCAGCTTGTTTGCCATTCTAAATTGCATAAAAAAATCTTTACGAACTTTCACATTTATAATATTAGTATGGTAGGATGAATTCTAGTCAACTTAAGAGTCATGTCCTATCTGCGTGTCGTTGAAAGTCACATGTTACTCTTTGACACAATTGACGTTCCGATTCAAGATGGCAGACATGCCGCTTGAGTCGTGATAGTATGAAATCGTAGGAGTACGAATTTTAGGTGTGTCTTTCTAAATATCGGACTAGAATGTCTCCCGAATTTTTTACTAAGTTCTTATTAGAATGTTCTGACAATGTGAGACAACGTGTTCGCGTTTCGTGCGTTAGGTTTAGGTAACGTTTGTGCCGGAACATATGTATTAAAACGGTGTTAAAAATTGTGTTGTTCGGTGTGTCGTGTACGATAAGTATTCTGGTTTGATGTTAAATTAAAATGTGGAATATGATGTGCGACGTGATGCCCACTATATCCGAAGACAGTATCAGCCAACGGAGTTCTCAGTTATCCGGAGAAGATGCCAATTTTGAGCAGCTTATGGTGTCTATGCTTGACGAACGAGATAAACTGGTGGAGAGTCTGCGTGAGACACAGGAGCGTCTCGGCGATTCGGAGCTGCGGCTCAAGGAGGTGGAGAAAGAGCGGGATTCATTGCAGAGGCAAATTGCTGCCAACTTACCACAGGTTAGTAACCAAGTGTAGTATAAAAAGCAACCCTTTTTTTCCATTTATATGTATAATTAAAGTAATATATGTAGTAAATTGTATTGGTATATGTCTGGTTAAAATTGAAATTGGTCATGTTCTTTTTCTTTAAATTTATCCAAAGTTATGATCTGCGGCTTACCCTTAGTTTATGTTAATTTATAATTGACACCACTACTATTCCAATAAATCTTATATTAATACTCAAACACCATACTATGACATGTTACTAATCTCTTAAATAGAGATTGGTAACATCATCTAGTTGTGAGATGATCTGTGAAAGACTATGAAATGAAAGACATTTGTAACGATATAGATGTTTGGTATTTAATATTTCTGTCTACACTTTAACAGAAATAGATTTCAAATATTGTAGTGTAGTAGAATATTATATAGATACATATAGTACATTAATAGTTGATGTAGATTGTCCTACATGATAACTTACTTGCATTCTTGTTTAAGATTTAATGTCATTAGGTAAACTAAATATTATGCTAATTAAAAATTGATAATCTTGAATTATAAATTAGATAGAAAATTTACTAGAGCAATTTATAATTTATATTTCTTATATATATAATACTAATAGTAAAAAGAGATCACTGTTGACTGTCTAGCTCACTATCATCAGTAAATAATAAGTTATATTCTTTTGTACAGTTGAGATTATATAAACCATATTATTAATACTTTTTAATATCTATATTTGTTTTAAAATAACTTAAGGAAAAAGAGTAAAACGCTTTGTCTACTCTGTATTGCTAGATGAATTAGCAAATAAATATAATGATAGAGATATTTTTTCTACTATATGCTTAAGATAGGATGAAACCCAATGTCAAGTGTTTTATTCTTTATACATGCAATAACAAAAACTTATCTACTTGTCTATGGGTATTTGTGGCTTTAAAATATAAATATAATCCTATATTAAAGTGGCAAACAAACTGCAGGAAATGTATCTTGTCTATGGGCTTGTATAGCACTATGAATTTATTTATTTATTTAAGGACAACCAACAAAGTATATATTTATATGTACTTAAAATACATGATAATATGGTTACATTATAAAATGCTGTCTCAATTAAAGGCCGCCACGACATGCGTATTCATAATATATTATTATTAGTAAGAAAATTTATAAAAACTACAATACTAGTTATACAATAAATAGACTACAGTAATATTTTAAATTTCAAAGATTTGTACACTTATAATCTATACTATAATATAATGATACATGCATGAATAAATACCATATGTGATGTCTTTTTAAAGTTAAAATCATAAATTACATGGTATAAAGTCCTGATTTAGTTCTTGAGAATGGCAACCTCTCATGAGGCATCACAGTGTATAATATACTGTGACACCTATTATGGTATCCTTCAGCAGCTGCTCATCCCTCACCCTCCCTTAGTCGCCTCTGACTACTCCCACGGGAAAGGAAGGGGTGGCCTATTTTATGCCAGGACCACATGGCAATGGTACCCTTGGGGAATGTTATTATATCACAATTCTGTTATTGGCAGAATTTAAATTACATTATTAAAATGTAGTTATAAAAAAATTAAGTTAATTTAAATTGAAAAGATGACTATTAGATACTGGTTTTACAATAGTGTCATATTATTCTATCGAGTATGTTGTGGGGTCAAGTTAGTGCAATTAAACCCAGTATTACCACTGTAATTAAGTAATAATGTTTTCTATAATAATTAATGTACTTACATTTTTTTAATATTATGTTAATATACTATTTATTATTCCATCATGGTTTAAAGGATTTTTTGTATTTTTTAATTAGTTACACTAGGTTTTATTAAGTACTCTCACCTACAATTATGAGTTCTTAGTTCAAATTTTCTTCTATATGCTATAGCATTGAATCTTTTTTAGGATTCCATACAAAAGTTATATATAGGAACATTTTTTTTTATTTATTAGTACATGTAGGTGTACAAATGCCATACAAATGCCAAAATTTAAAATATCAATGTATTTAAAATTTTGCACACTAAATTGTGGCGAAATTGTATGAATAAGTTGACCCACTTTTTTTTTTCAGGGCATTTGTGTGTAGACATTCTGTCTATATAATCTAAAACTTGACCAATTAAATTATAGAATCGATTATTTAATTTAATTTATTAATTTAATTTCAAACTGTTTATAATTACCCCTCTCCATCCAAAGGTTGCCTGGAAGAAATCGCTTTTAGTGACAAAGTCACCCATTTGTTTTCTCACTGTGATTATTTCTTGTAATTTGTTTGTATCTATAATGAATTTGCTATTGTAATCTTTTGGAGGAAAGAATAAAGAATATCTATCTATCTATCTAAAGCAGACTTAATACTGAAAGCATTCATTCCCAGTCAACTTTAGGGATGTGTCAGAATACATGAATGCAGTTCTAGTAATAATTACATTGGTACCCTATCTATACACATCAGTCCGTAACTGTTCACTGCTGAATATAGGCCTCTCCCATAAGGGGGTATTTTGCCAGTAGTTGTCATGCTTGGCAGATGGGTTGGCAACCACAGTTAGGCTATAGTGCCATTTTAAAAAAGATGTTGCTGCACGTCTCTCAGCTGTTAAGTTCCCGTAGTCACCTCTTACTATACCCATGGGAAAGGAAGATGTGACCCATTCTATACCAGGATCATACAGCCTTTTATCTATACACTCATATGGAATTAAGTTGGTCTTTTTGTAATACTTGTAATGGGGTCACTATTCCCCATTACTTACAACCCCCCCCCCCCCCCCCCTTAGTTATATGCATTCTATTGCATTCCAAATATATTGAATTAGTAATTGTGGAGGACTCAGGCACATAGACAGATCTAGACAAAGAATATTATTGACTGACTGGGTCAAGGCAAATTTGCTGATATAATGTTCAGCCAATGGAACAGCTGGGCGGTAATGAAGTAATTTATAATTTTACGATAATGATTACTTATACAATGTAGTTAGAGCACTAACATATTTTTTTAATTGACCTCAAAAATTATAAGGTTCCAAATTCGTATGTTATTTTTTTTTGCAATTGCACAAATGTTTGGTTTTATTGCTGGTCATATTTGAATGAAACTTGGTACACAGAATGATCATATCTTAGATTAACATATGGTATACTTTTTACCCTAACCTTTACTAGAGAGAAACTATACTAATATTGTCTGCTTGGGTACTTCTGTCCCACTTGTGTTCTTGCTGTGAAGCAATTGTATTTGCATGGCAGTTTGAAGGGTGGAGATATGGTAGTGAAATTACAGAGTATGGGATTACAATACCTTAGTCTTCAGTAATGGTGACATATGAATGGTAAACAGGTGTCACAGTGTATACTGTGATGTTCATGGCAATGTTCATGTCTGTTTACCATTTTTATTACTAGCAGGGTATTCTATGAGTTCAATCTAGATTACATTTACCGTTTTCATTGTTAGTAATGTATTCTATAAGGTCTATATGGTCACTCCTGGAAACCATTTACTATTTCACTTTCCCCCTTTAAAAAAAATTACTCTTACCACTTTCTACTAGATGGGCTAGTTTGTTCATCATACTATGCTGCTCATCAACTTATCACACATTACACATATCTTAAGTGACTAAAGAGAGGCATTACAGATTCAGATTTTTTTTATGCAACTTAGAATGGCAAACAAGCTGGCGGCTCACCTGATGGAAAGTGGTAACCGTCGCCTATAAACATGAGCAGTACCATGGGCATAACAGCAGTATACTGTTTCGTCCATGATACCCCCCATGCGTTGCCATTCCTGAGTACTCAGGTGTTATTCCTCTGTACCCTGTAAATAAAATTTATGAGTGTACCCAAAGACCTCGCTGAAAGTCAGCGTTGTAGTTTATCAACTGCCGTACAATATTGAAGGAGGACCTTTTTAACAAGCAACAGGTTATATTTCTGTGAATATTAACAAATATCTGTATGATGTATAGTGATAATTGACTGACTACTGAGAGGGAGACTTTGTACAAAAGTCATTTGCTTGGGTACCTCTTTAAGCGACTTCAAGAACCATTCATTCACACGGCATTTTTACATGCAAAAAATCTGCACACAGCATGCCCCAAATTGCAGACATTAAAGGATATAAAAATTGTAAATTGCATAAGTAATTTTTAGCTGTACCGTTATTACCCTTGTACATTCTACAGTTTTCTTTTAGCTTCTCAAAGGTTGACTGTAAGAGATCCCTTTATGGGATAAGTCCGCCATTGTATATAAAATTCTTTTAATGTATTCAGTATGAATTATGTACAATAAAGATTTTACAATACAATACAACAAATCTTATGCAGGCACAGCCGCGGGGAATAGTTAGTATTATAATAAAGCTGGTGCGTCTCCAATAAAGATGACAGGCGGCCATAACACGAGCGTCTGTATAAAAGTAATCTTTCTAAATATAGCGCGTCAAGTTCAAACGTCGGGCCGGTTCATTTGAGTACACAAATAGACAGTGATTACTGTTATTCTTCTATACATCGACCGTGTGATTAACGTAATCGTAAACCACCAATTTATCCGTATATATTAACCCCTCTTATTCATAAAAACTGAGAACTACAAACCTGTTTTAACTGTTACACTGTTTTGTCACTTTCTTTGAAATTGAGAACTTAACGTGAAAGAAAAAGACAAAATAGTTTAATGTTATTTTTTTATCTCACTTTGTTTGGAATAATAAACAATTGTACAGTGTATTCAGTACTTAAAAATATTATTTGAATAAATGATTTTTTTATGCAACTTAAAATGGCAAATAAGCCGACAGCTCACCTGATGGAAAGTGGCAGCCGTTGCCTATAGACATGAGCAGTACCATGGACATAACAGAGTATACTGTTTCGCCCATGATACCCCCCATTACCCCCGATGGATTGCCATTCCTGAGGTTTCGGGTGTTATTCCTCTGTACCCAGTAAATTC